AAAATATAAAAAATTCTGTAAAATCCCAGACCGATTAATTAATATTAACCCGTGACAGTAATCGATCAAAATTTCACATTAAAAATACATGCGAAAAATGAACATTTAAAAGAAATTCATAACTATTTTAACTATTAAGCAACAAATTTTTCAGGTCACAAATTCTTTCATTTTTAGCCACACTTGAAACTGCTATATTAAATATTCAAATTAATTAAAGAAATTTTCTTACTCGGAGGTTTTTCATTCTCTATTCAAGAATCGGATATAAAAAAAATCATTTTTTCAAAACTCTGGATTCAATGTGACGGAAGAAAAATGTTGGCTTTACACATTTTTTAAATAAACGCCCTGGATCACCGTTACAGGGTATTTTCTGGCTCGTTATTTACCAACTTGATGTTATTCGTTTTTTCAAATATTCTACTTAATATAGCGGACTCAAAAATCTTCAAAATTTAATAAGTAAAAAGTAAAATATTTTAGTATTATATCCGCAAATTCCGTAAGTAGCAATTATAATATCATACATGTGAAAAGTTTTAAGCTGAAAAATAAATGAAAAAAGAAAGTTGAAAGTGGACCGACAAAACAATGAAAAAAAAGTATTTGATTCAAGTAATCAATTACTTGAATATTATCAATTAAATATTTATTTGTATTAAATAATTGCAATTTGAATCAATTAAATTTCATTTATTTCAAATACAATTTATTTTATTCAAACACAAATTATTTGGTCCAAGTAAATATTTAATTGATAATAATCAAGTAACCGTTTACTTGAATGAAATAAATTTTTTTCAGTGTGGTGCTTCATATAACTAATTTTTAAATAAGTAAAATAATAATGATAACATAAACTTTTTAGATACTACAGTAAAATGTTTCGGATTAGCTGAAAAAGAGTTGAGTATCAGAGAGTATTCTAAGATTCTTGAGGGCACTGATTTTTGTCAGATTTAAAAAAAACACGAAACCATTAAATCATTTTTAAAGTATCGTGCCTGATCATGAAAACATTTAATTATTTCAAAAGTGTCGTGTCCGGACTCGAAAAAAAACATTTCATTATTTTGAAAGTGTCCGGTCAGAAGACGAAAACATTATGAATAATTAAATGTATATATGTTTTAAATAAGAATTATTTAATACAATAAATGTATTTTATTAATTCAAGTGAACTCATTTATTTGATATGATAATAATGTATCATTTAATGCTGTAATATATTATTTTATCAAGACAGATAAAAAAATATTTAGACTGAATTAACATTAAATTTAATTTGTTTTTTACTTTAACTTCACAATTATTAATCAGCATAAATTTTACAATATTTACAAATATATGAGATGGCTTGTCAATATAATTGAATCTTTTATTAATTCAAAGTTTTAGAAATTCTATCTTTTTAATAATTCAATTTTTTATAAATTTTTTCTTTTAGTAATTCTAACTTTTAAAAATTCAATCAAATATTTATTAGAACTTTTAATAATTCAATAAAATGGTTATTCGACTTTATGGAATTTGATCTTTTGGTAATTTAAACTTTCAAGATTTAGGCAAAAATAAGGCGACTTAGGGGGTACTCAGTGTATAGAATGTAATGTATAGTACAAGCAAAAATTTTTAAAGAATTATTTTAATAAAAAATTGATATATCTTATACTATCCTAAGTAAATGCAGCATTATGATGCTACAATTTTGAATCGTAATTCTGAAACAGTAATATTTGCTAATATGCCCTATTGTACGTCATTTAAAGATATATATTTGTTGGGTAAAAATTTTGGAGATTAACTGTACAGATTAGTGGCACGCACCACTAGCTATATAAATGTGTATATATACTGGGTGTCCCAGGCGAGCGCGAACATATTTTTTATGGTTGAAATCTTTGACCAAAAATAAGCAAAAAGTTCCTTTGCACTTTTAAAAAATGTGCAAAAATGCTTTATTTATTAAACTATTAAAACAATATAAGCATTGTTAGAGCAGGTGGTAGAGGAACCTTATACGTGGAATTCAAGTTGCACATTTTCAAAAAGTGCGTAGGAACTTTTTGCTTATTTTTGGTCAAAGATTTTAACAAAAGTTCTAACAGAATTTGCACGTTGATAAAACTAGCGTTTTACATATGTGACCGCGTCTGAAAAAAGGGTGCTTACGATCAAAAAAGTTATCAACATCGTCGGCACTGCCATCAACATCGTAGGCGTTCGCATGAAAGGGGCTTACTTCGGCAATATTATATATATATAGTCGATTTCTTAGATAAATTTGGAAATTTTTTAGAGGTTTTAGAAACATTTAAATTTAGAAAATCGCAAAGTTGCTGATTTTTAATATTTTTACATATTACCGAAGACCTCATATTGAGAAAAACGAAAACAAAGATTAAAATGAGAATATCGTTGTATTTCCTATAAAGTTATACAGATTATATGATTATTTTATGTCGAAAACACTTTTGTGATTACAAATTAATATGTAATATATTTAATTGATTTCCCAATCAGGAATAATAAAAAATGTCGACAAAGTGTCCCTTTTTCTCAAAAATGCGATTTTTTAATATGTTCTTTACGAAAGTTATGGCTGAATGCTAATAATATACCGCTTATTTTAATTCCCATTTTTTATATCTAACGACTAAAAACTATTTTTTTTCGTTAAATTCACTACTTTTATAAGAGCTATGCTGCATTTGATTACAAAAGTGTTCTATTTATTACAATAAACTGCCGAAACAACAGAAATTCACTAATTTTCTAACAAACCGACATGGTGATTTCTTTTTGTTTTTTAATAAACAATGAAAGTAAATAATTATAGTAACAATAAACATATGAAAACTGCGTATTTAATTCTCTGTGTCAAATTATTAAAAAATATTTTTAATCAATACATAAATCGACATTATGCTTTTGAATTTGGAAATTTGTTATTATTTCATGAATTAAAACCGTCAAAGCTGTCACTTTTCAAGCGGTGGCCCACATAGAATAAAAAAATTATAGAATTAAAATCATTTATGAAATTATAAGAAATTTGAATTAGATTATTTAAATACGTTTTTAAATACATTTTTTTATCCAGTTGAAAAAGCTCTTGAGATCATTTTACTTACAACACACATGCAGAAAACTTCTGAGATTTCCGCCTTTGATTTGTTGAAAGATTTTTATAAGTTTTTTTAGATATTTTTCCCATTTTTCAAAGGAGTAGTCTAAACTTTTGCAAATACCACTATTGAAAATCATGAATTTCCATCAACAAAAAACAGCGTTCTCTAAACGGCCATTTGCAAATATATATATAAATATATATATATAAACAGATATAGTTTTAATATATGTATGGTTACCAACTTTACACTTTCAGTATCTGTATGGTTTGCCCCACTGGATTTTTTTCTATCCGATTTACAAAATCGGAACATCTTTCAATAAACGAAAAGAAAGTGATCTCAAGTTACATATTTGTTGCTATAAAACTATAATATCTATAAATTCAAAAAGTAAATAATGTTAAAGCAAGATCTAAGTATATCAATAAGTATAATAATGAACATATTTGACTTTTTATTATAATCCTATGTTTTATATTTTTAAATAATTTTGTAATAAAAATATATAATTTATCTAAGAATGTTTTTTTAAAAATGTAAAATTAAATTTATATTTTTTACAATAAACGACTTGTCATTAATGTTACTAAAAAATTATTTGATTTATTGCAAGTAAAAATACTTATTAACTATGTTATTAATATTAATTACGTTAATGTAAAATATTAAAAATTTACGATAAAACATGATGAAAATCAGATCTATAATTTTGACTTTAAAGATTTCATTCTTTGAGGAAATGCTAAGAATATAACAATAAGTTAATTCGTAAAGGACGCCAGGAGGTCCAAAGCAGGCACAAAAATATTGAAGTACAGTACCAGCAGACGTTTAACTACATAATTAGTTATTCGTGCTTTGAAATAAAAGTGTCATGGTGTTCCAATCGTAAATGCGTAAAACCTTGAAACCCCAAAACTGGGACCTCGAGCCCTTACGTATTTCCGACCGCAACGCCATCACATTAATGTGTATCAAAAAAAGAGTCACCCCCACTACTCATGTATAACAGATTGTTTTGCATCGCATTGAACCTTCGGTTAAGTTAAGCAAAGTATTCAATGTTTGCGCAAAAGTGTGGCCGAGTGGTAACGTAATCACAAAGACAAGTATGTATAATTTTTTACAAAACTTTCTTGTTTAAAACTTCTTTCTCCTTAAAATTGTATATAGTTCTTAAAGCATTATAAAAGCTTCTAAAAAAAGTAACTAAATATCCGTCTATACGCGAATAAATAACCTCGAAAAATCTCGTGTGCGTATGCATAGAAAGTTTTATATCACTTTTTTAAAAACAAAAATACCGTCGACTGGGTCTATCACATAACAAATAACATCCCGGTTGTCGGTTTCTTTTGCTTATGCATGAAAATAACAATAAAATATAAAATGTTTTGGGACGCTGGAAAATTATTTTATACCTTTCAATTATAAGAAAAATTCTTTGTTTTTTTCTTTATCGATATTTTTCTTGTTATTGATCTTATTATTATTATTCTTGTTTATTATTCTTATTCTTTTAGAATGTCATAAATCATTTACTTTGTTATTTATCAATTTTTCGTGAAAATGGTAATTTTATTTTAATAATTTTAAAAAATTTCGAGTTTTTCTTTCAAAATTTTCCTCAAATTTTATTTTTTTTGTTTTGTCGAATTTTCCGTTTTTTAAAAATCATTTAAAATTTTCAGTTATTTTTCAGTCTAATTCTTTCCATCTTGAAAGGCTTTTCTGTTTTGGAATTCCTAAAATAGATCGTGTCTATATTTTATTCAATTTCTTGTTCTATAAAATTTCAAATTACTTATTTACCAAATTTTATCCTTGTTTTCTTTCTATTTTGTTTTAGGCCAATCTTTCATAATGTCTGAAGGAGATTTTAACGTAAGTATTTTTTGTAAGTAGGAATAAAACTTTTTTTTAAATTAATATTCGATTATACTATTTTTCAATTTTTTTAGGGGTTTAACATTTCAACATTGCCACCGCCATCAACATCGTTGGCACTGCCATCAACATCGTTGGCACCGCCATCAACATCGTTGGCACCGCTATCAACATCGTCGCCACCGCCACCATCAATCTCAAAAAGTTCGCCAGCTATTACAAATACACAAAAAAAACGTGGGAGACCAAGTGGATCACAAAAAAAGCAGGACGAGAAAAATAAAAAAGAAGAAGCAAAAAATCGAAAAAAGCGGAACCTGCTGAATCACAATTATCAATTGAATTTAGTTGAAACACAACTGGCGGTGGCGAAAAAGCAAAGTGAAAAAATGCTGGTGCAACTTGACTTGGTTTCTCCAACATTATCCCCACCTCTTTCACAATCTTCAAACCTCCAAAACACACAGCAAGGCACACAGCAAACCACTGAGCAAAGCACACATCAAATCACACATCAAAACACACATCAAAACACACAACAAGTCACACAACAAGTCACACAACAAAACACACATCAAAACACACAACAAGTCACACAACAAAACACACAATGTCAGCTGCTGACACAGAAACAATTCTTTTGTCCGACAAATAATCAGCAGCAAGAGAATGTACAATTTGCAGAGTACGGTAAATGGTTGCAACAACAAGCGGCTGCCGAACAACAGATGTTGTTACAACAGCAAATGATGCAAACATTTACCAATAATCTGATGCAAATGCGTGCAACTGAACAACAAAATCATTTGTTGCTGATGGGACCATTTGCCGGACAGCCATCTTTAGAGAATTCTACACAAAAAAGCTTGATTCTTCAGCAATTGAGTTCTTCAGTGGAAGAGTTGGAGAAAGCTTTGCTGAAGAAACAAGTAGAAATAAATAATAAAAGTCAGCAGCTGACACAAATAGAGCAGCACTTATTCCAAAAGGAGCAACAGCTGCTTCAAAAGAATCAGCAACTGTTGCAAATGGAGCAAGAATTTTTGCTAAAGGAGCAAGAGTTGTTGCAAAAGGAGCAACAGTTGTTAGCAAGTGAAAAAGCTGTTTCTCCTAGTCCAGCCATTCGTCCTTCTCCGCCATCGCCAATTTCACTTCCTCCTTCAAACCAAGGTTCTTCTTCTACGGTTAAGAACTCTCTCGTTGCTTCAGGATTAAATCCTTCAAGACATCATCCTCAAGCAAAATATGCTTTAAAATGTCTAAAATGTGGCAATATAAATGTAAGTGTAACACTTTTTATACTTCCATAGAATAATGACAACATATGCCTTGAACTTAAAGTTGAATTACAATGAAAATGATATCAAATTCATTATATAGATTTAATTCAAGTGCAATGCATATGACGATTTAACCGTACGTGCTAAACCTTGTAATATTTTTTCAGAGTTCTTCGAAATGTGCGAAATGCGGAAACATTAATGTAAGTATAAAATTTTTTTTTACCCGTATGAAGTAATAACATAGGGTAACTGTACCAATTACGGCGCGTTCATAAAAAATGACTATTATTACTATTATATTTAACATAAATGTTGCAAAATTATTTTAAAAAATTATTTTTATCTTTTTTTGATACAATTACTTATAAAGATGTACATTTAAATAATTATTAATTTAATTATTTGAGATCAAATTTTTTCCTTCGCCGTAATTGAAACATTTTTAAGACTTTTATTGGCTTCATTAGGGCGAGCAAAGTATCTTAAAAAATACACGCAATATTGTTCACCTGAATTTTTTCACCAAAACTAATACAAACGCGCCATAATAAAAAATTGCGGTATTAGTTTCAATTTCTCATATTTGTTTAAATAATCGATTTTTATAAAGTTAAAATTATTTTCAATATCCAAATAACATAAACTTTTGATTTAATAAGTCTTCAATTGATTTTATATAATAGAAATGTCGAATTTTCTATTTCAAAGGTATTTTGACTCGAATCACGCCGTAATTGAAAATTTAGCATATGCTTAGTACTTAAAATTTAAATAACAACGAAAATAAATACAAATTCATTGTTTAGCATAAATTTGATCACATTCCGTATGTTGAGTTTATTGTTCCTTCTAAAACTAATAATTATTTTTTTCAGATTCCTGCTCGAGGTCAAAAATATAATAAGGATTTTAAACGGCCACAAAATAATAATAATTATAATAAAAATTGGTCTGGAGATAGACACACAGACTACAATCATAAACATTGCACTAATCGCTGTAAGTGCCGGAATTGCCGCTGATTTGAGAATATCACTCGTCCTAGCCAAACTACAAATCATCATGTTACTTTTTTATTCAACTTATTGCCGATTATTACCATCTGATCATCTTTCAAAAATAATCACTATATTATAATAATAATTATAAACAATAACTCATTATATATATATAATATTTCTTTTCCTTTTTTTAGATATTATTAATAAAAGTGTTCTTTTATAATTACTGTTGTCGTTCACTTACTTGAAATTTTATGTTTTTTTGTGCCGTTATTGCATTTTTAACATTTACTCTTTTCAATAAGCTACGGTTTTCCTCGAAAAAAATTCCCTGAATTTCCTTTTATAAAAAGTAATTTTTAATGCAAATTTTATAAAAATCTAGTAACGTTTATTATTATTACAGTGAAAAAATATGCTACACCTAAAAATTAACATTTGTTAATGGAAATATTATTTTAAAGTCAGTATTCGTTGCTAGGTTTTTGCTGAGTTAAAAATATATATATCTGACTTTTTCGATAATTTTTAATACCTAACAGCCCCACCTGACAGTATAGAAGGCGTGGATTTCTGAAATTATCAGTTTAAACAAATTCTAACACTGAGAGTAACAATTAATGTAAATTTTATGATATATAATTAAATAATAATTTAATTTAATCGAAAATGGTAACATTTTTTAGTAAGAACTATTTATAGAATAAATACGTGTCTACGTTGTTCTGATGTCGACTAGACATACTACACTTTTTTTGTGCTTCGATGCCTACGGACTCTTTTAATGGCTGCGGGTCGACGAGTCGCCTTCTTCACGGAATCACAAATTATCCAATTTCAATACACTTTATTTAAAGATATGAGTACATTGAAAAATTGTAAAAAAAATTGCACCTTTCTAGGTGCACTTTAGTAAAAGTATGTAAATAACAAAAATAATTTGTTTATAACAATTATTGTTTTACAAATTACCTAATTCTTATTTATCCATTTTTCAGAGATCAGTAAATTGCAAAATTAGAAAAAATCTGCACTTCTTTTGGTGTAAAATTGTAAAAGTTTATAAATAATAATAATAATTTGTTTATAACAATTATTGTTAATCAAATTGCCTAATTCTTATTTATCCATTTTTCAGAGATCAGTAAATTGCAAAATTAGAAAAAATCTGCACTTCTTTTGGTGTAAAATTGTAAAAGTTTATAAATAATAACAATAATTTGTTTATAACAATTATTGTTAATCAAATTGCCTAATTCTTATTTATCCATTTTTCAGAGATCAGTAAATTGCAAAATTAGAAAAAATCTGCACTTCTTTTGGTGTAAAATTGTAAAAGTTTATAAATAATAACAATAATTTGTTTATAACAATTATTGTTAATCAAATTGCCTAATTCTTATTTATCCATTTTTCAGAGATCAGTAAATTGCAAAATTAGAAAAAATCTGCACTTCTTTTGGTGTAAAATTGTAAAAGTTTATAAATAATAATAATAATTTGTTTATAACAATTATTGTTAATCAAATTGCCTAATTCTTATTTATCCATTTTTCAGAGATCAGTAAATTGCAAAATTAGAAAAAATCTGCACTTCTTTTGGTGTAAAATTGTAAAAGTTTATAAATAATAACAATAATTTGTTTATAACAATTATTGTTTTACAAATTACCTAATTCTTATTTATCCATTTTTCAGAGATCAGTAAATTGCAAAATTAGAAAAAATCTGCACTTCTTTTGGTGTAAAATTGTAAAAGTTTATAAATAATAATAATAATTTGTTTATAACAATTATTGTTAATCAAATTGCCTAATTCTTATTTATCCATTTTTCAGAGATCAGTAAATTGCAAAATTAGAAAAAATCTGCACTTCTTTTGGTGTAAAATTGTAAAAGTTTATAAATAATAACAATAATTTGTTTATAACAATTATTGTTAATCAAATTGCCTAATTCTTATTTATCCATTTTTCAGAGATCAGTAAATTGCAAAATTAGAAAAAATCTGCACTTCTTTTGGTGTAAAATTGTAAAAGTTTATAAATAATAACAATAATTTGTTTATAACAATTATTGTTAATCAAATTGCCTAATTCTTATTTATCCATTTTTCAGAGATCAGTAAATTGCAAAATTAGAAAAAATCTGCACTTCTTTTGGTGTAAAATTGTAAAAGTTTATAAATAATAATAATAATTTGTTTATAACAATTATTGTTAATCAAATTGCCTAATTCTTATTTATCCATTTTTCAGAGATCAGTAAATTGCAAAATTAGAAAAAATCTGCACTTCTTTTGGTGTAAAATTGTAAAAGTTTATAAATAATAACAATAATTTGTTTATAACAATTATTGTTAATCAAATTGCCTAATTCTTATTTATCCATTTTTAAGAGATCAGTAAATTGCAAAATTAGAAAAAATCTGCACCTTTTTTGGTTTAGAATTGTAAAAGTTTATAAATAACAAAAAAATTTGTTTATAATAATAATAATTATAAAATTCTTATTTATAAATTTTGTCTTATTCTTTTACTTTTTGTTATATAATCACACACTTACCTGTATTTGTATTGTTTGTTCAGAGGTTACCCTGTCACTGCAACATTAGCTATCACTCACTTTAATAAACGCGACTTTTTATAATTGTTTTTAAATAATTTTATGCAAAATTTTTTATTTTGGGGAGCACAGCGGAATTCTATAGACCCTCCTCTATCATTCCATACAAGTTTCATCCCAAAATATTAATTTTCTTAAGAGAAAATTCGAAAGTTGCAAACCACTTTTTCCTGTACTAGGTCACGTGGTTTTCTCCCACATGGCCTTAACAACTCTTCAAAAGTTTTTAGGTGTTATTACAAACATTACGTGAGAAACACAAATAAGTGTCTTTTATATTGAGAAAAAAAAGAAATAACTTGAAAAGAAACTAATGTTAACTTGCTTTATACGAATTTTCTCTTTATTATATATGTTTTAAATTATTTTCCTTACCATTTTTTTTTATAAAATTTTTTCTGGCAAAAAAATTTAAAATTTAAAAAAAAAATTAAAATTCAAAGTTGATTTGTTAATTGACTATGGCGCAATTAAGGGAATATATTTTTAAGTAAAGAAAATAGCAGTTTATGTGAAAAGCAGGTTTCATGCATTCATCTTTATACTGGTAAGGATTACTTGTTAGCCTTTTAAGTTAATAAACCTTTCGGTCTGACAGGAGTAGACTGTTTTTTTTTTTTATTTTTTTATTTTGTTCTCTAAATAACTTCCACTTTCGCATTTTCTAAAGGACTCACGCTCACAGAGAGTGAGAAAACCGCACACACGATGTATATATACAGATATTGTACACGTTTGTAGATTCAATTATGTATCATGCAACAACTTTTCAGAATTTAAAAAAAAGACACAAAATATAAGGTATATAAATATTTTTTTACCGTAAAAGAAATTTTAATTGAGGCACTTTTTACACATTTCGTTTATTTTAACATCATTTTTATTTTAGAAAAAAAATTTTCTAAAAATTCATTTATACTTTTATGAAATTTAAAATAATTTTAATAACTATTTTTTAACATTTATTATTTAGCGCCTTTTTTTATAATTTACGAAAAAATTCGAAAATTTCTATTCTCTCGAAGTTAAATTTTTTTATTAGAATATACTGAAATTCAATAGAACCTCGCAAAGGTTTTTTATAAAATCAAATAAAGATTGTTTTATCACAATCTATTTGCAAATAAAATTATTTTAAATTGATTCAATTCTTATCATCTAAAGAAAAATCATGATAAAATTAACAATAAAATACATTTCAAAATAAAGTTTCATTTATTTTTTTTTTTTTAATAAAAAGAAAGTTAATTTTAAATAATATAATAATTAATTTTTATTTTTCTCAAGAGCCTTGTTAACATAATAATGAACATCATGAGCAATTGTAAATTTGAAAATTGACCATGTTAATTGATGATATTGTTTCATTATTTCGTCAATATCATTAGATATTTTATTCTCAATAGTTTGTTCAATAGGTTGAATATTATTTAAAATAATTTTCATAAATTGATCCTTTAATTCAATTAACGATGTAAAATCATCAATTGAATTAATTTTTTCCAATAATAATTTAAATAAAATAGGATATTCTTGTTCATTGACAAATTTTCCAAATCTATTACAATTTGCAATTATTTTCATAATTCCATTTGTGACATTATTTACAATTTTTTTTATATCAAATTTTTTGTTTATTAAATTATTTTCATTTATAATTGAATCAATTTCACATGAAATTTTCATTAAAACATCATTAGAAACATCATAAATACGATCAAATAAATAAGAATGAACAATATATCTCACGTGATTTTGAATATCAAGACATGATTCTTTAGGACAAATATAATCTTCAAGTCCAAGATAAAAGCTAAGGGAATTGTAAAGCATATTCTTCAATTCTTCTTCATGTTCCATTGTTACTGTAACTAATTAGTAATTAAAATTTGTTAGTCTTCTGTTTTTTTTTGTTTTTTTATGAAGAAATAATTTTCTATTGTAAAATTATTTTATTCACCTCGTTTACAGAACCATCTGCATTCTTTTTCTGTATTAAATCTGTTACCATTACCGTCACTTCCTCCATAAAAAAATGGTACACATTTATTTTCTGTTTTAACAAAACCATAATATTCCTTCCAATTGTCCTGTCCACCATTATCAATATCCAGGAAACAATCTTTGTGAAAAAAAATTTTTTTTTTGTCAAAAATTAATAATTATTATTAATTTTTTTTTTTATTAATTAATAGTAAATAAATTAATAATTATTATTAATTTTTTTTATTAATTAATAGTAAATAAATTAATAATTATTATTAATTTTTTTTTATTAATTAATAGTAAATAAATAAATAATAATAATTAAGGGTATTATTATTAATTAATTAATACTTATTTTTCGTGTTTAATTTTAATTACCTTCCTTAGTATGTGATTCAAGAACCAAACTTTCGTTCACTTAAACATAAAAATTTTGGTTTAATTTTTATTTTTGAATTGAAGTTAAAAAATTTAAAAAAAATCCCCACTCACTTGGTTCACAGAGGTCTATACAATCTTCATAATTTTTAAATCTATTGGCGTTACCACCTCTTCCTCCATATTGAAATTCTATGCATTCTTCTTGTTCTTTATCATATGCAAATTGTAACGTCCAATTCTCATAACGACCAGAATCCCATTTTAATAAACATACTTTAAACATATTTTTATGAATTTTTATTATTATTCATTAGTAAATATAATTAAAAATAAAAATAAAAAAGTAGTAAAAAATAAATAAATATTATATAATAATTCAAATAGATATTTATAATAAAAATATTGAAATTTAAAAAAAAAATTTTTAATTAAAAAGAAATCATAATTGTTTTTAAATAAAAAAAAAAACTTACCTTCTTTTGATAATAATCCAGGTAATATTTCTTCCTCTTCTATAAGAAACAATAATTTATTAAAAAAAAAACAAAAATTAGTTAAATTATTTTTACTGAACTTGAAAGATAATTTTTTTTTTTTTTTTTATTTACTTACCAATATCACAATTTTTTATGCAATCATTTAATGTTTCAAATCTGTTGTCATTTCCGCCACTTCCACCGTACCAAAATCTTTCACATTGTTCTGCAGTTTTATTGAACCAATAAGAAAGAGTATAATTATCATCTGGACCTTCGTCAAAATCAAGTAGACATAATTCTGCCTTTGGCGAACTCCAAACCCCTTGGAAAACAAAATATTTAAAATTTATTTCAATTAAAAAAATTACTAAAATTAATAATTAATAAAATTAAAAATTAATAAAATTAAAAATTAATAAAATTAAAAATTAATAAAATTAAAAATTAATAAAATTAAAAATTAATAAAATTAAAAATTAATAAAATTAATAATTAATCAAATTAATAATTAATAACATTCAAAAAAATAAAATAAAAAATTTTTCTTAATTTCTAACACAGTAAATTTGTTGAGATTAAGGTGGATCGAGTAAAATAACACAGTTGATTTGAGAACAAGATTTAATATTTATTATAAGTTAAAAATGAATATAAGACAAGAGCGAACTAATGCGTCGAAACGAAAATACTTGTATTGTTGTGTTGTTGTGTGAAAGTGTACACTATATAGGTGGCGTTCAAAAAATAGTCACGTGTCCTTTTAATCGTACAAGGCGCGAAATATAAAATATTCGTTCTTCAACACTCCCCCTCGATTAAGGGACACTTTTAATCATTACACTGTAAATTTCACTAGACCGAGGCGGTCGATACACTTCATATGTTTCTGCTTCTGTAGACCTTTCGTCAAAACGTCGGCAGCCATGTCCTCCGTTGGTAGATACTCGATTGTAATTTCTCCTCTTCTTAGAATCTCGCGTATATAATGGTGGCGAACGTCAATGTGCTTACTCCTATTATGGAATATCGGGTTTCAGCTAATTTACGGGCACCATTGTTGTCACAGAAAATTATTATTTTTTTCGTCTTTGCGAATCCTAGTTCATCAAGGAAACGTTTCAAATGTGTTGCTTCTTTTCCGGCTTCGGCTAAGGCCATATACTCGGCCTCAGTCGATGAGAGGGCCACAGTCCTCTGCTTCCTGGATTCCCATGAGACACTGGATCCTCCGAGAATGAACGAAAAACCGTATAGGACTTTCTGTCATTTGGGCAATTTGCCCAATCGGCGTCTACAAATCCTTTCAGTGATTCTCCGGATCGATGAAAATGTAGACCCACATTTTTTGTTCCTTGCAGATAACGGAGTACGCGTTTTGCGGCCACCCAATGGCTCACATCGTGGCAATTATTGAATTGGCTAAGGTAACTGGTCGCATGTGCGATGTCGGGACGAGTACACATAGCCAGATACATCAATGCTCCCATAAGTTCACGATACGGGTGTGAGCTTTCTTCATGATCAGGATCCTTCGATTTTCCAGTTTTACTCCAGGGTCCAGTGGTGTTGATACCGGTTTGGAGTCCGACATCCCAAAACGAGTGAGGACATCATTGATGTATCCAGTTTGGCTGATCTGAATTCCATCTTCTTTCATAATGAACTCCATTCCCAGGCAGTGTTTTAACCGTTCCAAGGTCCTTAACATCAAAGATCTTCGATAGATAATTTCCGAATCTTGTGATATTGTTTTTGTTCCGAGAGGCGACGAGGAAATCGTCGACATAAATTGAAATTATCAGCAAATCTTTTCCTTTTCCTTCGTAGTACACACACGGATCGTGAGAAGATCTTTTTGCACCGAATTTTATTAATTCTTTGTCGATTCTAACGTTCCAACAACGTCCAGCTTGTCGTAGACCGTAGAGTGCCCTTTTCAGCAAGCACACTTTGTCCCCTGATTGAAGATCGATCAGCATTTTCTTTGCTTTCCTTCCGATATCAGAGTCGAGACTTTCGGTGGCGGTGATTTCTTCCAGAGCTTGAATGGTGTACTTTGGTACTTCCATGAGTACCTCCTCGTCAAGGGTACCATTTAAATAAGCAGTTGTGATGTCGAATTGTTTAATCGTCATGCCATGTTCCGCTGCTATTGCCGTTATGCATCTGATGGAGCTGAGTCGTGCCACGGGGGAAAATGTTTCGTCAAGTCTATTCCGGGTCTTTGAGCAAATCCTCTTGCTACAACCCTTGCCTTCCTTCGATCCAAACTTCCATCTTCTTTATATTTATTCCTAATATCATTCGACTACCTATTACAGCTTTATCACTCGGTCTGTCGATGATAATCCAGGTGTCGTTCTTGACAAAGATTTGATTTCCGATGTTATTGCGTTGCTCCAATCTTCAGCGTCTGGTCCTCGAATAGCCTGTTCCAGCGGTATTTCGGCGAGAGACACAATCTCCTCAATTGAATTTGAACAATTTAGCATGTTGTACTTCTTTCTGGGTCTCCCCCTCTGACCAGTTTTGACCTTCTGAGGTCTACCAGGGCCTCTGCGCTGATTGTCATTGTGAGCACCCTCGCCTTCGTTCTGTTCACTCTCTTCTTGATCGTTTGACTCGTCGCTCAACTCTTCTTCCACGTCATACCGATCGTCGTCCGATTCGACCATAGCTTCGTTTTCCTCTCGACGTTCGTGATCATTCTATTTCTAGGTGATAAAATCAGTTCGAGTTTTGCACTATTGTCGTTGTTAAATTCGTTTCGATCTTCTGGTTCCGGCGATTTCTTTGGTAGTCCGATGAACTTCACATCCCTGGTGATATCAATTCGATGTTCACTGTATCCATACCCGATAGCCTTTGGATTCATCGAATAACCGACAAATATTCCGTTTTTGAGCGTGAGTCCAGTTTACCTTTTGTCGGCAATCTATTCAAGGTGAAAACTTCCGATCCAAATACTTGAAATTCGCTTACGTCCGGAGCTTTTCCCATCCATTTTTCGAAAGCGGTCATACCACCGAGACTTCTGGAGGACAACGGTTTCGAATATAATTCGAAGTATTAACAGCTTCGCCCAAAACGCTGGGGGAAGAGATGATTGCTTGAGGAGACATCTCGTCATATCCATCAGAATCCGGTTTCGCCTCTCCGCAACTCCATTCTTTGAGGTGTATAGGTGACGGTTAACCTTCTACCGATGCCATTTTCTTTCAGGTACTCGTCGAATGCAGAGTTTATGTACTCTGTTCCATTGTCTGACTGAACAAATTGTATCCTGCATCCGTGTTTATTTTCAGCTGCGGCTTGAAGTCCTTGAAAGCGGAAAGTACTTCGTCCTTTCTTTTCAAGAGACGTATCACGCACCAACGAGAGTAATCGTCGATAAACGTCGCGATATACCTGGCTTTGCCAACTGATTCCACGCGTATCGGGCCACATACGTCGGTGTGGATGATTTCCAGTAATTTCGAACTTCTCTCTGATGACTTTGGAAAAGGCGCTCGTGTCATTTTTTCACTGAGACATATTCTGCAGTTGAAACTATTTCGTGTATTTCCGAGATTCATACCACGCACATTTCCTTTCCGGTCACTGTCGATGAGATCGCGAACGTTCAAGTGTCCCATTTTCACATGCCACTCTTCCATTGCATTGTCCTTAACGTTTTCGTCGATCACAACATTTGAATTAAGTTCATTGTTCACTTCACGTATGTAGTATAAGCCTTCCTTTCGATCAGCAGCGAGTATTGTGTCGCCTTTTTCATTGATTATTTTAGCCTCTTGTTTGTCGAAAATCACTACACAATTTCTATCTGTGAGCTTTCCTACGGATAACAAGTTTGTGCGCAATTGAGGAACACGTAGCACGTTACTGACACTTATGTTTTTCACATGACCGTTGACGTCTGTACTAATAGCCACAGATCCTTTTCCTTCAATTGGAGTAGTGGATTTTTCACTGGCTAATTTGACACTGCCGGCACAAGGTTGAAGTTCGGTTATAAAATTCGCATCACTGTTTCCCATGTGCGTCGTGCAGCCACTATCAAGACACCATAATTCACTGCTTCGCGATTTGTCCGTCTCGTACGTTTCCGAACAATTCATGTTTTCTGCACTAACTAATAAACATTCGTCATACACTGTGTTTGCGTTGCTTTTATTTCCTTTCGATTCATTACAGTCAATCGCTTTATGACCGAGCTTACGACACCGGTGACATCTAAATTTAAAGGGTTCACTTTTTTGTTCACTGTCACGTTTTTTATTATCGTCTTTTCGAATTGTATTACGAGATTTAAAGAACTTCCTTTTCGCGAACATCGCGTCAGAGACATTGTATTGAACTCCGTTCTTTCTCGCTTCATATTCCTCTACTATTTTCACGCGTAATGTTTCGGGGCTCGGCAACTCGTCACGCGACTCGATCGCGCAGCGAAAATTTTCAAATTTAACGGGCAAACTATAAAGTAACATTACGGTCAGGAGATCTTTGTTTATATCTATATCCATTTCGCTTAGCTTGTCAATGATATCGAAGAATTTTTGCAAATGATCGTGCACGTCACCGTCGTCTGTCATTTTCAATAATGTAAGCATCTTAAGCAACGTCGCTTTTCGTGCTGGCCCGGTCGACTGGTAAATTGACTTTAACTTTTGCCACACTTCTGCGAGGTGTTGCAACCTTTTATTTGCTTCAATTCCGACGGTTTGATTGCTAAGATGATGTCCGATCTTGCTTTTCTATCTTCATTATCCCAAGCTCCTGCTGCTGCCACGGATTCCGCGTTCCCGTCAACGATTGTGGGTCTGACTTTTTCCCCACTCACGTAACCCCAGGAATCGTTTTTTATTAAGATCGCTTCCATTTGAATTTTCCACGTGTCATAATTATTTTTACACAAAACTTCGATTCGAACACTTTGTGATGCCATTTTCAATCGCGAGATTCCACGTTTCGAGAAATGACGCCGACTTCAACACAACAGACGCGTCACACGAACTCCGCGTATAAGTTTTACTTTTCCTGCGATTTTACTATTTCCCGTCCTGGGCCCATAACCTGTTGAGATTAAGGTGGATCGAGTAAAATAACACAGTTGATTTGAGAACAAGATTTAATATTTATTATAAGTTAAAAATGAATATAAGACAAGAGCGAACTAATGGCGTCGAAACGAAAATTACTTGTATTGTGTTGTTGTGTGAAAGTGTACACTATATAGGTGGCGTTCAAAAAATAGTCACGTGTCCTTTTAATCGTACAAGGCGCGAAATATAAAATATTCGTTCTTCAACAAAATTGATAAATAATTTTTTTAATTTACCAAAGAAGAATGTAAATAAAAATAAAAGATGACTAATAAAAAACTTCATTATGAAAATTTTTTGTTTCTTGTATTAAAATAAAATGATACAAGACCGTTAATATATCACTTCTCATGTACCGAACAATTTTTTTTCTTTCTTTTTTTTAAATAAATATTTTATGAATTATTAATAACACAATTAACATGAGAAAAAAGATTTTAATATTTTATCAGGGTATTCACTGGCATTCATCAATATCGTAATATAGTAATTAATTAATTCTTTATTAATGACGTCAATAAATAATAATAAATATATCGTATATAATCTTACACTCTCATAGTAATGTTTTATTTGATATAAAAATAAAATATATATATTTGAATTAAATAAACGTATATATATTTGTCTCAGCCCATTTATTTGGTGTAAATAAAAATTTTTAAATTGTCATTTTTAAATAAAATTTTTTATTTAAATCAAATAAAATTTATTTGAAACAAATAAAAATTTTTAATTGTCATAGTAAATAAAATTTTTATTTAAATCGAATAAAATTTATTTGAAACAAATAAAAATATATTTGGTTCTACACTCAGAAAAATGGTATATTTGTCTCCGAGCCTACTAACTCATTTATTTGTTGCAAATATATTTCATTTCATTGAAATAAAAAATTTATTTGAGCCAAAGAAAAATTTATTTCTGACAAATAAAATTTTTATTTACGCCAAATAAATAAGTTAGTAGGCTCTGAGACAAATATACGTTTATTTAACTCAAATATATTTTATTTGGTTCAAATAAATCATTTCTCTGGGTGTAAGACAAATATATATATATATATCTTTTCTCTGGGTATGTAATTAGTTAATTTCATGAAAATTAAATATTTTGATGAAATATAATTTTTAAATTCTAAAATTCTTCAATACTTATTGCATTATATTTATTTTAGAGAAGTTTCTAAAATAAAATAAAGTCTAAAAAAATTTTATAATATATATATATATAAATTGATGACATGTTCTGAAATTTTCATTTTTTTTTTATATTTAGCATTTTGCTACTGAGAAATTTCTACCCATCTAAAAGTTGGAAACTTCATAAATCTTTCTTGCGAAACTACGTAAAATACACTCAAGAATCATCAATAATCAGTTCAATTCTTTCTGTAATATAAGTTCGTTTTTTTTCTTGTTTATTTCCTTCATTTATCAAATATTTCCCGCAGCTGTCATTAAAAATTCTTTTTACAAAGTTTTACAAAGGAAAAAAAATTGTGAATACATATTTTATCGTTTTTTTTTTTTTTTTTTTGCAACAAAATCTATTTTTTAATTCTAAATATATATATACAAACAGTTTATATTAACATTGCTCAATGTTTATAAATTATTAATATCATAAATGAATATTATACGTATTTTGTGTGCAAAACATATGTGATTTAATATGATTGAATAGAATCGTAATGTTTACTTTCTCATTTACATAAATAAGTTATATATATATATTTTTTAATTTTTGAATAATAATATTGAAATACTTTTTAATGATAAAATTATAAATATATTTAAAAAAAAAAAATTTATTTTCAAAATATACCATTTAATTGACTCAATTATAATAATTAATTAAAAATATTTATTTGATAATAATTATCAAATAAATATTTTTAATTAATTATTATAATTGAGTCAATTAAATGGTATTTGTTTCAAATATATAGAAATTATTGCTTCAACTACAGTTGAATATATATATATATATATATATAAATTATTTGACTCAAATAATTATTTATTTGATAATAACACAGATTTACAGATTCGGGTCAACTTTTGGACCCAGAAAGGCAAGAGCGTTTCTTAACGTATTTTTTTATGCTAAATTCGAATCCTTTATTAGATTTTTCGTATCACGTCAAAATTCAAAATGGCGGATCCAAAATGTCGGAAAAAATTCGCTGGTTACGAATATGATATCAGATTTTTAAAATTCAAAATGGCGGATCCAATATGGCGAATGACAGAAATAAAAATTAGTTGGATTTGCTTGAAACTTGTTACTCGGGAGGTTTTTGTGGTCGCTGATTACGAATTTGCCATCAGATTTCAAAAATTCAAAATGGCGGATCCAATATGGAGGAAAAAATTTAAAAATTGCTCGTATTTGCTTAAAATTCGTTTAAAAATGTGATGTCAAATTCGTAATCAGCAACCTCAAAAAACCCCCCTAAAGTAACAAGTTTCAAGCAAGTCCAATTAATTTTTAATTTTTTCATCCGTTAAATTGGATCCTTGATTTAAAACTTTAAAAATCTAATGTCAGATTCGTCATCAGCGACTTGAAAAACCCCTAAGTTATACGTGTTTCAAGCAAATCCGATCAATTTTTAAATTTCTTTCCGCCATATTAAATCCGCCATTTTGAATTTTAAAAATCTGAATTCATATTTGTAATCAGCGATACCAGAAAGCTTGAACAAATTTCTGACTTTTTTTTATAAGTTTTTAAGTTTTTAATTGTACGACTTTTTATTTGTACGAATTTTTAAGACGGCGAATTTTCATTTGTCCGAATTTTTATTTGTACAAATTTTTAATTGTACGAATTTTCATTTGCCCGAATTTTTATTTGTACAAATTTTTAATTGTACGAATTTTTATTTGTACAAATTTTTAAGACGCCGAATTTTCATTTGCCCGAATTTTTATTTGTCCGAATTTTTATTTGTCCGAATTTTTATTTGTCCGAATTTTTATTTGTACAAATTTTTAATTGTACGAATTTTCATTTGTCCGAATTTTTATTTGTACAAATTTTTAATTGTACGAATTTTTATTTGTACAAATTTTTAAGACGCCGAATTTTCATTTGCCCGAATTTTTATTTGTCCGAATTTTTATTTGTACAAATTTTTAATTGTACGAATTTTCATTTGCCCGAATTTTTATTTGTCCGAATTTTTATTTGTCCGAATTTTTATTTGTCTGAATTTTTATTTGTACAAATTTTTAATTGTACGAATTTTCATTTGTCCGAATTTTTATTTGTACAAATTTTTAATTGTACGAATTTTTATTTGTACAAATTTTTAAGACGCCGAATTTTCATTTGCCCGAATTTTTATTTGTCCGAATTTTTTTTATAAGTAATATAGTTTAATTAACAATAAAAATTTTGTTAAAAGCATCAAAAATATAAAATTGCACTTATCTCAAAAACCTGACGTGTAGTAAAAAAAACGGACTGTTGATTCGAATTCAGCGTTAAAATTTACTTTAGAAACAGGTCTTCGTTGCTCGTGTCCAAAACCGTGTATTGTGTAATCAAATAAAATCGATTGTTTGAAACAAATAAAAAAAAAAAAAAATTTTCAGTGTGTCTATATTCGAAAATTTCAAAAAAAAAATAAAATAAAATAAAAATTATATATCTCTGTTTTATTTTGTTGATTAAAAATATATTATAATATAATAAATAAAACCAAATTACTTCAATCTTCATTTCAAAGTGTCAACTGTACAATTTCAGTTGATCCCAAACTAAATTCGAAATATAGATCTCTGAGAATTTGAAGCAATCCTATGCAAATCAGAATTTGAATACACCTTGATGTTGTTTCAGATCAGAAATTAACAACATATTACTGAGATATCATTCAAAGTACATAGAGCATTAAATATTCACAAAGTCTTTGCTTATAAAATAATTGGTATTTTTTCTTTTTGTACTTAATTACCATAATTATACCTTAATTACAAGATATAATTATACATTAATTAATAATTATCAGAAAAATAGAAAGTAATTTCTTTAATTTTTTTTTTTTTTTTTTTTATAAATAAATCAAAATTAAATTTAAATGATATAATAATAATAATTTTTGAATATTTTTGAGAACAATTTTTTCGTAATATTTTTACATTGAACAAACATTGAATTTTTGAATATGAATTTATTGTAGTTTTAATTTAAGAAACTTATTTTCAGTTAGAATTTGAACATTCTATATAAACATCAAAATAAATTTATATTGTACAATGCTCATTAAATGGTTGACTAACTTTTTAAATGAGTTATAATGAAAATTAATTTTCCTACCGGTGTTGTATTCAAATTCGTAAAGCGTGTGACGTGATTTTAACTGAAACTAATTCGTAACTTATAGGAAATCTGTTAAACAATGAAATAAGTTTATATAAAATGACCGAAAGCAATTTACAATATTCTAGTTTTACTCTAAAGCGTCAAGGGACCAATCTTTCATCGATATATATATATATATATATAACTTCATTGGATTCAAAGTATAATGTATATAATATCCAACCACATAATTTAAATCGATAATCAATATTTACACTTATATACTATGGTTTATATATTGAATATTAATATAATGCCCAATTATAAAATTTCTAAAAGTATAATAAAAAGATCAAATTGAATATTTGAGAAAGAAAAATTAATTCCTTTATAAATAATTAATTTATTTGAAAAAATTTTCTTAATTTTTTTTTCTTTTGTTCTCTTATGTCTTTATTTTTTTTTTTTTTTTACAAAAGTCTGTGACTACTATTTATGAGGCAAAGTAGAAAAAGACTCAACAAATTATCTACTTTGCGGCAGTAACTTTATAAAATCCGATTAAGAATGACTGTACCAATCATAAACTAACTATAAAGGAACAATCTTCCATTTGTGAAAGAATTTATTTAGATATGTAGTTTTTTTTTATTTTTGACATTTAAAAATAAAAAAAAAAAATTAGATTAGAAATAATTAGAATTAATTAGATTAAAATTAGATTAGAATTAATGGGGAGCATGATTATCCCCAAAATAATCATTAATTACAATTTTCAAATTAAAATTTAATTGAATTATTTTAATTATTGTTTGGCTGAATTTTTATTTTACAAATCAGTTAATTTACATGATTTTTTTTATTTAAAAGAATTTTAATGTAATCGAATTTTTAATTTAACAGAATTCTCATTGAATCGAATGATTGAATTCGAATTTTTAAAATGACAGAAATTCCAGTTTTTTCGCATTTTAATTTGTCCGAATTTTTAAGACGCCGAATTTTTATTTTTTCGAATTTTTATTTGTACAATTTTTTAATTGAACGAATTTTTAAGACGCCGAATTTTCATTTGTCCGAATTTTTATTTGTACGAATTTTTAATTGTACTACTTTTTATTTGTACGAATTTTTATTTGTCCGAATTTTTATTTGTCCAAATTTTTATTTGTACCAATTTTTAATTCTACGAATTTTTAAGACGCCGAATTTTCATTTGCCCGAATTTTTATTTGTCCGAATTTTTATTTGTCCGAATTTTTAAAGCGCCGAATTTTAATTTGTCCGAATTTTTAAAGCGCCGAATTTTAATTTGTCCGAATTTTTAAAGCACCGAATTTTAAATTGATAGAATTTTTAAGACACCGAATTTTTATTTGTACAAATTTTTAATTGATAGAATTTTTAAAACGCCGAATTTTAATTTATCCAAATTTTTAAGGCGCCGAATTTTGAATTGATATAGAATTTTTAAGACGCCGAATTTTTATTTGTACAAATTTTGAATTGATAGAATTTTTATAACGCCGAATTTTAATTTGTCCGAATTTCGAATTGATATAGAATTTTTAAGACGCCGAATTTTTATTTGTCCGAATTTTTAAGGCGCCGAATTTTATTTTTTCCGAATTTTTAAGACGCCGAATTTTTAATGTGTCCGAATTTCGAATTGATATAGAATTTTTAAGACGCCGAATTTTTATTTGTCCGAATTTTTAAGGCGCCGAATTTTATTTTTTCCGAATTTTTAAGACGCCGAATTTTAATTTGTCCGAATTTCGAATTGATATAGAATTTTTAAGACGCCGAATTTTTATTTGTCCAAATTTTTAAGGCGCCGAATTTTATTTTTTCCGAATTTTTAAGACGCCGAATTTGAATTTGCCCGAATTTTCATTTGTTCGAATTTTTATTTGTACAAATTTTTAAGACGCCGAAATTTTATTTGTCCGAATTTTTATTTGTCCGAATTTTTATTTGTCCGAATTTTTAAAGCGCCGAATTTTAATTTGTCCGAATTTTTAAAGCGCCGAATTTTAATTTGTCCGAATTTTTAAAGCACCGAATTTTAAATTGATAGAATTTTTAAGACACCGAATTTTTATTTGTACAAATTTTTAATTGATAGAATTTTTAAAACGCCGAATTTTAATTTATCCAAATTTTTAAGGCGCCGAATTTTGAATTGATATAGAATTTTTAAGACGCCGAATTTTTATTTGTACAAATTTTGAATTGATAGAATTTTTATAACGCCGAATTTTAATTTGTCCGAATTTCGAATTGATATAGAATTTTTAAGACGCCGAATTTTTATTTGTCCGAATTTTTAAGGCGCCGAATTTTATTTTTTCCGAATTTTTAAGACGCCGAATTTTTAATGTGTCCGAATTTCGAATTGATATAGAATTTTTAAGACGCCGAATTTTTATTTGTCCGAATTTTTAAGGCGCCGAATTTTATTTTTTCCGAATTTTTAAGACGCCGAATTTTAATTTGTCCGAATTTCGAATTGATATAGAATTTTTAAGACGCCGAATTTTTATTTGTCCAAATTTTTAAGGCGCCGAATTTTATTTTTTCCGAATTTTTAAGACGCCGAATTTGAATTTGCCCGAATTTTCATTTGTTCGAATTTTTATTTGTACAAATTTTTAAGACGCCGAAATTTTATTTGTCCGAATTTTTATTTGTACGTATTTTTATTTGTCCGAATTTTTATTTGTACGAATTTTTATGACGCCGAACTTTTTATTTGTACGAATTTTTTATTGTACGAATTTTAATTTGTCCGGAATTAAAAAAAGTAACCGAATAAACAATCGACAAAAAGATTTTTATTGGCACAATATTTTCAAAAAAAAAAAATTGACAAATCAAAAATTATATCAAGAAAATTGTGATTGATGAATTTTTAATAATTCCACCGAAATCTAGTTCTGTCAATTATTTGTTCGGTCATTTTTGTTATTTCGGACAAAAATGAATATTCGGACAAATTACTAATTCGTTGAATTGGAATTTATGTTATTTAAAAATTTGAATAATTTATAAAAAAGAAAAAATTCCATTGAATGAAAATTCTGATTAAAATTCTTTTAAATATAAATTGTATATAAATATATAAAAAATTATTTGAAAATTAGAAAAAAATTAATAGATTTAATTTTTTTTTAAGGAAAATTATGAAGAATTATTATTATTATTTTCGGAAATATTCAATTGGAAAAAACTTAGGAAAATGAAATTGCAAATCATAATTAAGTATTGTATTAATATAATTAGAAAAAAAAAATTGTCATTGGGTCAAATAGTTTCTCCCTTCATGTTTTTCTTTTTGTTTTTTTTTTTTTTTCTTTTAATTTTTCTCATTTCTTTGCAAATCATTCCATTTAAATGGATTGAAGAATGACTTGACGGAATTGTATTTAGAATATTGACCTCGAATAAAATCTTTGTTATTGATTAAAAATTATTTGAAATCTCAATTTTCTAAAAGTTTTTTCTTTTCTTTTGAAAAAAAAAAAAAACAAATTCATGTTTAATGTCATTGCTTTGTTATTTTCGAGCTTTTTGAAAAATATGTGAAAACCAACTGTTTTAAATTGCAATGAATGCGCGAAAAAAAAAAAACTAGACCAAAAGTTTGATTGGAATATAAAGTTTGAAACTGCGTTTTTGTTTCCTGAATAAAATATAGAACGAGATTGACAAATGAAATCAGAAGACTTTTGTAGAAAGTTGAAAGTAAATTAAAGCTTCAAAAAACTTGTTATGAAATATTGAAATATAAGAAGCAAAACCATATAAGGTAGAAATACAAAAATTATAATATTTTTCCTTTGTTTAATAATAAAAAAAAAAATCGCAGTGAGAAAAATTTTGTTAATTGTAATATTCATTTCGTACAATTTTAATTTTTTTTTTTTATTAAAAACGTTAAAAAGTAAATAGTAAATTGCATTCTTTTTTTAGAAACAAATGAAAATTATAAAAGAATTATTTAATTTAAAATTGTATTGTTTTTTTTCCAAAAATTGGTGATAAATTAGAAGATATTAAAAAATTGTTCCCTTTGTGGTAAATCACAATTTTTCAATTACTTGATACTTATTATTCCTTTGTGAGGGAAAATGTATTTAAAATTTTTTTTTGTTTAATAAACATGAGTACAGGAGAAAAAATTTATCATTGCGGCACTGGTAAACTAAATGTGCGGGTACTGTTAGTTACGTTCACTTAGATTACCACACAAAGAGTTCATAGTTTATTTAACAAAATCAAAATCAAAAAAAAAAAAAAAAAAAAAAATTTCATTCAAACCGAATTTTTTTCTTTTAATTAAACAGATGTTAATTAAAGTGTAAAATAGTATTTTCTACATTAATTTAAGATCAAAGGGATATTTTTTTTTTGTGTGATGCTTTTACAAATTCTGTGTCTGGTGGTATATCACAATCCAGTGTCAATATAAAGTGTAATTATATGATTTTAAAATTAGAAAATTTAATCCTGATTTTTATTCTCTAAGGTAATTAGAAAAATGTAAAAATATATTTTTTTTTATTTCATTTTATTCTTAATTTTTTTTGCAGTAAGAATTTTTCAAAAAAATATTTAAATTTTGACAAAGTTGCTTTTATCAGATCATATTTTTCTTGGAATTTGATCAACTTGTAAAAAAATATTACTGTATATATATGCAAGGTACTTTAGTGCAGTCCTTTCGGTTAGGTTTCGAGTATAAAAATAATATTATAAAAAAAAATATATATATTAAATTTTCAGGCAGAGTTGTATTTTCGAGCAAAAAAAGGAAAAAAAAAAGCAATTTAATATACATATAGTGTTAATGTTTTTACAATAATGAAATAATACTATGGAAATGACATTTGATAATGGACTTTTGCGTAAAATTTGTTAAATTTATTATATGTGAACAATACCGGAAATGTATTTTTCATTATAATTCAAACAACGTCAAGTTGGCACGAGAGCCAAGCTGGCATCGTTCCGGCATCAATAGTAGTGTGTGATTTAATGTGCAATAAAATAAAAATTAACCTGTGAGGTTTCTATAAAATATAAATGCAAACTAGTGTCAACAAATGAAAACAGAAGTTTTTTTTTTTTTTTTTTATTTATAGAAATTTTCTATTATTAACAATTTTTATATAAATAAAAATATAATTAAACCATATTTTTAAATTTATTATTATTTATTATTAAAACAAAAAAATACATCAAATATTTTCAAAATTATTATTTTTTTTATATATAATTTATTTGCCCGTTGATAAATAAATAAATAAATAATTTATATTGAATATATATAAAATCAAAGAATATAGAAAGTATAAAATGGAAAATACGATATGTATATGAAATATAAACGCGAGCATTGAGTTTGCATAAAGCTTATATAACTTTTAATCATCTATTTTATTTACTTATGAAAAGCACAGTTTTCAAGAAAATTACAAAAAAAAAAATAACAATGATATTTATAATATGAACTGCTATTTAAAAAACAATAAAAAATTAATTTTTCTGATCAAAATTTTTTTCCTAAATTTAATTTTATAATAAAATTTTTTAATAATAACAATTTTTTACTTTAAAAATTTTTTTAATTAAAAAAAAAATTAATTTTGAAATGAATGATTTTTTTTCTGAATTTATTTTAAAAATAAAATATTTTTTAACAGATAACATTTGCAATAATTTTCATTTTTAATAGAATTCAAATGAATGTTGAAAAACAATTGGTACTTGAAGAATAAATAGATCTTAAATACACGCGAATTCGTCGAAAAGAAAACTTATCAGGAAATGGCATTATATATATATTTGTTAAATAAATAATCAAGAAAAAATGTTGATTCTATTTTCATGAAAATTTGTTTATTTTGTTTACAGGTTGCAGCCACGGAAATAGCTATGAATTTGCAAACAGTTGTATATATATATGTGTGTATTTTCATCATCAGTTGGTAAAGTACTCTATCCTGATGCACGTGCTCTGATTTAAATTCAACTAAAAATTTAATTACAATAATAAAACAATAAAAAAAAAAAATCAAAGTTAATTTACACAATTTCAAGAAAAAAAAAGCCAAATTTTTTTTTTCCTTTTTAAAAAATTATCTTCATTTCATTTTTTATTATATTAAATGCAAATAATCGAATTTTTCATGAAAAGTGACATATATATTGAAGAGTGAAAATTGTTAAATGACATAAAAGCCGATGGAAATTCAGTAGAAACAGAGGATATTAAATGTAATAAAAAAAAAAGAAGAAAAAAATAAAAAACTTCAGTTATGGAAACAACCTGAAAAGTGTGGACGAAAAGATAAAAAAAAAAAAAAAAAAAAAAAAAAAAAAAGTGATGAAAAAAATGGACAAATAATAAAAGTGAACACACAAACAGGGGGGTAAAAAAAAAATAATGATTATGATGATGATGAACATAACGAGTGAATCATCGATCACAATGAGTGTTAATTGCTCCATTGAAGAGAGTAATTGTACAGATGAGCCCTATTTGCCCTATAGTGACAGGCCAGAAACATATATTTTGCCATTTGTCTTTTTATTTATACTCATCGTTGGAGTTACTGGAAATGGTGTTTTAGTTCTCACAATTTTACGTCATGCTAACATGAGAAATGTTCCCAATACTTATGTTCTTTCATTGGCACTTGGAGATCTTTTGGTAAATAATTTATTTTTTTTTTTTCAAAATTTAATTTTTCTTAAAAAAATTTTATTTATTTTATTTTTTTTATGAATTTTTTATTCATATTATACAATCAAAATAATTATTTATTCGAGTCAATTAAATATTTGTTTTTAATTTACAAAAATTCTATATTAATTCGAATACGGTTCAAAAAAAATTATTCGATTTAAAATTTATTAAAGTAAATGGATAAAATAATAAATAGGAAAAAAAAAAGAAAAAAGCTTATTAGAAATTCTATACATAATATTGATTTTGTGAGAAATGGAAATTTTAATTCTCTATTATATACACTGTTAATAATTATATGGAAAATTATATTGCAAAATTTCATTTGCTAACCGCATTTTTGTCGAATATGTCAATTATTATTTTAAAATTATAATTCAAATATTATTAAATATCAAAATTTAAATCTTATATATAACTAGAAAGTTTCAAAGCTTTCATATTCTTGACAATAGGATTCGTTAAACAATTATACTTGGTTTAAAAGTCGTATCAGAATACACTTAATTTTCATATATATACATTTATTAAATTTCTATGAATAATAAAATTAATCTCTTTTATCATTACAATTGCTTTGTTAAAGAATATATAAATTTTATTGTTTATTATTATTATTATTGATAACAATTAATAATAATAATAATAATTAATAATAATTTAAAACAATAACGATTAGTCATTTTTTTTTGTTTTAAAAAAATTATTAAATTAAAATTATTTTAATAAATAATAATAATTAATAATAATAATTATAATATTAATATATTATAATATTAATATATTATAATGTTAATAATAATTTAATAATTTTTAAAATAATTTCATAATTTAGTATATAATAATTTTTAGTAAATTTTTCATTTTTTTTTTTTTCAAGGTGATTTTAACATGTGTCCCTTTCACGATTACTGTCTATGTACTCGACTCTTGGCCATTTGGACTTATTCTCTGTAAAATTTCTGAATGTGCAAAAGATATATCAGTTGGAGTTTCAGTTTTCACTTTGACGGCACTTTCAGCTGATCGATTCTTCGCTATTGTTGATCCAATGAGAAAACTTCATGCCACTGGTATGTGAAAAAAAAAAAAATCTTTATTTTTTTATACAATCAAAAATTTACAAAAATTTTATTTGTATTAATTTTTGTTTATCTTTTTAATTTTTTTTTTTTGTAATAGAAGTAAAATATTTAATTAATTTCTTTGCGAAAGAAAATATATTTATTTTTATAATTTGAAAAGTTTGATAAAGCAATTTTCTGATAAGAAAATAACATGTTTCTGTTTTTTTTTTTTTTTTTTTTTTTTTCGATTAAAATATAAATAAAGTATGCAAAAGAATTTTCATTTAGGTGGCGGACGGCGTGCAACTAGATTTACAAATTCGATAGCGACTCTGATTTGGTGTCTAGCGGTGATTTGTGCTACACCAGCAGCTTTTTCCTACATAAGAGTTTTTCGGGTTAACAAGGACGTATCTTTTCAGGTGACTTCACTCCCCTTTTTTTTTTTCTTTTTATTCACATAATATAAGATATACTTTTTATGGTTTTTAATTTCATTATTAAAAATTGTCCTTATAATTATTTTTTATTATTACATAAATTTATATTCTTCTAAATTTTATATTCTTTGTCTAATGGTAAAAAACAGGAAAATAATGGTATAAAAATTACCGACATAGAAATCTACATTATCGACTAATGGTAAAAGCAAAAAAATGATGATATAAAAAATTACAGACATAAAAATCTACATTACCTACTGATGATAATCAGAAAGAATTTTCTTTATTTTTGAAATTTGTTTTTCCTTCAGTCGGTAATAAAAAAACCTTCCATTTCATCGAAAAAAGTAATATTTTTTTTTTAAATACAAAGTTAAAACTTATTTTTTAAAGTAAAAATCGATTACCAGCACAGAAATCTACATTATCATCTAATGGTAAAAACAGAAAAATCATGGTATAAAAATTACCGACATAGAAATCTACATTATCGATTAATGATAAAAGCAGGAAAATAATGATATAAAAAATTACAGACATAAAAATACGGCATCAAAAAATAGGCAAAATTTACTTGTAATTTAAGCTCATATAGAGTTTTTTTTTTTAATTAAATTTATTCTCAGCTGAAGAGGTGTCTTTTATTGACAAAGAATGCACCACATATATAAAATTATTATAAATTTATGTAATAATAAAAAATAATTATATAGGTATAATTATCGTGAGATATAAAAAAAAAAAAAAAATTACAAACTATTATAAAAGGTAACAGATTGTTTATATGAAATTTTAAAAACATTTGAAATATTTTTCTCAAATTGACGATATTTAATTGCAATAAAATTTTTACCTCCCTTTGGTGAAAGAAATAAAAAAAAAAAAAAAAAAAATTGTTAAATATTTCAATCATTGAAAATATCATCGTAATTTAATGAATTTTAATTAATGTTTATTGAAAACAGATATTTTGCAATAAATATGAAAATTTAGATTCAATTAAATGAGCAGAAATTAAAAATTTCAAATTGCAATTAAAAAAAAACAGAAAAAATGATAAATTGTCTATTTTTCTGACTGATTGAAAACTAAAAATTATAATTATATTATAATATATAGTAATAATAATTATAATTTAATAATATTATTAAATATTATATTGTATTATTATTATTATTATTATTATTATAATTATTATATTATTATTATAATTATTATTATTATTATTATTATTATTATTATTATATTATAATTTTTTCTAATTAAAAAAAAATTACCTCTAATTTATTTTCATTTTGGCCATAAAAGTAATTGAAATTTTTTTTTTCTTTTTTTAAAAAAAAAAAACCTGAAAAGACAGGAAAATTTTTGATTAATGTGAAAAAAAAATTTCCACAGACTTGCTATCCATTTCCAGAGGAATTTGGACCAAATTATCCTAGAACAGTATTAGTGTGCAGATTCTTCGTTTATTACGCTATTCCACTAACTATCATTGCTGTATTTTATTTTTTAATGGCCAGACATTTAGTTCAAAGTACTCGCAATATACCTGGTGAAATGCAAGGTCAGGTAAGTTTATTTTATAAAATTTATTTTATATATAGATACACGGAAAAAATTTATTTGAGTCAATTAAATATGGTATTTATTAATAATATAATAAAATATTAAATAATATATAATATTTTAAAGATTATTTATTTTAAATATTTTTTTTTTGTAATGTATAGTAAAAGATTATAATTTGAAATTTTGATAAAAAATAGAAAAATAGAAAAAAAAATAATTTTTTTTTTCCAAAATGATATACGAACATAATGAAATTCTAATGTAGAGCAATATGTAAGAGAAACATATAGTGTAGAATTAATTACAATATATATTTCAAATATGCATATAGCCGTAAATTAAGCTAAGAGTCACCTAATTGGGATTCGCCACACACAAATCTGTTTATCAGTGGTACACACAAATATATATGTATATATATATAGGAAATTTACATATTTGGAAACTCTAATAATCAACTACATAATAATTATGTAGTTTGTTTACACATTATAAATCATGTTGTAAGTTCATTTTTTTCTCCATAATTAAAATTAAAAATTAATTAAATTTTAAAATAAATAAAAAAAAAATAATTCAAAAAAAAAAAAGGTAAATAAATTTTTAACTAAAAACAATTTATCATTTTTCTAAGAAAAAAAAAAAAAATTTGGCATATAGCCAAAATTTTAAAACAACTTTATACAAATTAGAAGAGACTCATAAAGTCATAGAATCTTTAATGTCAGATCATAAAATACAATATATAAATGAGGTCGCAAATATTTTCTAAACGAAGACTTTTTTTTTTTATTTTACTAAAAATTTTGCATATATTTCATTTGAATTTAGCTATATATTGAGAAAATAGGGAAAATTTAAATGAGATGAAATTAAATTTAAAGTGAAAAAATTATTTTTGCAAATATAACGTGAAGTTGATTGAAATTTGCCAATTTCAACCGCAAGTAATTTAAGAACATTTACTGACACACCTTCCTTGAGAGGCGTGCACTTATAACGTCTGAAACTTCAAGTGGAAGGTTATTCTCGTTTTAGCTTGAAACACACTTTTTTTTCCATATATAGATCAAACACAGTGCCAACTTAACTTTCAAAGCGAAACTCCCAATAAAATTGAAATAAAAGAAAAAAAAAATGAAGAAAAAAAAAACGAAAGAAAATTAAATAAATAAAAAAAGAATTTATTTTTTTTTTTACTCTATATCATGATATTTATATATATATAAAAAAGAAGGTAATAAATGAAATTTTTTTTTTGTCTTTTTATTTTGTTACAATATAGGTAAAACAAATCAAGGCAAGAAAAAAGGTTGCTAAAATGGTGATGGCATTTGTTGTGATTTTTGCTATTTGCTTCTTTCCACAACATGTTTTTATGCTGTGGTTTTACATTCATCCAACAGCTGAGAGGGATTATAATTCTTTTTGGCATCTTTTTCGCATTGTTGGATTTTGTTTGGCATTTGCGAATAGCTGCATAAATCCAATTGCTCTTTATTTAGTAAGTGGCTCCTTTAGAAAATATTTCAAAAGGTAAGTTATATTTTTGATGTTTAAAAAAAAATGTTACAATAATTTTTTTTTTTTAAATTGAAAAAAATCACAAATATAATATTGGTACATTATTATTATTATTATTATTATTATTATTATTATTATTATTATTATTATTATTATTAATTATATTGTATATATTTATAATTTTGATCATGAATATTTTAATACTTCCAAAAATGCTATTTAAAATTAAAATTTAATTTAATTTAATTTAATTTAAATTTTTTTTTCATATTTACAGACATTGTTGAAAATCACAATACAATTTAAATCTAATAATAAAAATTTATTTTCTTTGATACGTGCACTGAATTTAATATATGGGTTAGAAAGACATTTTTCTATATGTGAAAAGAAAGAATCAAAATATTATTGAAAATCAGAGATATCATGACATTTTGATTTTTTTTTTCTCAACATTTTATATTTTCTACTATTTCTTTAATTTTTCTATTTCTTTTTTTATGACTAAATATTGACTTGTACTACTGACAAAAATAACCCCCCCTCCCTCACAAAAAAAAGTAGCAAGTATATATGATTTTAATATTTATTTGTGCGACTGATAAAATTGTATACAAAAAAGAAAGGAGAGAGTCAAACTAAATATTGACTTGTACTACTGATTTTTTAATTTTTTCATTGTGTCTGACCTAATATTGACTTGTACTACTGATTTTTGCTTCCTCGTGGAGGAAGCTATGTAGTCCTTTCGTTTATAAACTTTTTAAAAATGGTGAAAACAAATTTTCCTCTATATAGAAACATGTTATATGAGATCCTGATCAATTGTCCGGATGTATGTATGTGTGTGTGTATGTGTGTGTGTGTGTGTGTGTGTGTGTGTGTGTATGTGTGTGTGGATCGTTTTTGTGAACACGATATCTTTAACAGGTTTTAATGGATTTGGATAAAATTTGGTAGGCTTATTTAACACATTAATCTCTCAAAAATGACGAGAGGATTTTTAAAAATACCCCAAAAAAAAAATTTTATCGTCTTTTTTCCAAAAAATTTTTTTTAATTGACAAAATTTTTAAATCGAAAAATTTAAGGTAATATATAATATAATCGTCTTCTTTATGTCAAGATGAATCGATTGATATATATAAAGTATAGATTTAATTGAAATTTAAAGAATTAAAGAAAGTTAAAAAATCAAAAATTCTCATTTTAGCTAAAAAATGATGTGTTTATTTAAATTCATGTTTATATATGAAATAATTTTATTCCCTGCATTGAAACGAATTGGTTGGTATATATAAAGTATAGATTTGATTTAAAATTTGAGAATTAATAAAAATTGAAAAATCGAAAATTCATATTTTAGCTAAAAAAATTTGTGTTTTTTTTTAATTCAAGTTGATGAATAAAATAATTATATTCCTTGCATTAAAACGAATCGATTCGTATATATAAAGTTTATGTTACACTCAAAATTAATTAAAATTTTCTTTATTTTTCAAAAAATTTAATTAATTTAAAACATTTTTAATTCGAAAGTTTTTAAATCAATCAATTGAATTGGACAAATTCATTGCTTCCTTCACGAGGAAGCGAATTTTTTGCTTCACACAATGAGGAAGCATAATGTTTATGAAATAAACATAAAGGACCCCCTACTTGTTTTTATTGTACGTCTGACTAAAACGGATTATTACTACTAAAAAACAGCAAAAACCTGGAAAGTCTAACTAAATATTGACTTGTACTACTGATTTTTTTATATTGGACATTATGCCTGACTATAACGAAATTTCACTACTGAGAAATTTACAAATTCTTAAAAAAACTGTCTAAATATTAATTTTGTACTACTGATTTTTTTAATTCAACTATTATGTCTGGCTAAAACCGATTTTTACTACTGATTTTCTAATTTAGTCATTATGTCTGACTAGAATTGAGTTTCACTACTTATAAAATTAAAAAAATTAAAAAATCGAACTAAATATTGACCTGTACTGCTGATTTTTATATTTAGTTATTATGTCTGACTTTAAATGTGTTCTACTACTAGAAAAATTAAAAAAAGTTGTAAATTCTGACTAAATACTAACTTGTACTACTGATTTTCTAATTTAGCCATTATTTCTGACTAAAACCGATTTTAGCTACTGAGAAATTTATACAAATTCTTAGAAAGACTGCCTATATATTGACTTATACTACTGATTTTCTAAATAAAATTATCCTGTCTGACGAAAACTGAGTTTAACTACTGAAAAAATTACAAAAATATACAAAGTCAAATTGAATATTGACGTCTACTACTGATTTTTCTAATTAAACTATTATGTCTGACTAAAAGCGATTTTTACTACTGATAAAATTATTAAAAAAATTATAATGTCCAACTAAATAGTGATTTGTACTACTAGAAAAAGTTAAAAAAAAGTTGTTAATTCTGACTAAATATTGACTTTTACCACTGATTTTATAGTTTAAAAAATTATGTCTGACTATTAACGAATTTTACTACTGTAAAATTTATACAAATTCTTAGAAAGACTGCCTAAATAGTGACTTATACTACTGATTTTCTAAATAAAATTATCCTGTCTGACTAAAACTGAGTTTTACTACTGAAAAAATTACAAAAATATACAAAGTCAAATTGAATATTGACGTCTACTACTGATTTTTCTAATTAAACTATTATGTCTGACTAAAAGCGATTTTTACTACTGATAAAATTATTTTAAAAAATTATAATGTCCAACTAAATAGTGATTTGTAATACTAGAAAAAGTGTTAAAAAAGTTGTAAATTCTGACTGAATATTGACTTGTACCACTGATTTTATAGTTTAAAAAATTATGTCTGACTATTAACGAATTTTACTACTGAGAAATTTATACAAATTCTTAGAAATACTGCCTAAAAATTGACTAATACTACTGATTTTCTAAATAAAATTATCCTGTCTGACTAAAACTGAGTTTTACTACTGATAAAATTATAAAATAATATAAAGTCGAACCTAATATTGACTTGTACTACTGAATTTTTAATTGAATTATTTCGTCTGATTAAACGGATTATTACTATACTGAAAAACCAGCAAAAACCTAGAAAGTCTGACTAAATATTGACTTGTACCACTGATTTTATAGTTTAAAAAATTATGTCTGACTATTGACGAATTTTACTACTGTGAAATTTATACAAATTCTTAGAAAGACTGCCTAAATATTGACTTATGCTACTGATTTTCTGAATAAAATTATTCCGTCTGACTAAAGCGGATTATTACTACTTAAAACAGCAAATACCTAGAAAGTCTGACTAAACATTGACTTGTACTACTGATTTTCTATATTTGATATTATGTCTGACTATAACCAAATTTTGCTGTCTAAATATTGACTTGTACTACTGATTTTCTTATTTACCCATTATATCGGACTCGCAAATAAAATTTATTTGTTTCAAGAAAATATTTATTTGATATTAGTCATGTAATCGATTACTTGAATTAAATAACTTTTTTCCCAGTGTACCCAATTATATATATATATATATAGATTAAGTATAAGCCTGGTGTAGACTGTTTAAATTCCAATTCCTTTTTGAATTACCTAAAATTTGGAGAACATAGAACCATATATATATATATATATAGACAATGATTCTATGTTCGATTTACGAAGAGTGTAGAACGTGTAATGCATAAAATGGAAAGTACCTCGACAACGGTGGGAGTTTGACTATTAACCATGCAGAGCAAATCTATTTTCCCAAGAGCCCCATTGCCTTCAATAAAGATACTTCCCTCTACCTGTGTTGATTTCGATTTAACCTCAAGGAAAATGATTATTTATTGATCGCGTTACTCCTCATCAGTCTCGTTTTAAGCTTCCAATATCATAAAATAATAATTGATATCTGATCCTCTTGGAAAATTTTATCCTCATAAGTTCCAAGTACAATCAAATTTAATATTAGATACCCTCAACATTAACTATATATATATATATTTATTAATTGTGTGATTAATTATTAATTAAATGTTAAGTACAGTAGATATATTAAAATTTACATTATAATATTAATTTAGTTTTTTATTTCTATTTTTTTGTCATATTATTTATATACAAAATATAAATCGGTTCTAAACACAGAAAATTTTAAGGTATTAAAATAAGCTGCAACGCTTATTTTAATGCCTTTTAATTTTCTGTGAAGACACAATTGTAAATTATAATTTACAAAATTATAATATAATTTTAATAATTGTATTATAATTTTAATAATTATATTAGTATTTCAATTATTTTTTTATGTTATAATTTTGGCAAAAAAAAATTTTTTTTTTAAATTTATTAATACTGAATTGATTTTCAATATATATGCTTACAGATATTTATTTTGTTGTTGTGTAAAGAGAAGTGAAAGAAATTCAATAATAGGATCAAGAAGAAGAGATTTGAGTCTTTCAATCACTATGTCTAGACGACAGACAAGTTCTCGAAGGTGTCATCAAAGTATAATACAAATGACAACATGGCAATCACCAACTGTACATATTCGTGATCGATCTCAACATGAGCAAGAAACAACAACAACTGCCTGCAATAATGGTTATGAACAAAAAATATGAGGTATTAAAAAATAAGAAAGAAAAATTATTTTCAATTTTATTTTTTTATTATTATTATTTTTTTTTATATATTAATATAAAAAATTCCATAAAAATTATGAATTAAAATTTTCATTTTTTTTTTCATTTCAATTCACCAAATTTTTATTTATACGAATTTTTAATTTGGGACAAATTTTTTATATGTGCGTATTTTTAATTGAAATCTTCAAAATTCGTATAAATTGAAAAATTTGTCCAAAATTAAAATTCGGCGTCTTAAAAATTCGTACAATTAAAAATTTGGACAAATTAAAATTCGATTTAAAAAAAAAATTTTTAATAAAAAATTCTGCAATGAAAATGACTAAAATAAAAATTCCCAAAAAAAAAATTTCGGTAGCTTAAAATTTTGTATACAAAGAAATTCTATTAAATGCTAATTCGAAAAATGAAAATTCGTCTAAAAAATATAATTTTTTTAATAAAATTCATTAAAATAATTTTTTTTAAAATAAAATTCTTTAAAATAGAAATATATATATTTAATTTAAGTAAAGAGTGAGATTATTTCGACTTATCACTTTTGAATAAATTGAAATATTCCATTCCATTACGCCATGGTCTCTCTTCTATCTAAGTCACTTTTTCAGAACAAATAAACTTGAAGTAATATTATAGAGCTGAAATATGAGAAATTGTGGCTTGAGTATCTTGAAATTGTATGGCTCAATTTGTCATAGCTTTCATAATTCTCATTTTTTATAAAGTGACATCTTATTTTTCTATTTTCATTATTTTTTTTTAAAATTATAATTTTCCTTTATACAATTACGAAGAAGTAATTTTCAAAAAAAAAAATTCTTTTTTTTCTATAATATTGAGAATTTTTTTTTTTTTGAAAATATATTTAAACTATATATATATATATATATATATATATATATAAATAAGAAAATATGTCATATTTTCATTCTTAATTAAAGTTCTAATTACCAGCAATCCTTTTAATAATAAGAACACTCGTCCTTTTGATATCCACCTCTAATCCGCACTAATTACTTAGGCTATTATCAGTAGAATTTGCTCTTTTCTATTGTTTGTATATCTTTCATTCATTCTGAAATTTACAATTCTAATTTCTCCTCTAAAATTATATTCATGATTGAAAAATTTTAGAAAAATTAATTTTTTTTTGGAAAATTGATTAAAATTTTATAATTTTATTAAAAAAGAATTGTGTCATCAATTTAAATAATTGAAGGAAATTATATACTTTTTTTTTCTTGCATTATTATTAGAAAAAAAATTAATTGAATTCTTAAAAAAATTAAATTCTTCCAAAAAAACATTTTTTTTTCATAATTCAAATTATGAAACAATAAATGAAATTTGTTTAAAGTGTTCTAATATTAAATTTAAATGTCTTGAAATTTTTACAGCCCACATTTTTATTTGTCCAAATATAAAATAAGTAAAATGATCTACAAAAGGAATGATTTGTCATACGGTTTTGAAAAGAAAGTAATTTTCTGCTTCATATATATATATATATATATTGTAACATATACATATATTTTTCCTTTTCAGATTTAAATCACGACACGATTCTTCAGAAATCTTTTATAACAAATTGTAAAATTTAAAAACCTCTTTTAAATTCGCAAATTGAATATTTTTGAACAAAAAAAAAAATGAGAATCATCAAATTCCTTAAAAAATTTCAATCCACAAATTTATCAAAAAAGATTTTTTTTTTTCTGTGACATTTAAAATATTCTTTAGAGAGGAATTTTTTTTTTTTTCTTTTTTTAATCACTTTATTAAACACACAGAGCTTTTATCAAAATTAAATTCAAACAAATGAATATAATAACAAACGGATATATATATCAAGGATATAATAATTTATTCGGACATTTATTAATTACCGAGTGATATAATGAATATTTCTCATAACAGAGGGAAAAAAATATAATAATCAATAAATTTTGTGAAAATATCAAAATTTTGGGACGATGAGCAATAAAATTAGCACAAAATTACAATCGATAAAATATGAGATTTAAATCCATGAGAATAATTATTATCGCAGGCTAAAATAAACGGATAATTTTGAAGAAAAAATTTATTTTCATTAAAAATTACCCCTTTTGAAACCAAATAAAATGTATTTCTTACAAAAATTCCCTTTTAGATCGTAAAGACGAACGAAAATTGAGAAGATCTACTATTGAAATCGCAGGAAACAGCGAATCCAGCATACTCGAATTTCAAAAAAAAAAAAACAACAAACAAACAAACGGAATTAACTTTCAAGGAAAAAAGAAAACAGAAACTTAATATAAAAATAGTTGATCGAGCGTAGAGGAAAATTTTATCGACAAAAAAAAAAAAAAAATGAGAAAAAAAAAAGAAAATCTTTTATCTTGTTGAAATATGAATGTGTTTATTTCATAGACATTTTACTTCCTCATAGAGATATAGTGTTTGCAATATTTCTGATCAGGAATACTGCCGGAAGAATTTTTTTTTTTTGATTTTTTTTTTAACTGCATTTTTCTCATTTATTAAAAGTTTTATAGATAAATAAGAGTAAAGCAAGATACGCGCACACACACTGCCCCTATATATATATATGCAAATTTATCAAACTAAGATCTAAAAATTAGCTGCAAAAATTATTAAAATCCGTCTATAAAAATATATTTTTAAATCCTAATTGAAAAAAAAATTTTTTTCCTTCGATTATTTAATCAAATAATTTTTTCAAATAATTTCATTTCAAACTGTATTTAAAATAATAATTTTTTTTTATTTGAAACAAAATACCATCTCAAATAATAATTATTTAAAATAAATTAAATTTTTTTTTTTTTTTTTTAATAGTCAAGTAAGTTTTTTTTTTATCAAAACATTGTGATATAAATTTTTTATATTCTTTCATTAAATGGTAGGTGACACATTGTCATACAATCAATTGAAAAAGAAAATTGACCAATAATTGAAAAAAAAGTATAGATAATAATTTATTATTGTCTTAATTAATTAAGAATTATTGTCGTATTAGAATCTGCGTGTCTCTATACGTATATATATATATACATGTCTTCGTCAATATGACACACGCCCTTAAAAAATTTTCTTCTTATTATAAATCTAGTCATTTATAAATTAAAATGTTTTATGTATACCTCATTGTTATGAGATAAATTTAACGAAGAAAAATAATGGTAAAGGTGTGTTCAGTATTGTAAGCGTAAAATTAAGAAAATAAAATATAATTCATATAAGTCGTCAAAATTTATAAATATAATTAAAATATTAATAATTGTAAATGGTGCTCATTGTCAAAAATTAATCAAGTATTTTTTATGTATGTAGAAAAATTGAAAAAAAAAAATTAATAATATATATTCGATGAGGCTGAGAAAAATTTTATTAAGACATTTACAATATATGAAATAATACAAGACTGTATGGTAAATTCTACCACATTATTTCTTAGCTTCATCTAAATATATAAATTATAGTAAAATTTCAACTATTCTTTCTCTGTATGTATAAAATTGCTAATGTTATTTCAAAGTAAATTATATCATTATAAATCAAATTTTAATTCAATTTTTAAAAATTCCTAAATACAGTGTAGAATGAAGTATTTTTAAATAAATAATCTGTAATAAGTTAACAATAATTGTATTATTATTATTATTTTTATTATAAATATTTTTTTAATTTTTTACAATGAAAACAAAATTTTAAAAAAATTTAATTTCTTAACATTCATGTTTTGTTTAAAATTTTCCTTTTTTTTTGAAATTTTTCTTTAAGTGATAAAAATTCAACGCAATTAAAATATTTAATGTAGCAATGACGTCAGAACATATATATATATCATTTGTGTCACAGACAAATTGTCATAGGAAAAATAAAAGAAATCTGTTTTCTTTTTTTTTTTTTTTTTCTAGTACACAGCAGACATTGAAAAAATTATAGATCTATAAAAAGAAATGTCATAGTAGTATATTTTATCTCAAGTCTCAACAATAGTTCACATATAAAAATTATTTTTAAAAGCCCTGTAAAGAAAAAAAATCCTTTTTCTTCAAAAAAAAAAAATAAATAAATAACTGAAATAAGAAAAAAAATTCGTTTTTTATAATAATTTGATGAGTCAAATTTTTAAAAACAATTTTCCTTTTTTTTCTATTCAAGGATTTTGGAAAAATTAAAATATGGAAAATTTAATAACTGAATCTTTGACAGATTCTAAAAGGTAAATTATTTTTTTATGAGGTTAAATAAAAAAAAGTCCCAAGAATTAAAATATAAAATATATTGAAAAAAAACATAATTTTTAAACAGATTTAATTTTCACGAAATTTTTATTTTAAACATAAAAAAAAATCACTTTAGTTAAAAATCTCTGTAGAAAATGATCGAAGTAGAAATTCACAAATAGACTTACAACATTGCTGGAACGAGTTAATCATGTAGCGAAGAAAGAAAAAATTTCAAATTCAACTATCGAAGGTAAAGGTAATTTATTATCAAAATAGACACAAAAATTTCAACATCATAAATAAAACAATTCTTACTAGAAAAAAAAAACGTGTAACAGAAAAAAAAATGTAAAATAATATAACCGAGTGAATTTATTCCATATTATATTTGACGTTTATGTTGTAATTTTATCGTTCAATCGTAGAATAATAAAAAAATATTTTTCATACTTTTTTTCAATTTTTCTCTTTTATTTACATTAAAAAATAAAAAAAAAAAATTATTAATTTACAGTCTTGAAAAATAATGATGAAGATAAAACTTCTGATTCTTCTCATAATGAGGATTTTTGTTCTATCGACAAAAATCGAATATCCCAACTTATAATGCATCTTACAAAGTAAACAGAATATTTTAATTAAAAATATTTTCATTATTCAAATTTTATTTTGAAATTAAAATAAATAAACAAATTCATATTTTATTCTTTATTAATCATTTTTTGTTATTAAGAATTAAAAAAAAATATATATTTTCTTTTTTTTATTAGATGTACTCAGGAAAAGAATTCAGCACAATCTTCATTAGCTATTCTTAAAGCAGAGAATAAAGAGCTTTATAATCGAAATCAATTTTTAGATAACGAAATTCAAGGAGAGAAAAATTTAAAGTTAAAGGTTCGAAATAATTATAATAAAAATTAAATTTATTTTTATAATTATTATTATTTATTCGCATTTTTCTCTTTCTAAGAAGAAATAAAATAAAAATTTTTATAATTTTTTTTTTAGTTATCAGAAAAAAATTCTGAATTAATGAAATTGAGACAAAGAACAATAAAATTTTTAGAGATACTAAGTAAGCAAATTGCACTTCAAGAAATTGAATTCACTAAACTTGCCGAAACATTGACAAATCTTGTTAGGGAAAAAATTATTATGGAAAATTCTTTAATTGAAAAAAATATGAAAATAAAAATAGCGGAATCACAAATTGAACGAATGAAGGAGCAAATAGAAATGGAAAAATTTCTCCTTCACAAGGAACAAACGAAAAGTATTTCTTTTCAAATGATCGATAAATCTTGTCAAACGTCTAAAGAATCACTTAATGTCAGGTAATAAATCGACATCAAGATCGGAAATTGATCTTAATAGTTAATATTCTGAAAAGTCGTTCTTTCAAATCCATTCTTTGAGAAACTATAAAATCTTTTCTGTATGTCAAATTTTTTTCTTCTTTTTATTAATTTAAAATTATACTATACAATTTTTCCTCAGAAGCTCAATTTTTATTAAGAAATAAAAAAAAAGAATTTCTAAAGAAAAGTTAATTTTACACTTGAAATAATAGAGAGAAATTTTTTAAAAATAAAAATTAATGTCCATTTAATAAAAATTGTTCTTTTCAGTTCTAATATACAAATTCCAACTTTTGAAAAACAATCAGAAGTTGATTTATTTTTTCAAATGTCAAAAAAAATTCAACGACCAAAGAGCGTCTATGATCTGGAAGAAACAACAACAGATGGAAATATAATACGTGATCTATTTTTCAAATATCCCAATTTTATGGACATTTAACATTTTACCAATAATAAATCTTTTAATGAAAAAAAATTCACGATTTCTTTTTTCCAAATAAAAAGTTTGAGAAATTAATTTTGAAAAACAAAAAATATTTGAATTTTAATTTAAAATAAAAATAAATTGAAAAATAAAATTTAAGAAAAAAAAATATTGAAAAATTGAATAATAAAAAAAAGGTGGAAAAAAATTCACGATTTCTTTTTTCCAAATAAAAAGTTTGAGAAATTAATTTTGAAAAACAAAAAATATTTGAATTTTAATTTAAAATAAAAATAAATTGAAAAATAAAATTTAAGAAAAAAAAATATTGAAAAATTGAATAATAAAAAAAAGGTGGAAAAAAATTCACGATTTCTTTTTTCCAAATAAAAAGTTTGAGAAATTAATTTTGAAAAACAAAAAATATTTGAATTTTAATTTAAAATAAAAATAAATTGAAAAATAAAATTTAAGAAAAAAAAATATTGAAAAATTGAATAATAAAAAAAAGGTGGAAGAAAATTTCTTCAATTTAAGCACGTAAGCTTTTATTGATCGATTTATTACATGATACCACTTACAAGAGTTTTAAAGTGTAAGTGTAATAGACTTTTAGAGCATAAAATTGCCTCGATAATGATCGAACGTAAATTTTTTTTTTAGGATGTGATTTTTAGTTATTATTTATTATTATTTTAAATAAATACACGAACTTATGTAGTACATCATTTTTTTTTTCTGTCGTCATTCTCATTAATTAGTTTAGTTAATAAATCGATTTTTCATATATTTATATATAATATATATATTATATATAATATATAACTATTTTTTATTTATATAAGTGATCCTATTTTCCTTTCTTTTTTTTTCTTTTCTCCAAACTAACGAATTCGCGTGTCCCGCGTATATAGACTTTCTTCTCATATTTATCATTAATTGCCTCTATATACTAAAAACTCTCCGTTTTTCAAATCCTCGATTTTTTTTTTCTTCCCCTTTTCTCAATAGCCTTAACATTTATTATCAATAGAGATCTTAAATATATCAATACAGTTTAGAGATTATAATCGTTACACGTCGAATTTTTTTTAACAAAATAAAACTATTTAATTCGCTACAACAGTCAGCAAGCAAAAATGTGATAACACAATTTCTTTATTCGTTTTATTTTTCTCAAAAACGAATTTTATAGAATTTTTTTTTTTAGTTTTTTTTTTTTTATAATACACATTAAGCTTCCATGTAAAAGCTTCTCGCAAGATTGAAATCACATGTATATAAATTTGCAAATGTAAAATAAATTCTTTTGAACAATCAATTTTTCATTTCAATTAGGAGAAAAATTAAATTATCAAATTAATTGTTCAAAAATGTCATGTTTATATGAGATAAAATGAAAAATTATTTTCTTGAGAAATTTCAAGAGAATTAATATCAATGTGATAAAAGAAAAAAGGAAAATTATTTTCAAAAATAAAAATTTTTTTAAAATTATGTCAATCAACTTGTGTATAAAGGATAATTTTTCATATTTATATTATTATAGTGAGATTCGTGAATAAAGATATGAGGCAACGGGTATTATAATGCGGCGATTTTCAAAATAGTCGCACGCTTAATTTCTACCTTGTAAACACTCGCTGCAAATGATTATTTTCTAAATATCAAAAATATCTACTAAAAAAATGAGAACCGAGCATTTTAGTCGCACATTTTTTTTTTTTTTTTTTTTTCATTTTTTTTTTTTTTTTCTAAAGGTGCGGCGAATGCATATAATATGTGTACGCGCGTGTCTAATAAACAGGATCATAATATATAATAATTTGCATTACAATCAGATATATAATTACATTCGCGCGATTTCTTTTACTCCCATTCTCATTGCGTTATTGCGTATGTACATTCACGGAGGCGCATAAACATTTTTCAAAATTCATTTTTTTATATAAAAAAAAAAAAAAAAATTAAAATCAATTTTTCGAATTTTAATAATAAAATTTAATAAAAACAAAATAAAAAATGAATTTTGAATAAAATTCATGCGTCTCATTGATAAATTAAATACGTCAATTTTAAATAATATATAATCGTATTTTGTAAACTATTTGTACAAAGATGAAGGGGAGGACAGAAAAAATGCTCGGAACTTTTTAAAACAATTCGTATATATGAAAATGAGCATTTTTTTTTTTTTTAACAAAAGGGATTTTTTATGTACAGATCGAGAACAAAAATAAATAAATAATAAACAAATTTGCTAAAAGGCCGTTCTGCTTCTGCGAGTTCAAAAAAAAAAAAAAAAATTTTCAAACAGAAAATTTCTTAATTAACATTTACTACTTTCTATATATGAATTTTTGAGTATAATTTTTTTTGAGAAATCAATGAATTTTTTTTTTTCTTAAAAAAATTGTCTATCATTGCACTTTTCCCAATAAATAATTTTTCTAAATTCATAAGTACTTTTTAAGAAAATAAATAAATAAATAAAAATCGAATGTACTCGCTAGCCATGACGAGACACTTTATATAAATGTGTTTGCACATTCACTCCCGCATTCTTCAATCACTCTGCCAATTTTTTTGTGCCTTAGTAAATACAATTGGTCTATACCAACGTTGAAAAAATTTAATAACCGAAAATGTTTTCCTTTCTTTTTGGGAGATTTTAAAAAAGATTTATATTATAAGCGTACTTTTGCGATGCAGCCTCGATGACAATAAATAAAATTTATTTCTAAAAAAAAAAATGAAAAACGCATAACAAACGTGCATCGTGTAGGAATGCGTGTTGATTAGGCATAATGTAGCTTTTGTTTTCTCTTCTTTTTAAATATCAGATAAAAAAAAAATTCTTCAAAGGAAATGTCAATAAAAAAATTTTTCACATAATTTGAATTCTTGAAAAAATTTTTTGACAAATCCTTTCAAGTTCTTTTTTCCCCTTTTAAATATATATTTATTACGTGTACACATTGTTCAACAATCTGCAAACATACAATCTCACCGTAGTGTGTGATCGACACACACCCTCAAAATAAAAAATGAAAAAAAAAACTGACTAGAATATTAAATCTTTTTTGTGCAAATCTCGTCATTCTCTGTGAATCATTTCTTTTATTTTTCAAAAGAATGCCCAGAGAATAGATTTAATTTTAATACTTTTTTAAAGTTGCCACATTTTTTTTTTTGATGTCACAAAAAAAAAGCTTTTCGATTTTAAAACATTCTCGTAGAAGGTCAAAAAAGTCCCCCTTTTTTTTTTTTTTTGAAATACATACACTTTCGAAATTCGAAATTTTTTCACTGAAAATCGAAAGCTATAAAAGGTCTGTGATTCGAGAGGGCAGAGTGAGACCGATGTAGTATATATTATTTTCGAGGATATTGGATAACTGCATTCATCACCTCGGCTAGCGAATTGGATATTCACTTTGTTGGCGCTTGAAATTCAGGCGTTACTGTTATCGGTGTTACATTTGGACCTGGTATTTTACGAGCTGACTTTGACCTGAAAAATATTTCATTGAATGAAAAATGAAAAAAAAAAATGTTTTTTTTTTTTATTTATACCTAATTTGTCCTGCCAGAAGTGGATTGATTGCATAAAGCCAGTCATAAACTTCCTTATCACCTAAAGTTTGTAAAAGGTAACCTCGATGTTTTGTCACAACGCTAGGAAAGAAAAAAAAATTAATAATTTAATTAATAATAAAAAAAATTAATTATTTTTTTTATTTTTTAAATGAAATTTACCTGAAAGTATTCGGTACTTTGACCATTGCTAATTGATCCTCTGAATATTCAACCTGTGCAGTTGCTAAATTAATCAAAGCCCTCTCAACAGGATCTTTTTCCTCTCTAAAAATAAATACGTAGGGTCTACGAACGGCCTGTTTGAAAAAGAAAAAAAACATATATTTTTTTTTTTATCAAAATTATATTATTTTCTTTTGAAATTATTTTTTATATAATTTTTTTTCAATTTCTTACCACCCATCGTTTCTTCCATCCATTTGTTTTGTGCTCCAAAACATTTAAATAACCCTTTCTTGCAATAACGGGACTAATGCGAATTTCTTCAACTTCAGGAACATAAAGAACGAGACTTTCTTTGAGCGGTGAAGTTGAACCAAGTGGAGCTGGTGCAATATTATTCATCTGATTGGCAGCCTCACCTGACAATATACTCTCTTGTAATTCCTGAAGTCTCGCTCTTTCCGGCGAACTCAACCTAAAGATGCATGACTTAGAACTGCTCTTCACAATCATTCCTGTTGGCTGCAAGTAACATTTCTATACAACCTGAACCTCTTTTTAGCGGTTATCTATATTTTTTTTCGATTTACATATTTCAATGATTCAAAAAAAAAAAAAATCAAAAACTATGAAACAATTTAAAAATAATATAAATTTTTGTAAATTAATTTAATTTTTCAAAAATTATTTTTCTTTCCTTCTAGCAAAATGAAAGAGATAATTAGAAGCAAATATATAAAAGCGAATGGAAATTTGAAAAAAGAAAATAGCTCAATAAATAATGATAACCGCTGTGAGGGCGTTTTCAGGTGTAAAAAAAAAGTTACCTGCGAAAAATCATTTCGCGAATATACTGACTCTTGTGATGATGATGAAATAACCGACGACATCATTGAAGTTGAAAGATCAGTAATTGTATCTTCACCAGGTGATACATCAGTAAGGACAATTGGTTCTTTATTTGGAATTCTTCCCTGAATTAATTTCACATATTTTGTTGCCAATTCACGTTCTCTTTCTGTCATTTCCCATGGTTCGTATACATCTTTACTTGTCGATTTTTTCAATTTCACTGGGCTCGCGTGTGATTCATTTGTTGCTTTTGCCACCATATTACACACCTCCTGTGAATTTAAAAAAAAAATTTTTTAATAAATTTTTTAATAAATTTTTTAAAAATAAATTTTTTTGCCAAATTTAAAATATATTTCTTTTTTTCACCTTTTCACTTTTAGTAAAATCGTGCATTGTTTTATTGCAAAATGGCACTTTATCAATGCCAAGTTTTTCTCGCAAAAGAAGTGTATGTCTAACTTTTTCCACTTCCTCGAGTCTTGTCAATTTTTCCAATTCCCATTGATGATCGAATATTAAACTATCACCACGTGGTCGCCAGCCATGGAGATTTTCTTCACCTCTCACATACGTGGAACTTGTATCTAAAACACGACGTTGTCGCCTTTGCACTCCTATGGAAAATAAATTATTTATTTAATAAATAATAAATTATTTGCAAAAAAAAATATATATATTTACCTGCTTCTGATGCACGACGAAGTACCAATTCATAAACACCGCTCAATCGATTTGCTTCCTGATTACGATAACTGCCACTGAATAAATGTTTCAATGAACGAGGACCAACTCTTGCATCTCGTCCATAAATTATCATACTTAAATCTTTTGTTATTATCGCTGGTCTTCCACAATTCTCCAACTATATTAATATAAAAAAAAAAAAAATTAGTAATGGAATAAAATTATTATCAATTCCATTCAAGTCAAAATATGATCAATAAAATAAATTATTTTTAACGTTTCGAAAAATTTTATAGTTTAGACAATTTTTTTCGAAAATAAAATATATTATTTTAAATATATATATTTTTTTTCTAAATTTTATATTGTTTTTATATTGTGTTAATTTATATTAATTTTAATAAACATTTTAGTTTCTGATGATGACAGAGCGAAACGTCAAAAATAATTTCTTATTTCATTGACCATTTTGACTTGAATGGATTGATAATTTTATTTTATTACTATTATTACACCGAGTAATAAATTCATTATTAAAATTAATTTTTATATTTATTGGAAAAAAAAAATTACCTCCAAATATGCAGAGATTGTCATGAAAATTTGTTCACCATAGGAAGTAACTCGATTGAGCAATGCAGAATTATGAAGTGAACTATCCCATGCAGCTTCAAATCTAAACATACATCTGTCATCGCCTGGTATCTCAAGATATTCACCAGGGAATAATCCAAGTGACAATACAGACGAATCATTATCCTCTTCCTCTGGCTCTGGTGTATTTCTAATACGTCCAACAACCAATTCCCTCACGTCTTTCCATCTTAATTCCGTTGCATGCTCATGAACAATTGTTATTCGAATTCGTCGTTGAATTCCCTGATGTAATAAAAATAAACCACGACATGGTAAATCATCACTATGATCAACAACTGATGGTACATATTCTCCATTTGGTGCCAATTCACAAATTTCAAACCAAACAAGAACATCGTATTTTGCATGAACATGAGATGTACTCGGCGATGGTAATACACTTCCAAATTTAGGTGATCGTACAGGTTGACTTATTGGAATTGAAGGTGGTAACATTCGTTTCGGTGGTTGTCTCACGCTATTAACGAAATTCAATTATTTTCAATAAAAATATCAAGGAAATTAAAAAAAAATGTTTAGAATAAAAATTAAGGAAATAATTAAAAATATTAATTTAAATTTTTAAATTTATCAAAATTGTCTCTTACTAATCGAGTTTAGCATCTTTATGCAAAGGATGCTGTTGATAGTGTCCAAAGACTTCAAAAACAATTGGTTGAGTTTTCAAGTACTCCAAAAAGGATTTAGTCACCGTTACCGTTATCTGGAAAAAAAATTATTTTTTAAAAAATTTATTAAAAAATTTATTTTAAAAAAAATTGAGTCATTTTTTATCCTTACATTCTGAACATGATAAAATCCGGGTGGATTTCCCTTGCCAGTATTTTTAACAGGTTCCGTCGAAAAGGCTTCATCGTGCCGATGTAAAAAGCTAAAAAAGAAACAAAATTTACAAATTTAAAAAAACATTTTTTTGAGGAAAAAATATTTTTTGAATTACACACTTGAATTGGCAAAATATATCAGCGTATTCAGTTGATATGCCCATTGCCTGTAGAACTGTGACTCTAAATGTAAATTCAACACCAGGCTGAAGATGATCGGGAAGATCTTCTTCTTTCATATCACTTGACACTGAACTATCGCCACGGCCACTATCAGCATCGCCAACTTCCTCATCGTCTTTCATATCCTTTTGTTCTGTTTGTCCCTCAACAACTCTCTCTTCTTGAAGAAGAATTTGTTGATTTTTTTCAAGTGTCTGCGCCAATAATGTATTACGTTTACTATGCTTATGACCACCAAATAAATCATCTTCAAATGAAATTCGTGCCGATTGTCGAACACCACTTGAATATTCACTGTTTTCCTCTTCTAGAAAAAGTGTACATTAAGATTTTTTGTAAATTTTTTGAAAAAAAAAAAAAAAAATTTTATAATTTAGATTATATGATAACATACCCACGACGGCTTGAACTGCAACTCGTAAATAGCCCTTAACATCACCTTTTTCATTGACAATTGCCACTTTATGAATTAATGGCACCGGATACATCAAATTGCTTAGGTACACAAACGATCTGCAAAAAAAAAAAGGAAAAGGAAAAATTAATAATTGAAAATATTAAATCAACAAAATTAATGCCAACAAAAATTAATAACAATGAAAAAATTAATAAAAAATAACAATTATATTATATAATAAATAATAATATTATATAATAATTATATTATATTAGAAAATGCTTGGTCTGTCCTTCTGTCCTAACTTGAAGTTGGCCTTTTCTGATTTCACGTGTTTTTTTTTTGTAATCTTATGACGTGTCAAATTTTGACAATTCTTTTTCTCATTTTTGCCAAAGTTGTATAATTTATGTTTCCAAATTTCGGAATAAGTTTCTTTAAAATTCCAAATTCGAAAATTCAATTCACGAAGCTGAAGTACACATACCAATGAAATTTTTTTAAAAGTTGTATATTGATTCAAAAATTGTACAAAACATTTATGATGAGAAAAAAGATGCGCCAGAAAATTTCGTACAAGATAGTAATTTGGAAAAAAATTTATTTTTAAAAATTAATTTTTTAAGGTACAAGGAGCCAACGAATACAATATTAAATATTAATTATAAAAACACAGGCCTCGAATCAACTTAAAGACACAAAAAAGTCGTTTTAGTCGATTTATATTCCAAAAAAAAAGTGGATTTGTTTTTTATTTTAAAAAAAATATTTTACAGATTTTTAAATAAAAATTTTTTTTTTTTTTTATAATAATCCTTATCGAAGGGTTAAAGTTGAAATTTTTTGGAAATAGGTAATAAAATTTCAAAAGATATTGTTAATTTTCAAACAATTATTAAATTTAACAGAACCGATAATAATTTATCAAACAATTTTTGGAAGATATTTTTTAAATTTAATTGAATTTTCAAAGATTTTTTTTTTTTTTTTTTTCTCAATTGAGATTTTTGAAATTAATTGAAACATTAAGTGTTTTGTAATTAAAATTTTAGATGATTTCACTAAAAACTAATTAGAAAATGAGGACAAAATATAATAATTTAAAAATCATTTTTAATTGAAAAATGGTTTCAGATAGTTGAAATTTCAAAGAATAAATTTTTAAAAAAATTTCAAAAAAAAAAAATTTTCGGTGGAAAATTTTAGAAATAATTAAATTTTAGATGCTTTTAAATTCAAATTATTGAAAATTCAATTAATTTTGAATTCAAATTTTTGAAAATAATGAAATTTTATTTGATTTTAAATTTGGAAAATAATTGAATTTCAGTTTATTTTGAATTGAAAATTTTTGGAAATAATTGAAGTTTAAATCGAAAATTTTGAAAATAATTGAATTTTAGTTGATTTTTGAATGAAAATTTGGATAATTAATTTCGAATAGAAATTTTAGAAAATAATTGAATTTTAATTGAAAATTTTCAAAATAATTGAATTTTAATTGATATTGAATTGAAATTTTGGAAAATAATTGAATTTCAATTAATATTAAATTGAAACTTTTGAAAGTACTTGAATTTTACTTGATTGTGGATTGAAATTTTTGGAAAATAATTGAATTTCAGTTCATTTTGAATTGAAAATTTTGGTAAATAATTGAATTTTAATTGAAATTTTGGATAATAATTTAATTTAAGTTCATTTTTGATTGAAAATTTGGATAATTAATTTTGAATAGAAATTTTAGAAAATAATTGAATTTCAATTAAAATTTTTCAAAATAATTGAATTTTAATTGATTTTGAATTGAAAATTTGAAAAATAATTGATTTCAAATCGAAAATTTTGAAAATAATTGAATTTTAGTTGATTTTAAATTGCAAATTTTGGAAAATAATTGAATTTCAATTGTAATTTTGGAAAATAATTGAATTTTAGTTGATTTTGAATTGAAATTTTGGAAAATAATTGATTTTGAATTGAAAATTTGGAAAATAATTGATTTTAAATCGAAAATTTTGAAAATAATTGAATTTTAGTTGATTTTAAATTGCAAATTTTAAAAATAATTGAATTTTATTTGATTTTAAATTGCAAATTTTGAAAATAATTGAATTTCAATTGAAATCTTAGAAAATAATAGAATTTTAGTTAATTTTCAATTGAAATTTTAGAAAATAATTGAATTTTAGTTGATTTAGAATTGAAATTTTGGAAAATAATTGAATTTCAATTAAAATTTTTCAATATAATTGAATTTTAATTGATTTTGAATTGAAAATTTTGGTAAATAATTAAATTTTAATTGAAATTTTGGATAATAATTTAATTTAATTTCATTTTTGATTGAAAATTTGGATAATTAATTTTGAATAGAAATTTTAGAAAATAATTGAATTTTATTTCATTTTAAATTGAAAACTTGGTAAATAATTAAATTTTAAATTGAAAATTTTTGATAATTATTGAATTTTTAATTGATTTTTTGAATTAAAATTTCTTGTAATAATTGAATTTTAGTTTATTTTTAATTGAAATTTTTAAAAAATAATTCAATTTTATTGTGATATTTTTTGTTTTTTAAATTATAAACAATTGTTAAATTTCATAAAAATTTTAATTGAAAAATAATTTTGATATAATTGAATTTGTGATGTATTTCATTAAAATTATTAAAAATAATTAATTTAGTGAAGAATCATTTTAGTTCAAAATTTGTTAAATAATTGAATTGAAAAAGATCTGAAGAAGATCTACATTTTATACTAAAAAAATGTATTTTATTTACATTTTTTTTCAAATATAAAAAAAAAATGTCGCATTTTATTAAAATAAGTCGATAAAAGTCGTATTTTTGAAAAAAGTCGGAAAAAGTCGTATAATCCGAGGCTTGCGCGCGTTTAATTTTGCTAGTAAATATATAAATAAAAATATTTTTCAAAAAAAAAACTAAAATAAATAATTTTTTTTTTCAATATAAAATTGATGGATTTAATATTTTTGAATTACCTTCCAACCATACGGAACCAAGGGAAACGATCGTAAAATGGATCGCCACCAGTTATTGTTTCGATATTATAATCTGGTGATGTTGGTGACAATTCAGCTTCATTGTGATACATCTCTCTCATTAATTCTAGTCGCTGTCTGTAAAAAAAAAATAATAATAAATTTTTATCAACGGTTTTTTTTATATTCACGAGACCAGAAAACATGCGTTGACTCCAATTATTTTTTTTTTTTTATATAAATATTGAAATATAATTTCGTGAACATCAAATATTTATATATAGATTTCAAATTGACACCAAAGAGGATTTTTTTTTGTAAATGATTAGATTGATTAAAAAAAAAAAAAAGCTTCCTGTGATATTTTTTTCCTCTTTGATTTAAAGCTCAGAATATAAGCAAGTGATTATTAAAATATTTATAGTTTTTACAAAATTTAGAAAATTTTGATTTTTTATTATAATGAATTAGATTTAATATAAGACATTTTAAAGCCATAAAAGCGTTTTTTTTTTCTTCAAATTAATGACATTCGATAAAATGTAGATATTTGCGATTTTTGATAAAAATGATGGGCAAAAAGAAGCTCCGAATTATAAATATATTTTCATTTAATATTAATATTTTAAATCACAGTAAAATTTCGTTTTTAGCCAGACAAAAAACGTTTTACAATGAAAAATTTTCTATTTTTTTTTTTTTCACTTTTTAAACAGCTGAAATAGTGATAAAGCGACAAAAGCTTTGAATTAGTGCTTGAAATGAATTTATTGAGAAAATGCGAGTGATTTTTTAAGCAAAATTTATTTTTTTTTTTTTGAATTGATTATTATTTTAAGAATCACTGAATTAGCTGAGGGGGAAAAAAAAAGAGGTGGTGAAAAAGAGATTTTGCGGGAAATTCGCGAAAGCTGCACGATAAACAAATGTCGTGCGACCCAGCACCAACCTCGAAGGCAAAAGATTTGCGAACGATAACTTCTGACAAGATTGAACCATAAGACAATGGAAAATATCCTCTTTGACCTCCAGAGTGCTGAGACTCAAATCTTCATTGTAAATATGTCGCATCAGTTCCAAGCGTTGTCTACAAGTTAACATTTATTTTTTGTTAGTGTCCATTCACAGTGTTTTCTTTGAAAATTATAAATTTTTTTTTTTTTTTATTTTACACCGACTGTGAATTGTCACTTGAGAATTTTTTTTTTTCTTTTGTCTTCATTTATTTAGAAAAATTTATCAAAAATTAATTTACCAATTTATGAAATTAAATCTAGCTACTATAAAGCATGAATGAATTGTGTTATACATGAAAAGCCTCAAAGGCGTGAAAAAAAGATTTTTTAATTTTTAAATTTGAAATTCGCTTTCTTCTTTTTCTTGACAACCTGTAAATATTTTCTTTTATTATTGAAAAAAAAACAAAATATTTACCTAAGTTTATCCAATGTCCAATAATGAGTGGCTCCATTTTTCGTGTCTTGAACTTCAATTGCAACAATTGTTCTCGGAAATGGTCTCTCATCTTCTTCCTCATCTTCTATCGTTGGCAAAAGATCAGGCGGAAGTGGCGAATATAGAGTGTCAGTGAGAAGTGTAAATTGAAATTGAACCTTGAAAAAACAAAAATATTAATTTTTTTGCCACAAAAAAAAAAAAAATAATAATTAGAAAAAAAAATTTGGGAATATTTACTTTTTTCTTAAGTTCAACAGAAATTGCATTTGCCTCCTTTAGGAAAATAGCATTGCCCCATAAATCGTCACGAAGACTTGTAAATTGATGATATTTCCATTTACGAAATGCCCATGCTGCCAACTGAAATTCCCGTTCTCCCCAGTTGCTCTCTGCGTCAAACAATGGGTTGACTGAAATTCAAGCCATCACAAGGCGAAACAGTCAGAATATAAGCCAAGCAAAAATCTTCACAAAAATGAAAATTGCAATTTTTTTTTTAAATAATTTTTTTTTATTATCCTCTTTTTCCAAAGAATTTAATTATTCAAAACTAGATAAATTAGAAATAAAGTACAAAAATAGAAAATTATTTAATGTAAATGAAAAAAAATTAGAAAAAATGAATATTTGAATATTCAAAGCGATTAATGGAAACTGATATAAAAAAAAGTGAATTTTCAAATCATGCAAATTGATATTAGTGCCAAAAACTCAAACAATTAATAAAATTGACAAAAATCTAGTAATAAATGAAAATTATTTTCAAAAATAAAATATTAGAAAAATTAAACTCTAATAATATATTCACCAAAAATATCTTCCTCAATATTATTAAAGTCCTCGGGTGTATAGCTACTATACATTGACATTGTCATACTTTGTTCTTCAACTTGTTTCTGTAAAGCGTCAATTCTAGCTTCATAATTCTAAAACAAAAAAATTGAAAATTAAAATCAATTTTTTTTTTGAAAGCAAAAAATATGAAATCAATTTTTTTTTCTTTTTTTAACCTTTCTTTGCTCTTCAAAAAGTTGATCTGCCTCTTCTTTTTCCTTACGAAATTGCTCCTCAAGAACAAGCAATCGCTTTTCCATTTCAACTTTAAGATCAATACCTTGTTTCTCAAGAAGTTCAATTTGTGCAAAATTCCAGTCAACAGTTTCGCCATTTCCTGGTGTTTCTGCCGGTGAACTTTTTTCACGACGTTCACGAACTAGAAGAGAATTTTTTTTAATTTTCAAATTTTTTTTTTTATGTAAAATTAAAATATAGAAAAAAATTTTATTCACCTTGATCGGGATGATTAAATCTAAAGACATGATTTTTTCCAAGAATAACACGTGAGCCAGTTTTCAAAATTATGGATTCCGTGACCTCACGGCCATTAACGTAAATTAGAGCACCTTTTCTTGGTATTAAAGTGACAATTCCTATATTAAACAATGAAAAATATTTTAGAAAATTGAATTTTTTTTTTGTAATTTATTTTTTAATAAATAAAATTAATGAACCTTCGTGACTTTCGAAAACACAATGCTCGCTGAGTATGTGTGGACCACAAAGTTGAATATCTTGTGGAATATTTGCCTCAGCACTTCCAACTCTTGTGAAGCCATCCTTGATATAATAAATCAAACATTCAGACATCGATGGATCCTCATTTAAATTCACCAAATGCGGTGTTTTCTTTGGTGAAAATACACCAACCGTTACACCGTCTTCTTTTACTGCGACGCCCATTTCAGCGAATACTGCTTCACGTTGCAAGCGAATTGCTTCTGTTCGTTTTAGTTTCTCCTCCCATGTCTCATTCAGTTCTTTAAAATAAATTATTTTTTTTTTAATATCAAAACCAAATTTCAATATATTTATTAGTTTGATAAAAATTTTAACAACACTAATTTTTTTTTTTTAAATTTATTATTATTAGTAAAATGAAAAAAAAATTAAATGTGAAATTAATTAATATTTAATTTTACCAGCTATGAGTTTTTCCGAAGCTTGCAATTGTTCAACAGCTTCTTCGGCAAGTGTCGATGTTGGATGAGACGGAATCCTTTGTCGTGATTCCTTCGTGTCTCCCTCTCGTTTCGACCTAATAATTTCATCACCTAGAAATAAATAAATTTTTATAACAAAGAAGTTTAAAAAAAAAATTTTTATATTTACGTTTTTGGAAAAAAAATTCAATAAACAATTTTTATAACTTATATGTTCTGATTTTTAATTTTATATCAATAATTTAAAAATAATTCAGTTATCAACTTAATTCCATCGGTATTTTATTTATTTTACAAATTGACAAAAAAAAAAAATCATTATAGTCTAGACTTTATTTAATTTATTTTGAAACAGAGGCAAATTGAATTCTCAATTCAATATTTGTGACTACGGCTGATAATAATAATAATAATAATAATTAAATGAAGGGGGAGCCAAATATTTCATTCAATTAACTATATACTGAAAGACAATAATTTTAATGCCTTTTTGATATAAAATAGAAATCAAAATTATTAAGGCGAATTTTCTAAAATTTAGAAAAAATTTTCAGTTTCTTTTGAAGAAACTGATTTATCAATTTTGTAATTTCCAGAACAGAAAAAAGAGGATTCTTCAAAAAAAAAATTTTTTTTTTGTTTTGAAAAATAATTAAGAAAATTATTGGAATTTTTTTTTCTTTTTCGAAACTCACCCTCATGATAATCGATGCCTTCTTGTTTGAGAAGCTCTCGAAGTTTTTGAATTTCCTCCTTGAGTTCTCTGATGAGTTTGGCATTTGCATCCTCGTTGACAACAGCCTTGCAAACAATTTGTTTCGCTCTGTCTGCGTATCTGTATGCGTCAAGAAAAAAAAAGAAAAATTAAAAAAAAAAAAAAATCGACAAATTTTACAAAAAAAAATTTATTTATGAAGTTTTAATACCTTAGAGTTGAAAGTGTCTCGTCATAATTAATATCAGCGGGACTAATTGCAGCAATCATTGCCGTTTTCGAATTACCACCCAAATTTTCACGAAGGAGCCACGTTAATACAGAATCTCTATACGGAATAAAATCAGCTTTCTTCTTCTTTTTTGTAGCCTATAATTATAATTGAATTATTAAATTATTATATTATATGTTATTAATTATTCTCTTAGAAATTGAAAAAAAAATTGATTTTCAAAAAAAATTAATTTCAGAAATAAATAAATAATCCAAATAAATAATTAATAATTATTAATAATTTCAGAAATAAATAAATAATCCAAATAAATAATTAATAATTATTAATAATTTCAGAAATAAATAAATAATCCAAATAAATAATTAATAATTATTCTCTTAGAAATTGAAAAAAAACTTGATTTTCACAAAAAAAAATTAATTTCAGAAATAAATAAATAAAAAAAAAAAAAACTATCAATCTAGCAAGCAAAAGCAAACTTACCGCCTGTTTTTTTTTATTTTTTTTTTAATCCAAATAAATAATTAATAATTATTCTCTTAGAAATTGAAAAAAAACTTGATTTTCAAAAAAAATTAATTTCAGAAATAAATAAATAATTCCAGAAATAAATAAATAATTCCAGAAATAAATAAATAATCCAAATAAATAATTCCAGAAATAAATAAATAATCCAAATAAATAATTCCAGAAATAAATAAATAATTAATAATTATTAATAATTTCAGAAATAAATAAATAATTAATAATTATTAATAATTTCAGAAATAAATAAATAATTAATAATTATTTTCTTAGAAATTGAAAAAAAAATTGATTTTCAAAAAAAAAAAAAAATTAATTTCAGAAATAAATAAATAAAGAAAAAAAAACTATCAATCTAGCAAGCAAAAGGAAACTTACCGCCTATTTGTTTTATTTTTTTTTTTTTTTAATCCAAATTGAGAGAAGATTGCAAAATGGAAAAGCGTCAATTTAGCAAATACCAGAATAAATTCTCTTTATTTTTCTTCTAATAAATAAAGTAAAAAGAAAAAACTTACAATTTCAGCAAGTGCACTAATGACTTTTCCAAGTGTTGTCAAACTTTTATTGATGTTTGCACCTTCCTTTAATCTCGTTCCTTTTGCTCCTGTCGAATCAGCTCTTTCTGAACCAGCTAAATCCACAAGAGAAATTTTACTGACTTTTTCTGTTATTAATCCCGTGATGGAATCTTGTTTCTGTTGTGTGAAGAAAATTGTGAAGACAGCGTGTGACCTACTTGAGGTCTCATTCATATTTGTAGCCGCAACAGTTCTTTAAAAAAAAAAAATCAAAAAATCAAATTTCATTATTATTTTTTTTTTAATGTTTTATAATTAAAAATTATAATAATAAATTTAGTAATATTTTTTTTCAGTTTAATAATTAAAAATTATAATAATAAATTTAGTAATATTTTTTTTTCAGTTTAATAATTAAAAATTATAATAATAAATTTAGTAATATTTTTTTTTTTAGTTTAATAATAAAATATTAATTTTTAGTAATATTTTTTTTTTCTACTAAAGTTTCAGTGAAAATTCTGGTATTTTTTTTTTATAATTAATAATTAAATAATAATTTTTTTTTTTAAATCTGATTTAATTAAAATTAATGCAAATTTTCGCACAAACCTGGCTTTATTTCCTTCGTCGATGAGATCATGAATGTCTTGATAGGACATCACAGCCAATTTAGAAAGATCCTCAACGTAGGGACCCAATAGGGGATGTTCCCTAACTCGGAGATTACCTTTATTCTTTGGATTAAGAAGATCTCGAACTCTCTCGCAATAAATTTCCATATAACTCACTTCAACTGAATATTTTAATTGTTCATTTGAATTTGATGTGATTTTTCCAAAAAGATCTTTACAAATTTGTGGTATTATTCCCTCTTGTCCCTCCTCTTGTTTCCCCATCATTGTATATGATTTACCAGCTCCAGTTTGACCGTAGGCGAATATACAAACATTGTAACCTGTTTTTTTTTTTTTTTTTTTTTTTGGAGAAAAAAAAATACTCGTGAGAAAAATAAAAAGATAAAGACAAAAAAAAATCCCTTCCCTCACAACAAAAGGATATCCTGAGGATATCATCAGGATATCCTAAACTAATGTATGATATCCTGAAAACGTCCATAGGATAACCTGAGAATATCCTCAGAACATCCAAACCGCCGTTACGTAGGATATTTTTTGGATATCCTGGGGGATATACTTAGGATATTCTGGGATATCCTGATGATATTCTAGGGATATCCCTGGGACATTCCTGGGATATCCTAGTGATATCGTGGGGGATATTCTTGGGATATCCAGAGGATATCCTTGGGACGTTCTAAGGATATCCACAGGATATCCTAAAAATATCCGTGGAAATGATTAGGATATCCCTGGGACATCCTAGGGACATCCTTAGATATCCCTGGGATATCCCTAGGATATCCTAACCGCCGCTACTTTGGATATCTTTAAAGTATCGTTAGAATATCCCTGGGGTATCCCTAGGATATCCAAGGGATGTTTGTAGAATATCCTAGGATATCTGGTGCTGTGAGGGTTAGCTCAACAATTTTTTTTTTCATTTTTTTTTTTGAAAATATTCCTACCTTCAAAAGCGTGTTCCAACATTTCTTCTCCAATATCTTTGTAGACCATAATTTGTGATGAATAATTATCAACATCGTTTGACTGTAAAAAAAAATTTAATTAATTTTGTTTGTTTTTTTATTGAAAATAGAAAAAAAAATAAATTAGATTTATATAACATTAATGGGAAAATTCTAGAGAATTTAAGAATTGTAGAGTTGAAAATAAAGTCAAATATAGTAAATTGAACTGGACAAAACGAAAAGAGAGCTCAGTATTTTTTGGCTGAGTCGAGATCCAGTGGGATATCGAGCGAATGTATTTTGTTGAATATTTTACAGACAAAGTTGCAAACACTTCAATGTCTTACGTGTTTCGAATTTTCTACAATATATATTATCTCTCTCTCTCTCTCTATCTCTCATTTACTATTTTTATTGTTAAAAAATGAAATAGACGTGAAAAATATTTAGACATTGAAGAAACAACTTTTTCATAAAAAAAACTTTTAAAATAGAAAAAAAAATTGTAAATTACTTTCTACATTTTATTTTTATTCTTTGTACATTTTATTTAATTTTTCAATTTAAAAATTAATGACAAAAACTATTAGTTTTTTTATTTTTACATTAATTAAATAATTAATTTTTTTTTAAATAAAATAATTAGATACAGCAGTTTTGAATTTTATTGTCAGCAGTTAAAAATGATTTTTAAATTAGAAAAAAAATTTTCCAAAAAAATTTATACGAATTTTTATTTATTAGTATAGTAAAAACAAAGTTCCGTCATATATACAATAAAGTGATTTTAAACTTACGTCCATAGAGAAGTAAGAATAATCATAATTAAAACTTTTAATCGCATCTTTAGTTCCTGGTGGTGCTTTTGGATTTGTTATGGCTGTAACAAGAAAAATTATTATTTTTACATAAAACAATTATTTTTGAAAACAAAAATTTTAATTAATTTGTAAATTTATTTAAAAATTAGAGAAAAAAATTAGAAAAAACTAATTTGTAAATTAGAAAAAAAAATTGCTAATCTTTTATTAAAAATTAATAGAAAATTTATCATAAAAAAAACGGAGAAATTGAATAGATTCAAATATCTATATATATATATATAAATAGGACATTATATATTTTCCATATATCTATCACAGTCTGACATATTCTCAGATGTGAAACATATCCAAGAACTGTGATATTAATTCAAAGTGATGTGCACTCGACACGGAAATCGATCATAGAGTTTATAGTCTCATATATATATATATATATATAAAATCTGATATTACGTTTTAGAAAATTATTTTTCTACACTGAAAAAAATTAAATTTGAATATTATAAAAAAAATTTAATTGATTCCAAATCAAAAATTATTATTGATTCAAATAAATATTTATTTGATTCAAATAATAATTATTAGTTCAAATAAATGTTTATTTGATTCAAATAATAATTATTAGTTCAAATAAAATTTATTTGATTTAAATAAATATTTATTTGATTCAAATAATAATAAATTCAAATAAATAAATAAAATAAATGTTCAAATGAAATTTATTTGATTCAAATAAAAATTATTTAATTAGAATAAATATTTATTTAAAAATTATTTGTTAAAAATTAAAAATTTATTTCAAAATTAATTTGTTTAAATAAAATATTTATTGAAAAATTATTTTTAATTAAACAAAAATATTTATTGAAAAAATAGACAAGTAACATGATTATTTTTGTGAACGAAATAAAAAATTTTTTTTTCAACATTCTACCTGCTAATATACGAAAAATAATTTGAAAAAGTAACACCCCAATTGTAATAAATTCAGAGAGACGTCTGACTAAACGCGTATTTTACCACTGTGTGCGCTAACAATAACTAATATATATGTATGTCGAACTTTATCGATTTCCTCTATAATAATTTTTCCATAACAAAGATTTTCTTTTTTCAAAAAAAAAAAAAAAAAAAAAAGAAAAAAAAATTAAATTGTAATGTTAAAGTTGCTTTTGAAAAAAAAACCCGTGTAGGTGTATATATAAACATATATTAAATTTACAAAAACGTGTACGCAAAACACCCACGATTTTTAAATATAGTTTTCTCTATAAAGAGGAAAACAAAACGCAATAACCTGTGTGATTAATTATAGAAAAATTACAAAAAAAAAAGGTTAAAAAAATATAAATATTTTCTCATCAATTTTTTTTCCGCACACTTTTTTTTATATGAAACAAAATTTTTGAAGAGTTAAAAAAAATTTTTCCAACCATATATTGAGAAAGAATCGAGTTATATATATATATGTATATACTGGATTGCAGACTCGCGAAAAAGGAGACAGGCGCCGGGGTCAAATGAAAAATCGATGCTGAGAGCGATGAGTCACCGGAGGTCGTGAAAGAGATGTTTCCTGCCTGAATAAACATTCCTGATGGTTTTCTGATTTTTTTTTTTTAAAAAACTATCTTCAAATTTATAAATACTTATTTGAATTGTAGAAATGTTTCTCTAATTAAATTAATAAAATTAATTAATATAAATTATAAAATAAAATAATTTAAATTAAAATTAAACTTATTTAAATAAATAAAATAATTTAAATTAAATTAACTTATTTAAATAAATAAAATAATTTAAATTAAATTAATTTATTTAAATAAATAAAAATAAATTAATTAAGAATTAATAAAATTAAATAAATATTATATTTTAGTTACAAAAAAAAATTGTTTTATTTAATTTTTATATGTTAAGAATAATAATAGTTTATTTTAAGTTTAACTTTAATATTCCTTTATAAATAAGATAAAAACATAAAAAATAAACTTTTCACTAAATTGATTTATAAATAAAAAGGATTTTATAAACCTTTCTCAGATTTAAATCAAATATCCAAAATAAATAAATATATATATATATATATATATATGTATTGAACATTATAAATGTTATATAAAATATCATATAAGGCTTTTTTGTCTGATATATTTATATAATTCGTAAAATTTATCTATATATATATATTTTTTTTAAAAAATATTTCACGAATAGATTTTAATCTTTCATATTGAGTTTCCATTAATTTTTGTTTTAAAAAATAAATGCAACAAAAGAAAAATTTCAATTTTTCAAAATAAATTACTTTGAATGAATTTTCTGTTGAAAATTTTCAAATTAGGAAAAAAAAAATATATTTAAGAAAAATGAAAGCAAAAGAACTTGAAATTTTTACTGTCCTTTTTTGTATCTATGAATGAAAGACATATGAGAATATCATATAATAAAAAGATTTTGGTGAGTCACGGATGCGGATTATCGATCTCATTCCCAGTTTTGCAGCATCCAAGTTATTTTTCTTTTTACCCTCTTTCTCCAGATATATATATATATATATATATATATATATATATTATTGACAATTTCAACTTATATTATATTCAATGAATAATTTGATTATTTTTTGATTATTCAAAATTATTATATTTTCAAAATTATTATTTATTTTTATATTATTATATTTTTAATCATATTAAAAAAATAAATAATAATATTTGAATTTCTAACGAGTTTCCACGAAGGAAAAAAATAAAAATAATAATAAAAAATTGATTTAAAATTATAATTATATGAAAAAATTTTAAAATGTAAAGAAATATAATATTTAACAAATAGTAAAAAAAAAAATTATACTTACAAGTGGTATTTCCATTCATGTCGATAATACATTGTGCTTCGCGGCATATCTCTCGGTTATTGAAGGGACGAACCCGCACCGCCACCTTCACCGACGACATCTTCTTTTTTCTTTTTTTTTAATCCACTATACTGAAATCTTTTTTTTCAATCACTCACTGAAATTTAAAAAAAACATACAAATTAAATTTTCTAGAATAAATATATATATTTTAATAAAAAAAAATTTTTTTTTAAAAAAAACTTTTTTCAATTGAAATAATTTTCTGCCAATTTTTTGTAAATTAAAATTTAATTTTATATAAAGGACAATATATGATTTATTTTTTGAGAGTTAAGTTGATAATTTCAATTAAGCTATTGCATTAATTTTGAAATGTCAACTATATATATATCTAATTGTCAACTAATTAAACGATACAATAATTCATTCAGGTTTGAGAATGCGTGAGAGAAGGGTTGTTGTGTATATATACGAGAATGTATAATGAATTATCTTGTTAACCAAGTTTATCCCCCTGAGATCACTCAGAAACCTATTACAAGATAAATTCATTTCGCTCGAATGATTTTACACTAAAATTTAAGAAAACCAATTTTTTGTTTTCAAAACCATTCATTGAATAAAAAGGCTACAATTTTTTTTATATACACAAAAAAAAATTCAAAAAAATATTTTCCTTTCCATTTATTGGAAAAGCAAAAAAATTTGCTACAAATATTATTGTGAGAGCTGCTAAAAAATTAGCTGTGGCGTGTAAAAAAAAAAAAAAATATTTATTTGTCTCTGAGACAAATAAATCTTTTCTCTTGACGTTAGAAAATTAAATGTGAAAAATATAAATTAATACAAAAAAAAAAGAAAATGTTCAAAACAATTTTTTGAGAAAAAAAAAAAATTTGTAAAACCTAGTGAAAAGTAGTTTTATGTCATGAAAAATTCTTTTGATGATTCATAAAATGTCTATTAAGTATATAAGTATTAAAGTAAAAGTAAAATGACTTTGTGAGTCTTTGTATATAAAAGGTTGCAAAGTTTTTCTCCAGTTTATTATAGGAACACTCGCTACACTAAACAGAAACGATAATTTCATTAGCATTTTAACATCACGTAACCGTTTAAATCGAATCTCATCAACTGATATATCTATATGTATATAAACTTCACAGAGACAATATAGAATCATTATTTCGATAGGAATAATCTCCCTTAATTGTTAATTTATTTATTAATTAACTTTTTTCAATTTCATAATAACAAAATATTGAAATATTTTATTTAAAAATTTTTAATTTAAAATAAATTATAACTCTCTAAATCTGAATTAGTAAAAATGTTTACTAATTTAAATTAGTGACTCACTTTTTGCTTCTAAATTAGTTAAATTTTACTAATAATTAGTAAAATTTTACTAATTTAGTAACTTTTAGTAATTTAGTAACTAATTTAGTTACTCTCTAAATCTGAATTAGTAAAAATGTTTACTAATTTGAATTCAGTGATTCACTTTTTGCTTCTGAATTAGTAAAATTTTACTAATTATTAGTAACTTTTACTAACAATTAGTAAAATTAAACTAATTCTAAAGCAAAAAGTGAGTCACTAATTTAAATTAGTAAACATTTTTACTAATTCAGATTTAGAGAGAAAATAAAAAATTATTTATGTGAATAGTTTTTTAAGGACATAACCCTCATGTAAAGGAGGCAATGCGCCTTTAATTACATTATATAAAATAATAAAAATAATAAATAAAAAATTAAAATTAAAGAATTTAGTCATAATTTTGAAAAGTGCATTGAATTTTTTTTTTACGTTTTTCTTATTTGAAAAAAGGAAAAATATTTTCTGACGCACATGGATCAAGGACGAAGAACGTACGTTTGATACGATTAACTTGTTTTACTGATCGATTCAGGATTAGAATGAAAAGGATATAAAAATAGTTTGTACTACTTAAACTTTTAGAAATGAATGAAACTGAAGTGTTCTTTATATTATAAAAATAAACCAGACTTTTATTTCTCTTTTTTTTTATTAAATTAAATACAAGAGTTTTAATTTATATGTAGATTATTTAGTTATTAGTCGATTATTAATAAATAAATAAATCTAAGATTATGTATAAAAGAAAAATTATTTTGTTAAATAAAAATGAGAATGTAAAAAGAGAGATTTAATGTTTAACTCCCAATAGAATTTATTATATATAAAAGACCTTAAGATTTTTTCTGATATATAGAAATGAAGATAAAAGAATGCCATAGGCGTTTGTCTATTGCATCCATTCGTTAATGTCGGGGATAAAAAAAAAATCTTGAAATGGATGAGTCAATTCTGATAATATATCCTTATGATTCATACGACAGGATTTTTTATTTTCAAATAACAACGAGAGATATATAATCAAAATGTCACGAAAAAATATAAAATCATGTTTTTGTATACTTTTTTTTTTAATAATAATTATTTGTATATTTTTTTTTTTAAAAATAATTATTTGTATAATTTTTGTGTTTTTACCATAGTAATATCCAAAATTTCGTTAGACTGAATTTTTATATCATTATTATTAGTAGGGAAAGTCATTATTGTCAGGCAAAAAGGTTTATTTTTTTAATATCAGTGATGAAAACAAAATTTAGTCAGACACAAACGATTTTAATTTATTATCAGTAGTAAAAGTAATTTTAGTCAGACAAAAGATTTTTAATTATAGTAGAAATTCATTATTATTAGTTGAAACAATATTTAGTCAGTCACCAGCGATTTTAATTTATTATCAGTAGTAAAAGTAATTTTAGTCAGACAAAAGATTTTTAATTATAGTAGAAATTAATTATCAGTGATTTAAACAATATTTAGTCAGCCACAAATGATTTTAATTTATTTTCAGTAGTAAAAGTAATTTTAGTCAGACACAACTTTTTTTTTAGTTTTTTAATTATAGTAGAAATTCATTATCAGTAGTGGAAACAATATTTAGTCAGACACAAGCGATTTTAATTTATTTTCAGTAGTAAAAGTGATTATAGTCAGACACAACTTTTTTTTGAAAATAATTATTATAAGTTAGTGTAAAAATAATTTTTGTCAGACAAAAAGGTTTTTAATTAGTTGAAATTCAATATAAGTAGTAAAAGTGATTTTAGTCAGACAAAAATTTTCTAATGTGGAAAAATTTATTTTCAGTAGTAAAAACAATATTCAGTCAGACGCAAAGATTTTCATTTCATTGTCAGTGGTAAAAGTAATTTTTGTCAGACAAAGTGTTTTTATTTAGTAAAAAATTTAGTATCAGTAGTAAAAGAGATTCTAGTCAGACAAAACGAAAATTATTCGTAGTAAAAAGTGATTTTAGTGGGACAAATAATTTTTTTATTGGGCAAAATTCACTATCAGTAGTAAAAACTGATTTTAGTCAGACAAGGGTTTTTTTTTATTAGTCAAAATTCGGTACCAGAAGTAAAAGCGATTTTAGCCAGACAGAAGGTTTTAAATTACTTAAAATTCAATATTAGTGGTACAAACAATATTATAGTCAGACAAAAATAATTTTAATTTTTTTGCCAGTAGTAAAAGTGATTTTAGTCAGACAAAATGTTACAAAATTAGTGGAATTTATTTATAACCAGTAAATACAATTTTTCGTCAAACAAATTGTTTAAAAATGTCGTAATTTTAATATCAGTAGTAAAAGCAAATTTTAGTCAGACACGATTTTAATTTTATTTTCATTATATATATATAGCAAAAATTCTGAATAGAACAGCAAAAAAAAAAATTTTCTAAATAAAAATTATATGTAAAACAAATTCTATTTGGCAAAAAAAAAAGACTGACATATAATTCAACCCCTTCCCCACCCCCCTTTTATATTGATCACTCTAGTAATTGGCGAACAATTTTCATCATACAAAATAGTTAATAAAGGGAAATTTTTTTTCTGAAACATAAAAATTTTGATAATCAATATCTTCTTTTTTTTGTGCCACAACCTAATTTTAATAAATACATAAATTTATATAGAAGAAAATAGGCGAGAACCCTATACAGAGTAGTCAGCGATCGATCGTATGTGTAGTAAAAAAGAAAAAAAAAAAAAAAACTATTCCTCACCTTGATTGTTAAGAAGGGTTCTTGGGGGAGGGTTTTTTTTTTCTCTAAAAAAGTGGAAAATCCTTAACAACACTGCACTTAACAATAACAAACAAAGAGTAGTGACACTTTTTTTTTTTTTTTTTTTGTCGCGCACTGTTATGTCAAAACACTGTCTGAATAAAAACCCTTGACTGTGTACCAAATCATGTTAGCTGCCATTATTATTTTTTTTCTTTTTTACATATACATCCGCCCTCTGTAACCGAGAGCACACCGTCGGCAGCACTGAAATGTAAGCTTCTGGCCTCGATTGTACGACACGAGCGCCATTAACAACCCACGCGACTACCCTCCAAACTCGAGCTTGCAAGCATCTCCATCACGATTGATCTAGATAACTTTTTATGCAGTTATCTGTCATCCCTTTATATTCAATGAAATAATAAATTTTTATTTTTAAATAACACCATTTTCTTTTTAAATGATATATAAATGCATATTGAGAAATTTTTTATTTCAATCAAATTTAATATATATATATATTTGACTTAGATAAATGTATTTTTTGTCTCGGAGTTTAATATTTCCATTTGTAAATAAAAATTTTATTTGTCATTATGGAAAATTTTATATTTATTAATTTAAATTAAAAATTTATTTGTAAACAAACAAATATTTATTTACAACAAGTAAATATTTATTTGAAACGAATAAATATTTATTTGAAACGAATAAATATTTATTTACAACAAGTAAATATTTATTTGCAACAAGTAAATATTTATTTGCAACAAGTAAATATTTATTTGCAACGAATAAATATTTATTTACAAGAAGTAAATATTTATTTGAAACGAATAAATATTTATTTGCAACAAGTAAATATTTATTTACAACAAATAAATATTTATTTGAAACGAATAAATATTTATTTACAACAAGTAAATATTTATTTGAAACGAATAAATATTTATTTGCAACAAGTAAATATTTATTTGCAAAGCAAATATTTTTTTTTCTCTGATACAAATATATATATATATATATATATATATATATATATATATATATATGTATATCATTTCTCTGGATGTGTGAAAAAATAAAACAAAAAGAGTTTTTCCGTAAATTCCAATCTATATGGTGAGAACACTAAACTTTGATATTGTATGATAAAAAATGTCACAAAGAAAATATCGAAATAAAGAAAATAAATGCTGACATTGGAAAATAGCAACTGGTAATAGATAATATGAGATTTTTTTGGAACCAATCCAAAAGTAGAGATGAAACAGGAGTGTAGCATTGAATATCCAAAAAGAAGGGAAAAAATAAAAAAAAAGAAAAATGATACAAATAGAAAAAAAACAAATACAAAAAAACAAAAGGAAAACAAGAGTACATAATAAAAAAAAAAGTTTTTAATTGGTTGAAATTCAGTATCAGTAGTAAAAGTGATTTTAGTCAGACAAAGGGATATTAAATGTTTAGAAATACAAAATTAGTAAAAATAATATTTGTCAGACAAAATTTAGTATATCAGTAGTAAAAGAGATTTTAGTCAGACAAAGAGTTTTTTAATTATTATAAATTTATTAGCAGTAGTAAAATCAATATTTAGTCAGACACAATGATTATAATTGATTATCAGTAATAAAAGTAATTTTTTTGTCAAAGTTTTCTTATTTAGTAAAAATTCAGTATCAGTAGTAAAAGAGGTTATAGTCAGACAATAGGATTTTTATTTAATAGAAATTTAGTACTCAGTAAAAAAAAAACAATATTTAGTCAGACACAACAATTTTTAATTCATTTTTAGTAGTAAAAATAATATTGGTCAGACAAAATTTAGTAAAAATTTAGTATATCAGTGGTAAATGATATTTTAGTCAGACAAAAGGGTTTTTAAATTATTATAAATTCATTAGCAGTAGTAAAATCTATATTTAGTCGGACACAATGATTTTAGTTTATTATCAGTAGTAAAAGTGATTTTAGTCAGACAAGGGTTTTTATTTAAATTATTCAAAATTCAGTACTAGTAGTAAAAGCAATATTTAGTCAGACACAAAGATTTTAATTCAGTTTTAGTAGTAAAAATAATATTTGTCAGACAAAATTTACTATCAGTAGTAAAAGAGATTTTAGTCAGACAAAGAGTTTTTAAATTATTATAAATTCATTATCAGTAGTAAAAATAATATTCAGTCAGACGCAAAGATTTTCATTTCATATCCAGTGGTAAAAGAAATTTTTGTCAGACAAAGTTATCTTATTTAGTAAAAATTCAGTATCAGTAGTAAAAGAGGTTATAGTCAGACAATAGGGTTTTTATTTAATAGAAATTTAGTACTCAGTAAAAAAAACAATATTTAGTCAGACACAACAATTTTAATTCATTATTAGTAGTAAAAATAATATTGGTCAGACAAAATTTAGTAAAAATTTAGTATATCAGTAGTAAATGATATTTTAGTCAGACAAAGAGTTTTTAAATTATTATAAATTCATTAGCAGTAGTAAAATCAATATTTAGTCGGACACAATGATTTTAATTAATTATCAGTAGTAAAAGTGATTTTAGTCAGACAAGGCGGTTTTTTTTAATTATTCAAAATTCAGTACTAGTAGTAAAAGCAATATTTAGTCAGACACAAAGATTTTAATTTGTTAATCAGTAGTAAAAGTTTTTTTTTATTTAGCGCAAAAAAAAATAAATATATTTGTACTAAAATAAAATTCATTTTAAAACGCAAATAAATATTTTATTATCAAAAAAAATATATATTTATTTTATATGAACCAAATAAAATTTGAAACAACAAATAAATATATATATATATTTATTGAGAAAAATATAAAATCGGATGCAATTAAAATTAGTGGAATATATATGTCAAAATTGATAAATTGTTAAATGAAATCAGGCTTTTGAAAAGAGGAAAAAAAAAGTTGATCCTGTGATTCTTAGAAGAAGTTTCTTATCTAGATGATTAGGTTTCCTTAAAAATAATATATAGATATAATATATATATGTTATATTGGTATAACACAAGAGCGCATTGAAGATAAAGTGCAAGATGGCTGCGCGGACAATTCGAGTTTGCGTAGCAGGGAATTCTCAACTAAAAGTCACGTGACCTGACGTTCGCGTAACCTCGACGGAATATTTGGCCAATCGGCTGGCACTCAGCTCTTGTAGAATCAATAGGACGCTTGGCGTCGTGACGTCACATCAGAGAAACGATCGACCAGTGCGACGCGGGCGGCGCCGGCCAATTCCTTCTCTCTACCAATCAATAAAGAAGCTACCGACCAAGGAAGAATGTATATAAACTTTCTCTCGATATAGTGACAACATTCAAGTACCAATTGTAAAAAAGACCTTTTTTTTCCCTTCTTCTCTTCGAGAGAATGACGTAATTGACATGAGAGGGCAAAACCACCTACGTTTTCTTCCATATATATAATATAACCAAACGTTGTATACACCAACGCACAATTATTTCTACATAATTTAACAATTTCTACTTTAATTTCTTTGATTTAAAGAAATTTTCTTTGAATAAAAGAAATTCTAACCTATACATATATAGGTTGATACCAAAAATATCAAATTGATATAAAAATTTGTATCAATTTGGTATTATTGGTATCAATTTGATATACTTTTAAATTTGTGTATATTTGAATTAAATAAAAAATTTCTTTTTGAAATGAAAATAAATTTTCTTTTCAATAAAAGATTATTTTGTTTGAAACAAATAAATTTTCTTTATATTAAAGAAAAATTTTGTCAATGTAATCTTTTTTCTTTGTTGTATATGGAAAAAATTATTTAGAAAATATGGATTTGCTATAATTAAAATGCAATATACATAAAATCGAAATGAAATTAAATGACGAGAATTCTATTTTTATTATAATGTTGACCCAATATTTTTAAGAGAAGATAAAAAAAAATTTTTACCTTTTAAATCAAATCTGATATATATATACAAAAGACAAACAATAATTAACAAAGCTTCATTCCAAAAAGAGAATAATTTAAAATAAGAACAAAATCAATATATATATATATATTTCACATAAAAATTGTATTTCAAAATTTTTTTCACTGTAACACGTTTTTTTATTTCAAAATCTTTATGAAAAATAAAAAAATATTTTATTTTTCAAAAAAGATTTTTGAATAAAAATGTTTTAAAAAAAATTTTTTGTATGGTTAATTTACTTTTCAAATCATAATTATTTGAATTTTTTGGCTAAATTTTATATATATATATATAAAAGAAAGGAAAGTTTTATAAAAAAGAACTAAACTTCTTTTATCTCAAATTAAATTAGTTTCCTTGGTTTCCAAACCAAATTTAAAGAAATCAATAATACTTTTATGAATTATTAAAAAAAAAAAAGAATTTTTCTTCACGTGAATGAAAAGGACATTTGAAATTGATGAAATAAATTATTTATTTTCTTAGTTCTGTGTAAAAAAAATTATATTAACATTTGACAAAAAATATATATATATAACCTTCTGTTTAAGGTTCACTAAATTATAAACTCAGAAAAAATTTTATTTAAAACAAACCAAATTTTGGTTCAATCAACAAAATAAATGTATTGCTATTAACCAAATCTTTCGTTGAATCAACTATAAAAGATTTATTTGGTTTCAATCAAATTCTTATATTTCTTTGTTAGAAAAATTTATTCAATTCTTAAAAAAAAAAATGAAACATGAAAAAAATCTATATTTGATGAAAATTTAAGAAAAAAAAAAATGTGTATCATTTTAGCAGGTTAAAAGATTTTTAAGAGAGTCTTAAATTCCCATGGAGCATGTTGCACTTATAAATTTTATGGAAACATTTTTTTAACGCTAACCAATCCTCCCAACAGAACTATAAAAACTGTTTCTGTAGATAGAAAGTACCCTGCTAGCATGTCACGTAAAAACATAAAAGCAACCATAGGAGGGATACACGTTAATTATAAAAATTGTAATGATGCTAAAGTTTTCCCAAAAGGTACACATATAGTATATAAAATCTACTTAATTGATAAATTTTTTTCTAAGGATATTTTTTTTATCAATTTCTGTTAGCAATTATTTTATTATATCTTCTTTTAATAACAAAAAATAAAAAGTTCACAAAATGTGATCATACTGCAAAAAAAAAAACCCCCCTAAAATAATTACTGGCGAAAAAGGAATTCTATGAATTCAAAAAATTGAATTAAAGGGAAAACGTATAATGGATTAAAGTTATTAGACTTTTCAAGAGATAAATAGGAGGACAATGGGGTCTTTATTGGAAAAGTCCAAGGTCAAAAGAATTCATATATATTAATAAAAAGGTGGAAAAAATGAAGGAAGGAATTTCAACAAAAAAAAAAAAATAAAATAGTGCGCATGCAATTTTGTATGGCTATTGTTATTTCTTAAGGTTTTAGAAAACCTTTTATTAAACTTAAAAAAAAAATTATTAATTATTTAATATTTTTTTTTCAAAAATATTATTATTTTAAAAAAATAATAAAAAAAATATATATATATTATAAAATATGCAAAGTGAATTTAGGTCATGGGAAGGAAAATAAACAGATGTGAGACATCTAATAGGGCCAAAGTATTTGAGTATATATATAAGAAGAGTATCTTGAAGAGAATGAAGTGACTTTTGATAAAAGTGAGAACTCTCGAATTATATTATAAATTTAACCTCATTATATATCAGTGTAAGAGTATTTATTAGAAAAATTATTAAACCTCAAAGTGTGATAATCAAATTTTTTTTTTTTTACCCAATCGGAATTTCATTCAAAAATCATTTTTCTAAATTTTTTCTGCTAAAAAATTGAGAATTTTAATACAATTTGTTTTTTTTTCTAAATTTTTTCTGCTAAAAAATTGAGAATTTTAATACAATTTGTTTTTTTTTCTAAATTTTTTCTGCTAAAAAATTGAGAATTTTAATACAATTTGTTTTTTTTTCTAAATTTTTTCTGCTAAAAAATTGAGAATTTTAATACAATTTGTTTTTTTTCTAAATTTTTTCTGCTAAAAAATTGAGAATTTTAATACAATTTTTGTTGGTCATTATATTGTTTTATAAAATAGAATTTTTACAAATTTTTTTGATTTTTAATTAATATTTTTAAAAAATTTATTTAAAATATTAAAATTTAATTTTATAAAAACAAAATTATTTTGTCTATTATTACAGAAATTTATACAATTTATTTAAAATTACAATTTACATAAAATTAAAATAGTTTTATTAATTCTGAAAAAATTTATTTTTCCCAATTTCTATATAAATGGAATAAAAGAAATTTTTAAATGACAAGTAAAAAAGCAAACTCATTAAAATGAGAATATAAATATAAAAAATATTATCATGCGCTAAAGAACAATGTCAAAATAAAATTGTAGAAATTTTTTTTTTTTATTATTATTTTAATTATATTATTAGTACTAAAATATTATTTCAAAGAAGTGAATTTGTTATTCAATAATTTTTTGTAGTAGAAAACTTGTACCGTTGTATAAATAAATAAAATAAAAAATAAATAAAATAAAAAATAAATAAAAAAAAAAATAAATAAAAAAAAAATGAAGAAAATAAGGAGAAAAAAATTTATATTTAATAAAAGAGAATCGAAGTGAGATATATATATATGTGAATCGGCGTGGTTGAATATACTTTGTTAAAGTATAAACTACTTTTCTATACATAGTCATTTCTTCCATTTTCCACACCCCTTTTTAAATCCCCACTACCCTCCTTTTATATATATACTACTGTGCCGCGGAATCGATGTTATCCAGCGCACATATTCGCGTAATTTCCCCGTTAAATCATATTTTTCCAATTTTTCTTGCTTCTTTAGTAAAAATTTCTTTTAATTTTTCTAATTCTTAGATGAAAATATCAAATGTCCGAAAACATTGAAATAAAACAAGAAAATCATCAACTTTCTTATAAAGAGAAGTCAAAATATTAGAGAAGATATCTAAAAAGATTATTTAAAAATTATAATTTAGATGATTATTAAATGAAAAAAAAAAAAATAATAATCCATTAGTAACAAAGAAAATTAAAAGGCATTAAAATAAGCTATTATTTTAATCCAATTTTGCTTATTTTTTAATACCAAAATGGATTAAAATAAGCAAAATTGGATTAAAATAATAAGCATTGCAGCTTATTTAATTTTCTCTAAAATAACTATAGCATTGTCACTAATTTAAATTAAAATTTTTTATCCAAAATTTATTTTAAAAATGTTTAAATATTATTTATATATTCTAAAAATGAGAGATTATTTGATACAAATTATTTGATAGGCTTAAATTTAAAATTAAATAATTCTGATTGGTCAATATCTTAAGCAATTGTATTCCGTCAAACGTCAAAGTTACCACAACATTGAGCTGTCAAAAAAATATGCATTGAGAAAAATTTAAAATAAAACCCAATAATAAAAAAATTAATTAATAATTCATTATATAATTTATAATTGAATTGCATTTTAAATAATCTTTCAATTATTATTATTAATTAAAACATTAAAATAACCTCTTGACTCACCAAATACGCAGTTTTTAACAGCTGAGCAGGGCAAAGTGCAGCCATACTAGTTTCATTTCCTTTGTTCCTTGGTTTTAAGACAACTTCCATTGATTATTATTATTATGATCAGAAAGGGTTGCTTCCATGGAAAGTGGAAAAAAAATAAGGTTAAATTAAAAATATCAAATGAAGCTAACAATTTTTTTTAGCAAAAACTATTTATTAATATATTTTTAGTTTTTCGAAAAATTTTTATTGCCATCTATTGGTATTAGCGGAGGAATTATGCCTAGGTACTAATTTTCCGTTCTTTAATTTACACATGTCGGTAAAATAAATTCCATCTCTAAAATAGCGTAGGTATTTCTTCTTCTAATTTTACTTCTTATTTTACTTCTAATTTTAATGTTTCTTTTATTTTTTCGGATTCTGAGGTGTTTTTGAGCAAATTTTTAATTATCATATTCGTAATTTAATAATTGATACATTCAAATATGGATGTAAACTGAAGGTGAACTTTTTCTATACGTGATAAAATGGTTTCCTTCAGTTTACATCCATATTGAATTTCTCCCACCCAAACACAAAAAAAAAAAATGGCTGTTCTAGAAACGGCGCAGAGAAGAAGACTCCCAAATTGGTAGAACCTTGTGTATCATTTTTACTATATACAATGAAGCTAACCTTGGATTTCCTTAGATCATGTGGATTATGGATGCTAACCACATGGTTTTATCAGTTATGACCATGACAGTGATCCATAATCCACAGTTTTGTTATAAATTTAAAAAAAAAGAAATACTTTTAAATATAAAATACACAAAACAATGAAGCATACTTTCATTTTTTATAAAATATAGTAAGTTCTTTCATTTTTATCATCAATTATATCTTCAATTTTTCAGTTTCTAATCTCTGCAATTTTAAAAGATATCAATTTATTATACACTGAGAAAAATATGCTATTTCTGCCAAATATATAAAAATTATTAATTTAAATATGCTGTAAAATTTTTAAAATATTTTACAGATTCCATAGCATATATGCTTTTGAATAAATAATTTTTATTACCTTTGGCAAAAATGCTACCTTGGCAAATGCTATTTCAATAGCATATTTTTCTCAGTGTACAATAATAGAAGATATTGATCCTAATTCTTGTTATGGATTTTGATTTGCTTCTTCACTTTAATAATACTTCAAAAATTATTGTTAACAATTTGAAAAATTGGGCGTTTTCGGCAGATGCTTCGGAGTGCTTTGAGACTAGATCCAATGGAATTGGATAGGTATGATTGGACCATAAAATTCTCCTGGAGCATATGCCAAAAATGCCTAATTGTATTCGAAATTTTGAAAAATTAGATTCGTTACCAATCTTTAGTAAATCCATTAAAAAATTTCGTATACCATCAAAAATCCGTTACGTTTTTTTTTTTGAGGTAAAAAAAATCCCAATGGAGCAAAATACACTGAAATTTTTATAAATTTTAACTTCTTTATTTGTATTATTTGGATCCTATAATAGAATGGAAATTTTGATTTTCGACCATTTCTCCAAAATCCTCATTAAAAATGTAGTCAAAATAAAAGCCCTTATATTCATTGTAGATGTTACCTTTTTTTCTATAGAACGGAATAATTATTACACTCTAAATCTGAATCAGTGAAAAAAAATCTGATTCAGATTTAGAGTGTGATTTCAAATGATTTCAAAAATAATGGAAACAATGATTAGTAAGACCCCGCCCCATCTAATAAAATTAGGGATAATCCTCAAAAGGGTTCGTTAATGAGGGTAAAATTTTTAAGCCAAAACTTAGATATAAAAGGAAAAATTTATAATATTGTTCCAAAGCCAAAGGTTGTTAACTCTAAAATGATGCGCATTTAAAAATAACTTCTCGATATCGCACGATAGTAATGTATCATAATAAAATAAATATTTTTCTTCTCCAAATACAAATTTTTAACCAAAATTGCTATCCATAAATTAATTTTGTAGAATAGATTTGCTCCAAAATTTTTTTTACTTTATGCAAAATATTAATAATTAGTTATTTTCTTGTCTTCTTTGTCATGAGGATAAAGTGACTTTATAGGTCTTCAGTTCTCTCCCACAGGTTATATTATCCGAGTATAGTGTATTTAATAGTCTCATGTTACAAACACGAATCAGGGAGAACCGGTATTATATATATATTTGCTTTTATATTATGCATTTGTTGTGAAACTACGAAGAAAGAATCATGAATCGTGAGAGAATTCCATTATTATTTCGTGACAATAATAATAATACAGGATTGTCAGTGTTTTTTGCAACTCTTTGTATTATTGATATTTTTGGAGTGTTTCCTATTATTGCCCTACCAAGAGCAATTGTACAGTGTGGTTAAGTTATTTTTTTCTTCAATATAGATTTAAAAATAAAAAAATTTATGTAAATCCAAATCGGCTTATTGTTAAAACCATTTTGAATATATAATATGAAATTTTTATATTTTTATTACTTCGTCATAATTTGTCAATTGTTAAATTTATTTATATAATATTATACAGGTTTTTATGGAATTCCTTTGGTATTAGTGGTATTTGGACTTCAAATTTATACAGCATTTTTACTTGGAAAATCATGGACCATTGCAACAGCATTAGATCCTCATATTTCGCGAAAAAATCGGTAAAATTTTATTACTATTATTCTAATTATTGGATATTTAAAATAATAATAATTTCAGTTATCCATTGGCTGCTGTAACGGAATTAACATTAGGACCAAGAGCTCGAAGTCTAGTTACATTGCTTTTGGATCTTACAATTTTTGGCTGTGGAATACCAAATCTATTAGTTGGTACGAACAAATTTTTCTTCAAATTTCATTTAAATCTAATTATTTAAATCTAAATTATTTAAATTATCATAATTTTACAGCTTCACAAAATCTGCAATTATTTGGATTAAAAGTATCAAATAATGAATTTGATTTGTCCTTTTGCTATTGGTTAATTGTTGTTGGCTTATTTTTATGTCCAATTATGTGGCTTGGAAGTCCTCGTGATATGAAGTAAGTTTTTTAAAAAATAAATCATTTCAATTATTTTTTTTGGTAATAAATTTTTTTTATAATACAGATGGGTGGCATGTCTTTCGGCATTGTCTGTAAGTTTAACAGCTGGTATTGTATGGTGGTGTATTATTGATGATAATTCACTAAATATTCGTCCAATTCCAACATCACCAACTTGGGATAAATTTATTTCAGGGTAATAAGAAAATAGAAAAATAAGAAAATTGAAGGATTTCTATGACCTTATTTTTACAGATATGGAATGTTGGCTTTTCAATTCGATGTGCATCCAACTTTAATGACCATTCAGGTTGATATGAGACAACCGCAATATATAAACAAAGCTGTTATATATTCTTTCATAGGTTGAATGAAATTTTAATTAAAATTAATTCCAATGAGAGTAGAAAACCCTTTAAAATCTGATTTCAAAATTTTAGATTTTAAAAGATTTGTTAATTTTTGATGATTTTTTTTCAGTAAGCAGTGGTTTGTTTGGTGTTACTACCATTTTGGCTGGTTGGAAATACGGTGGTGGAATAACAGCAAATGTTCTTCAATTAATTCCACCGAGTTATGCAATAAGAGCAGCTATTTTAATAACTGCACTTCAATTATGCCTTTCAAGTGCACTTGGACATTCTGCACTTTTTCAACATTTAGAAGATCGATGGCAAATTCAAAGATGTAATTTTGATTTTAATTTTGAAATTTTTGAATTCATATTTTTAAAGAAATTAGAATTGATTTTGAATTATGAAATTTCAGCATTTGGATGGAAACGTTGTGCATTACGATCAGCAATTGTTTTTTTGGGTGTTGCTGTTGGTGAATCTGTGCCACGTTTTGATATTGTTATGTCATTAATTGGTGGAACATTAACGGGACCATTGGTATTTATATTACCGCCAATAATTTATATTCGTTTATTGTCATTAAAAAAACATGCCGCGGGAAGATTATCAACGCCAAATATATATTCAAGTTATCGACGTGAATCACAACAGGAAATTTTATATGAACCAAAAGCACATTCACAATCAATTTATTATGGTTTTCCTGATGGTAATAAAAATCCTTATCGTTATGCCTATATTTATTATGATAAAGAACAACAAAATTCAACTGAATTAACTGATGTTGATGATGATGATGATAATGATGTTTTACAACCGGGATTTTCTAAAGATGATTTACAATTAACATGTAAAAAAACAAATGATCGACCAATATTAATTGAAGCTAGTCGAATTAATAGACGTAGACGTGTAATATCCGTTGAAGAGCCTGGTGGTTTAAGAAATTATTGGAATTTTTTCAATTCTTTTGGATATATTGTTATTATTTTTGGAATTTTAATTACCGTTTCTTCAACTTATATTAATGTTAAGAATACCATTAGATATGTTACTTTTACACCACCTTGTATATTTAATGTTACATCAGCGTTTACTACTTTAAATATTTCACAAACTTAGGAGGACTCTTTTTATTTTCTTTTATATATGTAAATAAAATACAGATTTTTTAATTCTCAAAATTAATTTATTGCAAATTTTTTACTATTATATTTTTTGTATACTTTATTTCTCCAAATATATATGTATATATATATTCTTATTTTAATCAAGTAAAATAAAAATTTTCAAATATTTTTTATAAATTTTTATTTCACATAATAGTTCAATAAAGCAAAAATTAAAGTATTTGAAGAGGAAAAAATCAATCAAACTGCTTTCAGATTAGAATGAAATATTAGCAAGAAAAATACAAGATTTTCATCAAATTTTAATTGAAGATAATTTATTCAATTATTTAGAAAATAAAAATACGCATTTTATTTTATAGAATTAAGAATTTAATTATAGCAGAAAATTGAGACCAAAAGTCAATTGCAATATTGTAGTTGAAAAAATTTAACAATCAAAATTAAAATTTGTAAATAGAAGAAAAATTTTAGCCCAATTTTTTATAATATTATGAAAAATTATAAGCCAAATTTTATACACATTTCAAATTAATTTCTTAAATATGTTAATTATTATTTTTTTTTTATTTAATATACTAATTTAAAATTTAATTTTCTTATCTAATTTTAAATTTAAAAATATATTCTAATTTTAAAATTCAATTTTTCTGACAAATGACAAACATGTGCTAGAAATTCTATATGTTCTCGAAAGTTCTTAAGAAATTTACGAACCCAGTAAACGTAACCTAACTGAACCTAAATTTAGATCCTTAGATCATTTTGTAAAAGTTGAAAACATCTCATAAAAGAAAGTTTAATTTCTCAAATTCTAATAGTGAAAATTAGTGATATGGAAAATAATTCCTAACGGAAAAAAAAACATCGAAACTGGTAATTATTTTTTTTTATTGTTAAAAAAAGAAACGATTTTGAAAAAAAATGGACGAGATTTTAAAAACTCTACACAGCAATATTATAGAAAGACAAAAGCAAGAGATTTTATCGAAAACATTTATGAACGCTGAAAATGATCAACAACGAATGAAATTTATGTACAATGTATTGAATGAATTTAATATTATTCCAAATTCAAAATGTGAAATTAAAAATTCATTAGATTCACAAAAATTTCGTAATCAAGGAAATGAAATTTTTGTCTCAACATTTAATGCAACGGAATATTTAAAAGCATGGGAACTTTATTCAAAAAGTATTGCATTCTCACCAAATAATTCTGAAGAATTAACATTGGCCTTTGCCAATAGATCGGCAGTTCTTTTTCATTTGGGTAAATATTATGAGGCATTAAATGATATTGAAATGGCATTAAATTTAAATTATCCCAAACATCTTAGGACAAAATTATATTTAAGAAAAACTGAATGCCTTGCCTATTTAAATCATCCAAAATTAAATGAATTTTATCAAGAAACATTATTGTGGCTTGATAAAATGTGTTTAGATGATTCGAAACGTGAGAAATTTAAAAATAAATTACAAACAATGAAAATAAAAAAAATTAAAATTGAAAATTTATCTGATCCAATTGTACCAATAATAATAAAACAAAATGAAATACCATGCGCAACAAATGCATTGACTGTGAAATTTAATGATAAATTTGGAAGACATGTAGTGACAACACGTTCAATTGAACCAGGTGAAATACTTGCTGTTGAAAAACCATATTCTTGTATTCTTGCCACTGAAAATATGTATACACATTGTGGTAATTGTTTAAGAATTGCCTGGTCAAGTATACCATGTGAATATTGTTGTTTTGTTGTTTATTGTTCGGAAAATTGTAAAGAAAATGCATGGAAAAAATATCACGATATTGAATGTTCTGTTACTGGATTTTTGTTAAATTTAGAAATGAATAAATTAGGATTATTTAGTATGAGATTGACAATATTGGCAGTTAGGGAATTTGGTAATTTGGAAAAATTAAGAGACGAATTGAAGCACATTGACTCATGTAAAGGTAAAATATATATATTATAAATATTTTCATAGAAAATAATAGAATAATTATTTTTCCTTCTTTTTTTTTAAGATTTAAGAACAAAAGGATTCTCAGATGATGGAATACTTGAAAGTGATAAATACAGAAGTATTTATAGTCTTGTTACAAATACAGAAAAAAGAAGTCTATCTGATTTATTTGGTAGAGCTCTTAATGCATCAATTATTTTATATTTCATTGCAACGCGTACATTATTTTTTAATCAAATATTTGATAATAATAATTTAATTTCAATATCATTAAATAATGATGCTATGTTTATTGGGGGATTAATTTTACGTCATCAACAAATTATTCCAAGTAACATGCACACTGTATGTACAAAAGTATTTTCAAATTTGAAATTTATAAATGATTTTGTGTAATAGAAAATTCTTTTCTTTTTTTTTTTTACAGTTTGAAGAGGAACGTAATTTGGATTCTGAAGATCGTGGATCAGCAGCATTGCCATTTTACAGTCTTATTAATCATAGCTGTGATCCAAATGTTGCACGAAATTCACTAGCTGAACATATTGTTCTTTATGCTTTATATCCAATGGAAAAAGATACTCAAGTATGATATTTTTGTTTTCTTTGAATAATTTCTTATTTTATACAATACCAATTTCAGTAAATATAAATAATAATCAGAATGAATTGAAATAATAATAATTATATGTAAAAATTCAATTTTGTTATTCATCTATTTTAATTTAGAGAAATTTTTAGAATTTCTGATTCTAATGTATATTTTTAAATTCTATTTTTTTTGTAGATATTTGATAATTATGGCATACATTATGCTGTAATGTCAAAAGATGAAAGACAATTGAAATTATCGAGGCAGTTTCATTTCAAATGTGAATGTATTCCATGTCAAAAAAATTGGCCAACATATTTTAAATTGCCATCATTTCAAGTAAGTTTAGAAAAAATTTTCAAATTTTAACAAAAAATTTTTTTTTTTCTCATTGCGTCTGTTTTCTTTCAGATATTGGTACAATCGAACGGTGATAAAATAAAAATAGAAAAGGCACTCGTTAAATTTAACGAATATGTGAAATTTGCAACTGAAGGAAAAATATCAGACAAACCGCATTTAATGAATGATTTAATAAAAATGATCAAAATATTAATGAAATACGTTAATCTTCCTTGTATGGAAGTTAATAATGTTGTTGAAACACTTAAACGTGTGTTTGCTTTAAATGGAAATAGATTCGAAGTACCCAGTTTGAAAAAGGTATAAAAATTTATTTTTAAAATCATTTTTTTTTTTTTGGCTATTATTATGCAATTATTTTTATCCTAGTCAATTTTTAAAAATAGTTTAAATAATTTAAAATATGTTAAAGTTAAATCAAATTATTAAAAAATGTTTAAATGTTTAATATTAAAAGAAAAGAAAAGGGCCAGAAAACTAAGTGGAAATTATAAAAAATATTTTTAAAAAATATTTTTTGATAAAGAATAAATCTAAAAAAAAAATTCATTTCTGTTGAGAAAATGTATTTACATTTATTTAAATGCTCAAATGATTGAAAGACTGAATAAAGTCCTTTCTGTTCTACGGGGTTAATAAAAAAAAAAAAGGTTACCATCAGTTGATATTACAGATTTCTGTAATGGCAATTTACCATCAATTGGTAAAACAGTATCCCCTTTTTTGCTGTACTAATTTTGTAATTTGTTAACAAGTTCTTTATTTAGAAATTAAATATTATATCAGACTGCTTTTTGAATATATTTAAGAAAGAATTATATTATATATATATACTAAAAATATTTTATAACAAATGTTTTACTGTCTTTAAATGTGACAAAACGTTTTTGACTTGTGAGATTATAAAATAAAGTTATGAATATAAATCAGATTTTAATTTATTAAAAAAAGTTCTCAATAATTTCAATACAATATCAGTATAATAAATAAACCAACTCTACTTACTATAATACTTATTTTATAAATATTTTCGCACGTTAAAAATTAACTTACTGTCAATAAGTATATTGGTCTGGATTAAAAAAAAAAAATTAATAAAAGATTTAAAATTATTTGATTGTGTGTAATTAATATCACTTTTTTTTCTAATTGTTAAAAACAATAAAATTCGTTTCTTAATGTAATTTTTGGTAAAACTAAAATATGAATTTTATTAATGGTAAAAGAATAAGTACTGTGAAAAATTGTATAGAAGAAGAAGAAGAAGATTCTTTTTCTGAATTGATAAAATTAATTCTCTTTTCAATTCCTGGATGAACGGGACTATTTTTTTCCAAATAATGAATTACAATTTCATCGATATCATCACCTAGAAAAATTAAATAATGTTCAAAATCATAATATTTAAAAATATTCCCTTTCGATGAACATTTTTTATAAATATGAAAAATAAATTTAATTACCCACCGAGATTAATAAATTTCAATTCCTTAAGCATTGAATAATTATCACCGCCTTTCATTATAAAATCGTTTATTAATACATTATAATTTTCATTTTCATTTATTTCACTAAAAGTTGGTACAATACACAAAGCACATTGTACCCTTACAGAAATAACTCGTGATTTATACGGTTTACTGAGATCATAAAAAACCTGTAAAAATTATTAAAAATCAAATATTAATTTTTTTTTTTCAAATAAAATAAAAATTAAATTAATTTCAAAATTATACACCATTTGTTAATGTTTATTCAGTATAATAAAAAATTTTATATAAATATAGAGCGATATAATAGATAACAGTTGTTTAGAAATTAGTTTTTTTTTTACCTTAAGTCCAGAAAATTGAAGAAAAGCTCCATTTAAATTAGATGTATCATTGGCAATTAAATCTTTAACACTAAATTCGAGAACTTCTTTAATTTTCGCTCCAGTCATATTTGTCTTAACGAGAACATTTCCAAAGGGTAAAACTTCTTTTACATCTGCTCGTGTTATCTATAAAATTGATAAATTTTTCTAATTCCTTTTTTAATATTTAATTTCTTATGTAATGAACATATATATACCTTATCATCGTTATCTCTTGTAATTGAAGACCTAATACTTCCTGAATTAATCATAGCTATTGCCGCGTCTGTCCAAGCATTTTTAGAATGAAAATCCAAAGCATTCTGAAAAAAGAAATATTAAATTATTATTTTTTTATTATATTAAAATTACTAAATTATATCTTCGAAAATTATAAATCACATACATGTTGTATCATTGCATCAGCTATCATATTTCCCAAATTACATTCTTCTCTTCGGCAAATTTTAGAATTACCATTAAGAAGAACTTTTGTATGGCCAATGACTTTTGTTTTTAGTTCATTGATTTGTTCTCTCCATTTATCGAGTTCGTCTAAAACATCTTTTGCCTAAAATTATAATTCATATAGAAAAAAATATAAAATCTCTATCTTAATTATATAGTTATTAAAATTTTCACCTGTTCAATTGTTCCGTTCACTAAAATGGGATTACCACGAATAGAAGAAATTTCTCCATCTTTATTAAATTTAATATTCAAATCACCAAGATATTTTGTATATGCATAAGCTTGTACAACATAAACTTTACGGCCATTAGCTTGTTTTATTTCAATTGGATAAAGTCCCTCGGGAATTTCTAAATTTGGTTGTTTACCCGTATAAAGAAATGTATTTGTATGACCACCAATTACTAAATCAATATCATTAACTTCATTTGCAATTTTTTTATCCATTTCAAAGCCAGAATGACCTAAAGCTATGAGAATTTTAACACCTTGTGATTTTAATTTTTCAACTTCTTCACGAATTGCTTTTATTTCATCAAGAAAAATAACATTTTCAGTCATTGATATATCTTTTGTATCTGGAGTTAAATATCCTATTACACCAATATCAATTCCATTTACTTTTAATATTTTTGATTTTAAAAGATTTGAATTATTTAATGTTGGCTCATTAGATAGATCCAAATTTGCTGTTACTATTGGATAATTAGCATCATTGATAAATGGAACCAATCCTTTTACTCCATCGTCAAATTCATGATTTCCTAAACTCTATAATGAATAAAATTTTATTTTTAATAAATTACTCTCTATAAATCTGAATTAGTAAAAATGTTTACGAATTAGTGACTCACTTTTTGCTTCTGAATTAATTTTACTAATTGTTAGTAAAATTTACTAATAATTAGTAAAAATTTTACTAATTCAGAAAGCAAAAAGTGAGTCACTAATTCCAATTAGTAAACATTTTTACTAATTCAGATTTAGAGAGTATGCTAATTCGAAAATTAAAAATTCATCTAATAAATAGGGTAAGTGTACCAATTACGGCGCATTCTCAAAAAATATTACTATTATTATTACTATTATACTATTATATTTAAAGTACTCTCTAAATCTGAATTAGTAAAAATGTTTACTTATTTAAATTAGTGACTCACTTTTTGCTTTTAGAATTAGTTAAATTTGACTAATTGTTAGTAAAAGTTACTAAAAATTAGTAAAATTTTACTAATTTAGAAGCACAATGTCACTAATTTAAATTAGTAAACATTTTTACTAATTCAGATTTAGAGAATAACTTTGTAGAGAGTAAATTTGTCCGATTTTTTCTTTATACGAATTTTTAATGACGCCGAATTTAAATTTTTTCGATTTTTAATTTATACGAATTTAAATTTGCCCGAATTTTAATTCATACGAATTTCAATTTGTCCGATTTTTTCTTTATATGAATTTTTAATGACGCGGAATTTAAATTTGTCCGAATTTTAATTTATACGAATTGTAATTTTTACCAATTTTTAATTAACAGAATTTTTAATGACGCCGAATTTAAATTTGTCCGAATTTTAATTCATACGAATTTCAATTTGTCCGATTTTTTATTTACACGAATTTTTAATGACGCCGAATTTAAATTTTTCCGAATTTCAATTTATACGAATTCCAATTTTTACCAATTTTTAATTAACAGAATTTTTAATGACGCGGAATTTCAATTTGTCCGAATTTTAATTTATACGAATTTAAATTTGCCCGAATTTTAATTCATACGAATTTCAATTTGTCCGATTTTTTCTTTATATGAATTTTTAATGACGCGGAATTTAAATTTGTCCGAATTTTAATTTATACGAATTGTAATTTTTACCAATTTTTAATTAACAGAATTTTTAATGACGCCGAATTTAAATTTTTCCGAATTTCAATTTATACGAATTTCAATTTTTACCAATTTTTAATTAACAGAATTTTTAATGACGCGGAATTTCAATTTGTCCGAATTTTAATTTATACGAATTTAAATTTGCCCGAATTTTAATTCATACGAATTTCAATTTGTCCGATTTTTTCTTTATATGAATTTTTAATGACGCGGAATTTAAATTTGTCCGAATTTTAATTTATACGAATTGTAATTTTTACCAATTTTTAATTAACAGAATTTTTAATGACGCCGAATTTAAATTTGTCCGAATTTTAATTCATACGAATTTCAATTTGTCCGATTTTTTCTTTAAACGAATTTTTAATGACGCCGAATTTAAATTTTTTCGATTTTTAATTTATACGAATTTCAATTTGTCCTTTTTTTTTATTTTTACGAATTTTTAATGACGCCGAATTTAAATTTGTCCGAAATTACAAAAATGACCGAACAAAACAATTGACATAAAAATTTCGGTGTAATTTTCAAAAATTCACCAATCACAAATTTTCTTGATAATTTCTAATTGATGAAATATTTTTGAAAATTTTTCGCCAAATTCTTTTTGTCGATTATTGTTTGTTTGGAAACTTTTTCTTAAATTTCGGACAAATGAAAATTTGTCGTTTTAAAAATTGGGACAAATTATAATATTTGGAAAAAATTTTTTAAAAATTCGGTGAATTGAAATTTCTGACTAATTATTAGTAAAAGTTACTAAAAATTAGTAAAATTTTACTAATTTAGAAGCACAATGTCACTAATTTAAATTAGTAAACATTTTTACTAATTCAGATTTAGAGAGTAATTTATTAATTTTTATTATCAAAAAAAAAAAAAAAAAGAAATCGGGGTTTAAATTTTAATATACGTACTATCGCATCTGGCTTGAGAATATTCATAAATTTAGAAACAATTTTCCATTTATGTACAGTGAACCAAATAGAACCCTGATAAGTATCACCGGCATTCAAAAAAAGTGTATTTGAATTTGTCTTTCGTGCTTGTCGAATTAGAGTTGCTATTCTTGCAAAGCCACCGTAACATTTTTTTTCCACTGATTGTTTTGCTGAACAAATTGACGATGCTTCTGATGTTTCTTCAAATCTTAATTAATAATAAATAAAAATGTATAATTAAAAAAAAAAAGACAGACTTTAATAAAATTCTAAAAATTTTGAACAAAATTTATACATAAAAATGTTTTTTAATGAAATATTAATATTATTATTATTATTATTACAAAATAATAAATATAATTATTTCTATTACTGAAATTATCCGAGGCTTTATTTGCAATAGAATATATATATATATATATATATATATATATATATATATATAAAAGAATAAATTTTAAAACATTAATTAACATTTTCATGAAATGTAAATTATTATAACTGATAAGAATATTTCGTCATTCTTCTGTTATCAATGTTACAATCAGTTTTCCTTAAAAACTTGAAAAAGCAATGTTAACTTTCAACTTTACGAATGTTTCAAATAAAAAAAAATATTGGATACATGTAATTATATATTTTTTTGCTTGGAAAATTAAAAAAAAAAAAAAAGAATGAAAAATTATTATTAAAAAAAAGAGAATATAATTTATAATATTAAAATGTAAATATTGCAAATATATTGTAAATGCGACTCAATTGAAAAAAAAATTGACAAAATATTCTAAATTTCAATTTATAATTCATTGTTAAATTTTTTTTTCTAATTCTATCATAATAATTAATTTAAAATTTCAGTTAATTAAAAAAAAAATAGTTTTTGCTGCAAAAAAAATATGTTTTGAATTCGTGCGCTCAATTCAATGAGAAGAAATAATTAAGAAAAAGTAAATATTAATTTTTTAAATGAATTTCTTTTTTTTTTTAATTATAAAAAATAATTTTATATAAAAATTAGAATTATTATACTTTACCTTGCATGCATATCATTTGTGTGTAAAATTCTGAGCTCAAATTCAGAATTATCACTGATTGGAAGAGCGTGTACACTGACGCAAGTAATAAACACTATTATAGTGAATACACGTGATATATTTACACTCATTGTTCTCATATTTTTTTTAATTCGTTTACGTAACAATAATTAAATTCCCAAGAAATTTTTTTAAATTAAACACTTATTTAAGAAATATCTTCATTTAACATATGTAATTCATTTTCAATTTTACATATATATATATATATATACAAAATATGTGTTATAAGCGCAACAAGTGCCACTGTCAGTAAATTTAAAAATAAATACAAAAACAATTTGACATTTAAAATAATTATTAAAATAATTTCTATACTACTTCTTCACTAAAAATATATATTATATGCATCTTTTAAGATCGGTATTAACTGCAAATAGTTATGCAGTGTCACGTTCTTTTAATGTCTTGTATTTCAACACTAACTTTTATCGATGACATAATAATATAAAAGCCGGTTTTCACGTGTTAGATCGATACTAATAATTTTTTTATATAAAAAAAAAATTTATCTAAAACTATTTTTTTTCTTCAATAATTTAAAAAAATGGCAAAACTAATTATAGACTTAAAAATGTTGTTTAAATAAAAGGAATTTAATTTTTATTCACAACTTCATTCCAAATTTAGACATTAGAAAAAAAAAAAAAAAAAATCGTAACAAACGATCTTCTTTTTCTGATACTTTGTCAATCCGAGTGTTTATATCGAATGCCGAAACTCAACTGAATTACAAAGCAGTCTTCAAGTTGCCTTTACTCTCAAATCAGACACTACACGGCATTTATATACTGCATTCAAAATTCATTAATAGCTTTTTAATTATTTTTGAAATTTTCAAATTTCACAAATTTTTTTTTATTTAATTTCTATTTATTTTAAAATTAAATTTTATATTTTTCAAGGGATAAAAAAATATATATATATTAATAATATATAATCCAAAAAAATTAATACAAAAAAAAAATTTATTGTTTGAAAAAAAAAATTATTCTTTTTAATAAAATATAGCAAAAATCTATCGTTATTAAAATTTTAAATAAATAAAATATTTATATATATATATATATTTTCTACAAAGTTCAAAAGTTAAATGATACAATCCTTTTTCTTCTTCCCCCAATTTCTGTTCCCAAGCCTGTAATTATATACAATTCATTTATTTCGAAAATATATTTAGAAAAAATATAAATACCTTTTAAAACTTGAAGAACTATAATTTATTGGATAATTTTAGTGGGTCAAGAATTATGTAACAAAATCAAAAAATTGATTCTGAGAAATAAAAAGTTTATTCATGAAATAAATATAATAAAATTATAATTAATTATTTAATAATATTGATAATACAAAATTTTAGTTTGCATTAATAAAAAATTTTGCTTCTTAAAATAAAGAAAAATAAAAAATCTTTAAATAAATTATAAAAATTATATAAAATTACAATAATTTGTTGCTGTAAAAAATATGGTAACTCATAAAATGAGTAAATTAAATATTTATTAAATAATACAAAAGCGAGAAGAATTTGAAATTTTGCAAAAAATTTCGAGGATTCGAACCTTTCGCGGAAACTTGGGACTATGGTAAATTTTTTTTTTTTTTGATTTATCACCATTTTTTTTGTAATAATTAAATAAATTAATAAATATTTTTTTTTTTTTGATAATTATTGCAAATGTATTTCTAAAATGAAATTTAATAATAAAATTTATTTTCACCTTAGAAATATTAAGCTCCATGGTCAGAAAAAAAAATCTCATTAATATAACTAGAACAAAATTTCTTTGCCAAGTAAATATAATTATATGCTTCTTGGCTTTTGGCATTAGTTTCTCTCTTCAATTTTACCATTCATTTCTCTTCTATAACCATTCATTTTATATTCACGGCCGATACGTCATTGATTTTACAAAGTTATATATTATCTCCAGTAATTGAAAATGAACTTGAGAAATAGTCAGCTGTTCGTTTTGATAAACAATTGATTATATATTAAAAAAAAAAAAAAAAAATTTTAATTTAATCTAATTCTCAATCAATTGAATTTTATATATGTCAATCGAATTTTTAATTGACAAAAATTTCAATTCATTGAATTTTAATTTGTCTGAATTTTAATTTTTACCAATTTTTATAATTAACAGAATTTTTAATGACGCCGAATTTAAATTTGTCCGAATTTTAATTTATACGAATTTTAATTTTTACCAATTTTTAATTAACAGAATTTTTAATGACGCCGAATTTCAATTTGTCCAAATTTTAATTCATATGAATTTCAATTTGTCCGAATTTTAATTCATACGAATTTCAATTTGTCCGATTTTTTGTTTATATGAATTTTTAATGACGCGGAATTTAAATTTGTCCGAATTTTAATTTATACGAATTGTAATTTTTACCAATTTTTAATTAACAGAATTTTTAATGACGCCGAATTTAAATTTGCCCGAATTTTAATTCATACGAATTTCAATTTTTACCAATTTTTAATTAACAGAATTTTTAATGACGCCGAATTTAAATTTGCCCGAATTTTAATTCATACGAATTTTAATTTTTACCAATTTTTAATTAACAGAATTTTTAATGACGCCGAATTTAAATTTGTCCGAATTTTAATTTATACGAATTTTAATTTTTACCAATTTTTAATTAACAGAATTTTTAATGACGCCGAATTTAAATTTGCCCGAATTTTAATTCATACGAATTTTAATTTTTACCAATTTTTAATTAACAGAATTTTTAATGACGCCGAATTTAAATTTGCCCGAATTTTAATTCATACGAATTTCAATTTTTACCAATTTTTAATTAACAGAATTTTTAATGACGCCGAATTTAAATTTGCCCGAATTTTAATTCATACGAATTTTAATTTTTACCAATTTTTAATTAACAGAATTTTTAATGACGCCGAATTTAAATTTGCCCGAATTTTAATTCATACGAATTTTAATTTTTACCAATTTTTAATTAACAGAATTTTTAATGACGCCGAATTTAAATTTGCCCGAATTTTAATTCATACGAATTTTAATTTTTACCAATTTTTAATTAACAGAATTTTTAATGACGCCGAATTTAAATTTGCCCGAATTTTAATTCATACGAATTTTAATTTTTATCAATTTTTAATTAACAGAATTTTTAATGACGCCGAATTTAAATTTGTCCGAATTTTAATTTATACGAATTTTAATTTTTACCAATTTTTAATTAACAGAATTTTTAATGACGCCGAATTTAAATTTGCCCGAATTTTAATTCATACGAATTTTAATTTTTACCAATTTTTAATTAACAGAATTTTTAATGACGCCGAATTTAAATTTGTCCGAATTTTAATTTATACGAATTTTAATTTTTACCAATTTTTAATTAACAGAATTTTTAATGACGCCGAATTTAAATTTGTCCGAATTTTAATTTATACGAATTTTAATTTTTACCAATTTTTAATTAACAGAATTTTTAATGACGCCGAATTTAAATTTGTCCGAATTTTAATTCATATGAATTTCAATTTGTCCGATTTTTTCTTTATACGAATTTTTAATGTCGCCGAAATTAAATTTGTCCGAATTTTAATTTATACGAATTTTTTATGATGCCGAATTTAAATTTGTCCGATTTTTAATTTTTACCAATTTTTAATTAACAGAATTTTTAATGACGCCGAATTTAAATTTGTCCGAATTTTAATTTATACGAATTGTAATTTTTACCAATTTTTAATTAACAGAATTTTTAATGACGCCGAATTTAAATTTGTCCGAATTTTAATTTATACGAATTTCAATTTGTCCGATTTTTTATTTTTACGAATTTTTAATGACGCCGAATTTTAATTTGTCCGAAATTACAAAAATGGCCGAACAAAAAAATTGACATAAAAATTTCGGTGCAATTTTCAAAAATTCACCAATCGCAAATTTTCATGATAATTTCTAATTGATGCGGACAAATTATAATATTTGGAAAAAATTTAAAAAATTCGGTGAATTGAAATTTCGGACATTTGAAAAATTCGAATCAAATATAAAATTCCAAATGAATGAGAATTCTGCTAAATTAAAATTCATTGAAATGAAAATTTTTTTACTTAAAAAAATCATGTAAATGGACTTTAAAATAAAAAAAAAAAAAAAAATATTGACAATAAATAAAATGAAAAATAAATAAATATAAAAATTTTTTTTGTAAATGAGAGAGCACGTTTAACAATAATATAGCACGTGTTAGTATAAGTGAGTATCAAAGAAAGATAAACCATGCATATAATATATATATATATATACAGTGAAACAAATTCAGTTCAATTCAATCCTTTATGAAGTGAATGTTGAATATTTTTAGTGGACGAATTCATAAAATTATATATCTCTCATTCAAAAGTTGATTCCTCGCCAAATGTTATAATCCAAATTTTAACTGTGTCATTAAAATAAAAGTCATTTATCACGTGATTTTGAAATTCTTATCTGACAACAATTTCCTGACAATTTTACAGGTTTAAATCTCTATTTCAGAAAAACAAGGTTAATTCTAAAGGTAATATTGACAAAAATAAATAATATTAATAATAATATTTCGAAAAATTTTTTTTTTTATTTACTTTTTGGAAAATTTTGATAAATAAATTAATGAGAAAATTAACTATACTGTTTCTGACAGCGCATATATATATATATATATATATATGTATATATTGATAGATTAAATTTAAAAAGGCCCGCATAAGTTGTAAATTTAAATTAATACAACCTCTATTGTGAATAATCTGTTTTATAAGACTATTAATTTTTTTTTTAATTGTTAATCTAAATTTATTACTATACAAACAGCTTCTTTTCTTTTAAAGAATAGCCATTTATAGAAGACTATTTTTTTTTTTTTTTTTAAAAAAAAAGAAGCTTACAAGATTTTAAAGATTATTCTTTTCAAAAATATGTAAAAAGTTAAAAACAATATTTAAAATAAAAATTTAATTTAAATAGAAAAAAAAAAAATTTTTTTATTGTTTTTTCAAATAATAACTATATTTTATATAAAAATACTAAAAACTTTTATTGACCAATAAACTTTAATGTTTATAGAAAAAAAAAAATTCTTTTCGCATAAAATCTATTTTGACAATACTTCTAAAGATGTATATATATATATATATTTTTTTATATCTTTATATAGAAACTTTATGCGTATATATGTATACAAAAAATATATAAGGCTCAAAAACAGAATGCATGACAATCAGTATATATTATACTACTGAGAATTTCCAGATTGCTATCAACAAATTTTTTTTTTTTTTATCAACTGGTTTTCCTTACTTTATATATGTATATATATATATATATATATATATATATATATATATATATATGCGAGTGTAATGAATCTTTAATTATTCACACAATAATAATTATTTTTGCGCAATTGCTTATTAATATGCTCATACATCATTTGGAATTACTTTTCTTCTTTATAGGGAGTGAAATTTTTATATATCTTTATATAGGAACTTTATGCGTTATATATATGTATACAAAAAAAAATATATATTCTTACTCCAAACATTTCTTGACAACTTAAGTTAAATAATTCATCAATCATTATTATTTATATGAGAACAAAATTTCTTAAGTGATCGAATAGCAAAAAAAAAAAAAAAAATTAACATTGGATTTTTTGAAAAATCATAATTTTTTTATTTGTATAAAAGAGTAATTTTTTTTTTTTTTTAAAGGGATAAATTTTGAATATTTAAAAAAAAATTTTTTACACCATTCAAAAGAGCAGGAAAAAACCTTTCGAAAATATGTAGTTCAAAATTTTCTTCATCCATTTAAGCAGAGAGTAAAAAAAAAAAAAAATTTCCAACAAATTTTTTTTTGGAGTAAATATCATATATATTATACTAAGATTACTCCGTAAAGTAATAAAAAAAAAAAATTCGGGGGTCGATTATGTAATTCCATTTCCATTCCCACTTCCACTTTCACTTTTTCTAATTTTCATTCCCATTTCTACTTTCACTTCCACTTTTTCTAATTTTCATTCTTATTTCCATTTTCACTTCCACTTTTTCTAATTTTCATTCCCATTTCTACTTTCACTTCCACTTTTTTCTAATTTTCATTCTTATTTCCATTTTCACTTCCACTTTTCCTAATTTTCCCAATGTAAATGGAAATAAAAATTAGAAAAAGTGGAAATGGAAATGGAAATAAGAAAAAGTGGGAATGGAAATGGAAGTGGAAATGAAAATTAGAAAAAGTGGAAATGGAAATAAGAAAAAGTGGGAATGGAAATGGAAGTGGAAATGAAAATTAGGAAAAGTGGAAATGGAAATGGAAATAAGAAAAAGTGGGAATGGAAGTGGAAATGAAAATTAGAAAAAGTGGGAATGGAAGTGGAAATGGAAATGGAAATGGAAATAAGAAAAAGTGGGAATGGAAATGGAAGTGGAAATGAAAATTAGAAAAAGTGGAAATGGAAATGGAAATAAGAAAAAGTGGGAATGGAAGTGGAAATGAAAATAAGAAAAAGTGGGAATGGAAGTGGAAATGGAAATAAGAAAAAGTGGGAATGGAAATGGAAGTGGAAATGAAAATTAGAAAAAGTGGAAATGGAAATGGAAATAAGAAAAAGTGGGAATGGAAGTGGAAATGAAAATTGTGGAAATGGAAATGGAAATAAGAAAAAGTGGGAATGGAAATGGAAATGAAAATTAGAAAAAGTGGAAATGGAAATGGAAATGGAAATAAGAAAAGTGGGAATGGAAGTGGAAATGAAAATTAGAAAAAGTGGAAATGGAAATGAAAATAAGAAAAAGTGGGAATGGAAGTGGAAATAAAATTAGAAAAAGTGGAAATGGAAATGGAAATAAAAAAAAGTGGGAATGGAAATGAAAGTGGAAATGAAAATCAGATAAAGTGGAAGCGGAAATGAAAGTGGGAATGAAAATTAGAAAAAGTGGAAGTGAAAAGGAAAAACAAGAAAAAGTTGAAGTAAAAATAGAAGTTTGAATGAAAATTAGAAAAAATGAAAATGGAAATGAAAATCAGAAAAAATGGAAATGGAATTACATAATCGAGCGCATATATATTTAATTATTAATTTAAATATATAATTATTTTTTTTAATTTTTGTCATAAATGAAGAAATGATTTTACTTTAATAAAACTTACTTTTTGTTTTTATATATTAGTTTTCCGCGAGCATTAAAAAGTTATTCGTTCACTTTTATCTTTGCAATAATTATGAAGTTGACAATAAAACACGTTTACTATATATATATATACACACACAATATGCGCGCGCCTTTAGTTTAGCCATATTTTTAAACAAGCTAAGAAGTTGATTAAAATTTAATTTACACTTTAAAATAAAAAAAAATATACTTTTAAATATTATTATTTATATTCATATAAAAATATTATTTTAAATTTCATTTGAAATGGATTGTAATGAAATTTTATCAATACTTACATAAATATTATAACTACATAGTCAGTGGATCAGTGCAATTTTTTCTCATGTAATTAAAAAAATTTTTTTTAATTACATAAGTTTGTATAATATTTAATTTTTATATAAAAAAAAGTAAAAACCCGTTTATTATAACAGTGAATTTCATTTTCTTTTGTCATTTTAAATTATCTGCGATGTATTTTTTTTTTTTTGCCAATATCTCTATAATGTTGTTCGAAAAAAAAAACGCACCTGTATAAATGCTCTCGATAAAAAAAAATAATGTATGAAATTAATCTCACCTATTTCGTGCTTTATTTTTTTTTTTTTTCTTTTAATAAAATTTTATATATTTTTTTTTCAGAAAAATGTTATTTCGTGGATTTATATTTTTAATGATTATTTTTATCGTTAAAAAAAGTTTAGGATTAACTGCAAAAGAAATTGTGCATCCTGGACAAACGGATTTATTCGAACTTTCAGTGATTCATATTAATGATTTTCACGCTAGGTAAGTTGTGAAAAAAAATAATTATAAATTATATTTATTTTCATTTAAAATATTTTTTTCAATTTTTTTTTTTTTATATTATATATAATGAGAACGAATCAAAGTGAATTGAAGCATTCAAGGTGGTCCAATAAACCAATTACACAGACATAAATAAAAAGTGGGCAATAAATCGAATGGTTAAGGTCTATCAATTCAAGTGTTAAAGAATTATTCTTTTTATTATTATTATTTATTATTATTATTATTATTATTATTGTTATTTTTTTTTAGTATTTTTTATTATATTTTTTAGTGTTTTTTTTATTATTTCTTTTATTATTATTATTTTTCATGGTTATAAATTTAATTAAAAAATTTGTAGATTGTTTTCTACAATTTTATTCTTTATCGTTTCCCCCCCCCCTTCAATTTGCTTTACACGGCAATAATATATTAAATAATAATCAAATTAATTATATTAATAATAAATAATTATAATATATTATTATATTATATATTTTTAATATAAATAATTATTAATAATATTAATTGTTAATTAATATTATCTCTCTTGGTAAAAAAAAAAAAACAAAAGTATTCAATTCTTTTTCGAGAAAATAGACATTGTTTTAAATTTAATTAATTTGAAAATTAAATTGTGATAAATTTTAATATATATATATATATATATATAAATAATTACAGATTTCTCGAGACAAATCCATATTCTGGAAGTTGCAATAATTCTGAGAGAGAAAAATGTATTGGTGGATTTGCAAGAGTTTACACAGCAAGTCGACAATTAGTTGATGAAAGACCAAATGCAATTTTTTTAAATGCAGGAGATAATTTTCAAGGAACAATATGGTATAATTTTTTTAAATGGAACGTTACTGCTATTTTCATGAATAAACTACCACATGACGCTATGGTATATTTATATTTTCAATATATATATATATATATATATTTATTTATTTAAAAATTGAAAAAAGATTTTTTTTTTCTTCATTTCAAATGAAAAAATTATTTTTTTCTTATTATTAAAAAGGTCGAATAAAAATTAAAAATTAATTTTCATAACTTATTTTCCAGTTAGTAGTATGATTTGAATTTTTACTAAAAAAAAAAATAGTAGTCAATAAAATAAATGAGAAAGAAATTATTTAGTTAGTTTTTGAAACAAGGAAGAAGGCAAAAGTACGTGCTTTCAGGCACGTATTATTTAGTTGACACAAAAATGTGATAATTTTTTATTAATGACAAATTTTTTTTTTGGTAACAAAGATAAAGATGTATTTACGATAAGATTTAATAATAATAGTTTAAAAAAAAAACAGAGATATTAATCAATATATACTATACATATACATATTTTTTGTCACTAATTAACTTTTAAATGATACAATATAGACCTTGTTAATAAAAATGAACAATTGATTAACAAATATTGACATGCAATTTTAAAATGAGTGTTGAATAATCACACGATATAGTAATATATATATATTATGTTTTTCAGACAATTGGAAATCATGAATTTGACGATGAAATTAATGGACTTGTTCCATTTTTAAAGGAAATCAAATGTCCCGTTGTTGTGACAAATATTGACAGTTCAAGAGAACCAACATTGCAGGTTAATAATAATAATAATAATAATAATTAACTAATGAATAAAATTACAAATAATAAAAAAAATTAGAAAAAAAAATTTAATAAAATTACCAAGTTATATTTTTAATTTCAGGGACTTTATAAAAATAGTACAATTATTAAAAGAGGTGATAAAAAAATTGGTATCATTGGTGTTATTTTATCAACAACAAATGTAAGAATTTTTTTTAACTCTAAAATTGAGTATAAATTAATATAAAAATTTAATTAATTTAATTTAAAAATTTAATTTAACGTTAAAGATGTTTCTTGTCCTATAAAAAGCCATTAAACCAAATTTTACTATATTTATAATTAATTGGGACATAAAGAATTTTAATTAAAAATGTAATATTTTAATTAAATAAATAATTACAATAAATTATAATTAATATAAAAATTTGATAATAAAATAATATATGTGCATTTAAAGTTGATAGCAAAAACAGGAAAATTATTAATTTTGGATGAAGTGGAATCAATAAATAATGAAGCTGATAGACTAAAAGCTCAAGGAGTGAATATTATCATAGTATTAAGCCATTGTGGATTAATTGTTGATAGAAAAATTGCAGAAAAATGTCCAAATATTGATATTATAGTTGGAGGACATTCACATACATTTCTTTATACCGGTATTATAAGTTTTTTTTTCAAAATCATTTTTTTTTTCAAAATCATTTTCTTTTTTTTTAATAATTTATTTTCTTGTACATATTCTCAATTCCGAGAAAAATTTATTTTTATTCAAATTTCAATTAATTTTATTTAATAGATGAAAAAAAAAAAATGTTTACTATCTTATTTAGTAAAATTTAACTAATTGACTTATAGTAATGACTATAGGGACACATTGTCTGATAGTTATGGGAGTTTATATACAACAATTTTTAATTGACATATTAAAATCAAATTATATAGATAATAAGTAGGAAATAATGTGTTTAATATCTTTTTATATAATTAGTTTTTAATAATTCATGAACCTTTTTCTTTTGTTTTGTTTTTTTTTTGTGCACGTATTTCTGGTGATTGTGTAATTTTAATCTAAAATGATTTATGACTTTGTCGCGCAGGTAATAAGCCATACAGAGATGTACCTGAAGATGTTTATCCGGTTCACGTGAAACAAAATACTGGTAGAACAGTATTAATTGTTCAAGCAGCTGCTTTTACAAGGTTTTTTTAAAAAAATAATTATTATTCTATCATTGAATATATTATTTAAATATTGAACATTAAAATTGATGCTTCTTTAATTTCGTAATAATTCACGTATATAATTTTATAAACATATGAAATATTTTTTTAAAATTTAAATAAATTTTCAATTATTACTATTATTAATTTAGTTAGAAATTTAATAATTTATTTTATTTATTTTATGAAATTTATAATTATATTATAATAAAATTAATTAATATATAGATATATTGGGAATTTAACTGTTTGGTTTGACGCACGAGGTGAAATTCTCGATTGGGAAGGAAATCCTATTCTATTAGATAATTCAATAACAGAAGGTATACAATAAATAATTTTTGTACCTTAATTTTTTTTTTTATACTTACTTTTTATATAAAAATTTTGTAAATTTTTCTTTTTCAAATTTCTATACAAGATCCAGAAATATTGGCGGCTCTTCAACCGTGGAAGGAAGAAGCTGATAAACAAGGATCAATTGAAATTGGAGAGACAAAAGTTTATCTTCAAGGATTACAAACTTGTCGAAGAGGTGAATGCAATTTAGGAAATTTAATAACCGATGCAATGATAGATTATGTAAGAATCTTTTTTTTTTCATTAAATAAATTATAAATTAATAAATAAATTAAATTAAATTAAATTTATTAAATAAATTAATAAAATAAAATAAAAAAATTTTATATTATAAATAAATTATATAATTAATTTGTAATATAAAATTTTTATTTATTTATTATTTTTTATAATTTTTAGTATGTAAAGGAAAATGTAAACAATACTTACTGGACAAATGCAGCAATTGCTGTGATTAATGCCGGAGCAATTCGTAGTGATATTAGTAATAATCCTGGAACAATTAAATATGAGGATCTCATAATTGTTACCCCTTTTTCTAACACTTACGATTTAGTTGAATTACAAGGAAATACTATTTTGAAGGTTTTTTTTTTTTTGATATTTTCGAATAATTTTAATTATTTAAAAAAAAATATTCAAGTAAAATTAAAAAAAAATATTCTTTTACTTACAAATTTATAGATTTTAGAGAAAGCTGTCATTACTGAACCTACAGAAAAATTTATTGGCTTTAGTTTTCTTCAATGGTCAGGACTCAAAGTTACTTACAATTTATCATATCCAGAATATTCACGAGTAATTGACGTACAAATTAGGTAAATGAAATAAAAATTTCATAACAGGTACAATATAACTATATAATAAAGAGAATAAAAATTTTTTTTAGATGTCAATTTTGTCAGATACCAAAATATAAAAATTTAGACAGTGAAAAATGGTATAAAGTAGCGATAACTGATTTTTTACTCAATGGAGGTGACAATCATACTGATATACAAAATGGATATCGTAATCATCAAATTGGACCATTAGATATAGATACTATTGTTAAGTTTGTAAAAAAAAGGAGTCCAATCACTTATGGTAATGAGGAAAGAGTGATTCTATTGCAATAAATAATAAATTCATTTCTTTTTTTTTTTACAAAAAATTAAAATTTTTTTTAAATGAAAACAAAAAAAAATTATTTTTAATTTCACGTGATAAATTATTTTTAAACAAAGATTAAATTCTATACAGAGATGTTCTCTCTAAATCTGAATTAGTAAAAATGTTTACTAATTTAAATTCAGTGACTCACTTTTTGCTTCTGAATTAGTAAAATTTTACTATTTACTAATTATTAGTAATTTTTACTAATTATTAGTAACTTTTACTAACAATTAGTAAAATTAATTCAGAAGTAAAAAGTAAGTTACTAATTCAAATTAGTAAACAATTTTATACTAATTCAGATATAGAGAGTTAATAAAAAATTATATTTTTTAAAATATAACAATTAGAAGAATTGTAAAATAAGTAAATTTACATGTATAAATAATTTTAAAATTTATCGAATAAAAATTATATCGATCGAACATGTAATTATATATATATATATATATATATATATTGGGAACAATGATGTATCTCGCTGTGGGGAGTCTACGGTTAAGGACGCGTGCACCATAAAGGCACACGACAGCTGCCGGAAGTACATCTGCCGGAACTACTAACCAAGCTGAAGCGATTGCCTATAATATGTATTATACATGTATAGAAAAAATTACACACACACATAGTAAATATAGTTAATTTTACTATTTACTATATTTGAAATTTTCAAAACAAATTTTACTATTTGAAAGAAAAAAATTTACTAAATTTTAAAATATATTTTTAATTCTACTAACGTTTTAGTTGAAAAAATGAAAATTAGTAAAAAATTTTGGTAGAAATTTTCACTAATTTTTAGTATAAAATATTAATTTTTGAAAAACTAATATCACTATTTAGTAATATTTTTGTTTTTACTAAGTTTGTATTAAGAAACTGAAAATGACTAAAAATTAGTGGGAATTTTTACTAATTTTTAAAAAAAAATTATTTACTATTCGAAATGATTTCAAAAAAAATTTTGTTATTTAGTAAAATTTTTTGTTTCCACTAAAATTTTAGTTTAAAAACAAAATGATAATTATACTAGAATTTAGTAAAAAATTTCACAAATTTTTAGTATTAAATATTATTTAATAAAAATATTAATGTTTAGTAATATTTTTAATTTTTAGTATAAAATATTATTTGACAAAAATTACTAATTTGTACCTAATATTTTTAATTTTCACTAATTTTTAGTATAAAATATTATTTGAAAAAAATTACTATTTAGTAATATTTTTATATTTACTAAAGTTTTATTTTACTAAAAAAGAAAATGAAAATTAATAAAAATTAGTATAAATTTTCACTAATATTTAGTATAAAACATTACTATTTGAAACAATTTGAAAAATATTACTATTTAGTAAAATTTGTTGTTTCAACTAAAATTTTTTTTAAAAAAATGAAAATTACTAGAAATTAGTAGAAATTTTCACTAATTTTTACTATAAAATATTACTATTTGAAACGATTTGAAAACTATTACTATTTAGTAAAATTTGTTGTTTCTACTAAAATTTTAGTTAAAAAAATGAAAATTACTAAAAATTAGTAAAATTTTCACTAATTTTTAGTATAAAATATTACTGTTTGAAAAAAAGTATTACTATTTAGTAATATTCTGAATTTTCTTAAAGTTTTTTTTTTTAAAGATGAAAATTACTAAAACTAAGTGAAAATTTCAACCAATTTTTTGTATAAAATATTACTTTTTGAAAAAGAAGAATGACTATTTAGTAATATTTTGATTTTTAATAAAATTTTAATAAAAAAAAAAATAGAAAATTACTAGAAATTAGTAGAAATTTTCACTAATTTTTAGTATAAAATATTAATATTTTGAAAAAAAATATTAATGTTTAGTAATATTTTTAATTTTCTTAAAGTTTTTTTTAAAGATGAAAATTACTAAAATTACTAGAAATTTTCACTAATTTTTAGTATGAAATATTACTTTTTAGTAAAATTTTTGTTTCTACTAAAGTTTTAGTTTAAAAAAATGAAAATTACTAAAAATTAGTGAAAATTTCCACCAATATTTTGTATAAAATATTACTATTTGAAAAAGAAGAATGACTATTTAGTAATATTTTGATTTTTAATAAAATTTTAATTAAAAAAATAGAAAATTACTAGAAATTAGTAGAAATTTTCACTAATTTTTAGTATAAAATATTACTATTTTGAAAAAAAATATTACTGTTTAGTAATATTTTTAATTTTCTTAAAGTTTTTTTTAAAGATGAAAATTACTAAAATTACTAGAAATTTTCACTAATTTTTAGTATGAAATATTACTTTTTAGTAAAATTTTTGTTTCTACTAAAGTTTTAGTTTAAAAAAATGAAAATTACTAAAAATTAGTAAAAATTTCCACAATTTTTTCGTAATAAATATTACTTTTTGAAAAAGAAGAATGACTATTTAGTAATATTTTGATTTTTAATAAAATTTGAGTAAAAAAAAAATAGAAAATGACTAGAAATTAGTAGAAATTTTCACTAATTTTTACTATAAAATATTACTATTTTTAAAAAAAGTATTACTATTTAGTAATATTTTTAATTTTCTTAAAGTATTTTCTCTTTAAAAATGAAAATGACTAAAAATTAATAGTAATTTTTACTAATATTTAGTATAAAATATTACTATTTGAAAAAAATAATATTACTATTCAGTAATATTTATATTTTTATAAAAAATTTTTATTAACAAAAGTGAAAATAATGAAAAAATTAGGAGAAATTTTCCCAAATTTAAATGAGTAAACAAAAATTCTTACTAATTCAAAATTTTAATAGTAAAATGAAGATAAAAAGTAATTATTGGATTTAAAAACAAAAAAACAAAAAAAAAATTGTATTTTCAAGAAAGAATTCACAAGACTATATACATATATATCCGGAAATATTCACCTTTACGGAGAATTCTTTTTTTTTCGGGGTAAATTTGAAATCCAAACATGCCCTGGCCATTCTAACATAGCAACAGCCGTTTTCTTCGGATTATTTTGGTCCGAGTCTAGAGATGTCGAAGGCAACAAAAGTACTTCGAAGAGCAGATGCATGGCATGTGCTACGAAACCACGCCAGATGCCCCATTGGCGTAGAATTTTTAAGTCCCATTAAAAATGATGAGCAACTTTTCCCCAAAAAATTTCAACACAAACCCAAAAAAAAAAAAAGATCCTCATCTTTTTCTATTCGTAATGGTCGCGTGCCATTTGGTTCGCGCAGTGAAAACACAAAAAGAGAGAGAGAGAGAGATTTCTTTAATCCACCCCTATAACAATAGAAAAGTCTCTTCAACATTCCTTCAAAGTCGGTCAACTTTTTTTTTCTTCTTTTTCTTTCCTTTTTTTCGTTATAAAATTTTTCATTTTTAATTACACAGTAAAAAAAAGGATTTTTTTCAGGAAATACAATTTTTGTTGAAAAAAAAAAATCTCAAAGAATTTTTCTAAGTAGATATCGCAGTAATTTATTTATCTACAATTATTCATTGTAAAAGTAACAATTATAAGTTAAAACCATATTATACATATGTACATTATAGATGACAGAAATTGTGTTTCTTTTATCAAGATTGTCATCGAATAGAAATCAATCGAATTTAATTATTGTTGACTTTAATATACAGCAAATAACGATACAAATATTGTCGATGTTAAAAATCAGAAACTTTTTTTGAAAATTATTTATTTTTAATTATAATTTTTTTTCTGTATCATTTTTTTTTTTTAGCACTATTTCAAAATTTATATTTGAAATAACTTTTTTACATTTTATAATGAAACTTTTTTTTTTTTTTTTTTAATTTTCTATTCCTGCTTTGTCATACGGCAGGTGATCGAAAATACGTTTCTTGAAATTTTTATAAAATTGTAAATATCGATAACAAATGAAATTGTACAAATCCCCTTATTATTGTTGAAAATTAATTAATTAATTAATTAATTAAACAAAGGATCTACATTTAGCACAGCCCCTAACGACTTCCAAACGTTCATTTTATATTGATCATATATTTTAATGACGAATAAATCTGGAATCTATTTTTCTAAAATATATATATATATATATTTTTTTTTCATAAGCGTTAAGGAAAGCGTTTTTCATTTTTTTTGATTAAAAAAGTCAATGGCTTCCGGACCTGAAAATTTTGGTTAGTTAATTTTTATGATTCACAAAAAAAAATGGAAAAATTTTACAATTCATACATATACCTTAAAAAAGCTTGTTCTCTTTGTAAATCGAGATGATTTCTCATAGCCACAACAGTTGGATGATGGGGTGATAGACCCTCGTCCACAACTAAATAACGCAATGTTTCAGAAGCACACGATTCCCAGCCGGCATTCCAAGAATTTAAATTCGATTCCAAATTCAATAATTTATTGTCTTTCATTTTTATTTGAGATCCATCTGTTCTATTAACTCGCGAGTAGGGTGATTTTTTATTTTTTTTTAATAATTCACGTTTTGATGATGATTCACAAAATGTTTTGCCAAATGATTTAAATTCATATGATGAATAACCCTCATTTTTTGTTTCTAAATATAAATCATTTTTTTTATTATGATGATGATGATGATGATGTAAAAATGATGATTCTTGACTAAGATTCATATGTTGAATATTTTTTTCAACATCACAATTTTCAAATAATGAATTATTTTGAATTGTTGTTCTTGTCGTGGAATGAATATTTTTTCTTTGTGTAAATTTTAATTCTTGAGCTAATGAAACTGCCAATTGTTGAAGTAGACTAGAATTTTTTTTTCCATCTTCATCGTCATCAATTTCATCTAAATCAATTTCAACGCCTTCATCTTCTGATGAAAAATCATCATTTTCTTCGTCAACACCTAATAGTGTTAATAATCTCTCGGCAGCGTCTGCAAAAAAGAAAAAAAATTATTATTATTATTATTATTATTATTGAAACTTAAATTGTATAACTATTCCAAATATAGTTGTCAAGTTTTAATTAAAATGTTTAATGTAATAAAATAAAAATATAGTCACTTTTTAAGAACAAAAGTTTGCTTTAAAAATTAAAAAAGTTGAAAAACCCTTTTATGAAAACGTAATATATATTTACATCATTTATTATTCTCGAGGACTTTGTTATAATTACTGTTTTCCATATAAATCTTTTATGGAGGTCGCATAATTTTTTATGTATATACTTTTGTACGACATGAAATTGGAATTTACATAGAGAAAACTTTTTCATAGAAGCAATATTTCTTTATATTATGTAAAATTCAATGAGATGATATATATACAAGTTTTAATAATTCAGTTATTATTATTATTATTATTTTTTTAATATTTCAAATCATCGAATTTTAATTTGTATATAAATTTTTAAAATTACGAATTTAGGCCTCGGATCGACTTAAAGGCACAAAAAAAAGTCGTTTTAGTGGATTTATATTTCAAAAATAAAATCGAATAAGTCGATTTTTTTTATTTTAACAAAAATATTTTACAGATTTTTAAATAAAATTATTTTTTAAATAATAATAATTTTGGAAGGTTTAAAGTTAAATTTTTGAAAAATAATTGAATTTCAATTGAAATTTTGGATAATAATTTAATTTTAGTTGATTTTTGATTGAAAATTTGGAAAATAATTGAATTTTCTTTGATTTTGAATTGAAAATTTGGAAAATAATTGATTTTTCTATGATTTTGAATTGAAAATTTGGAAAATAATTAAATTTTAATAGATTTTGAATTGAAATTTTGAAAAATAATTGAATTTCAATTGAAATTTTGGATAATAATTTAATTTTAGTTGATTTTTGATTGAAAATTTTGATAATAATTAATTTGAATTGAAATTTAGGATAATAATTAAATTTTTAGTTGATTTTGAATTGAAAATTTTGAAAAGAATTGAGTTTTAGTTGATTTTTAATTGAAATTCTTTTAAATAATTGAATTTTAAAAAATTTTGAATTGAAAATTTAAAAAATAATTCAATTTTCTTTGATTTTGAATTGAAATTTTGAAAAATAATTGAATTTCAATTAAAATTTTGGATAATAATTTAATTTTAGTTGATTTTTGATTGAAAATTTTGATAATAATTAATTTTGCATTGAAATTTAGGATAATAATTGAATTTTTAGTTGATTTTGAATTGAAAATTTTAAAAATAATTGAATTTTCTTTGATTTTGAATTGAAAATTTTGAAAAGAATTGATTTTTAGTTGATTGTTAATTGAAATTTTTTTAAATAATTGAATTTTATTTGATTTTCAATTAAAAATAGGTGATAATTTTTTTTGAGATTATTGAATTTGTGATGAATTTCAATAAAATTATTAAAAATAATTAATTTAGTGAAGAGTATTTTAGTTAAAAATTTGTTAAATAATTGAAATAAAGAAGATCTGAAGAAGATTTTTATTTTATACTAAAAAAAACGTATTTTATTTAAAAAAAATTTTTTTTTAAAGTAAAAAAAAGTCGAAAAAGTCGCATTTTATTAAAATAAGTCAAAAAAAGTCGGAAATAGTCGAAAAAGTCTTATGATCCGAGGCCTGCGAATTTAAATTTTGTCCAAAAGTACAAATGACCGAACAAATATGATAATCGACAGAAACATTATTAACGGCGGAAATTTTAAAAATTGACCAATGATAATTTTGATAATTTATAATTGGTAGAAATTTTTTGAAAAATTGCACCAAAATCTTTCTGTTGATATATTCATTGTTCGGCCCATTTATAATTTCAGAAAAAAAAATTCGGCGTTTTAAAAATTTGTACAATTAAAAATTTTAATAAATAATAAATTCGCGGACAAATTAAAATTCGATGAATTGGAATTTCTGTGAATTAAAATTTTTTTTAATTTAAAATTTGCGTAGAAAAATAAGACATTATTGTCAAATGTTAAATTTAAAAAATGAAAATTTCGATAATTTTATCAACGTCCACTTTAGGAGAAGAAATTTATACTGATATCAATAATAATTTTTACTTGAGGTCCTGTGGGAATCATGCTCCAGAAACGTCCCATGGGAAATACCTGTCACAAGTTGCCCTCTTCCTAAACAAAAGTTTCGCACGACTCTCACATTTTGGAGATATATATATATATATATATATATATATATATATATATATATATATATATGTCGCGTCGTCCCGACATTCTCAACTTCTGTATACACATATTATAAGTGCATATTATATACACAAAAAGAAATTCTCGCGCACCCCTAAAACGTTCAACGATAGCCTAGGGGTCGACAGGTAGGGGGTTACCTGCTCCTGGGAACAAAAATTATTCCAACTGTCCGTGGGGGGTGGAATTAACCTTGAAATTTGTCCGTTTCAACAAAATCTCTTTTTTTTTTTATTTAATTTTTATTAAATTAAATTAAATAAATTAATTAAATTAAATAAATTAATTAAATTTGTATTAAATTAATTAAATTTGTATTAAATTAAATACAGTGATAAAAATTTATTTGATTGAAATAATCCGAATTACTTCGACTATATTTATCAAATAAATATTTACTTGAATGAAATAATTTCTGTATTTACAAAAAACAAATACCAGTTAATTGACTCAAATAATAATTAAACAAATTTTTTCTTTTTTTTTTTGATAATATAGTCAAGTAACAAATTATTTGAAATAAAATATTATAAAATTATAAAATTTTTTTTTCCAGTGTATTTTGAGAAATTTTGTTTACAAAAAAAAAACTGAATGTAATTTTTTTTTCTAATTCAATGTCTGAAATAGCCTGGACCGAGGGGTAAAATTCTTTGTTATTTTTTTTTTTTTTTATCAAAAGTCTCACTTGTGCCAATTCAAACTTTTACTGGACGTTCCCACAGGGATAGCAAGATTTAAATGTCTCCCTTCTTATCGAAATTAATTTTTGTATTTAAATTTAAAGGGACGACTATGGCGTTAAAACACATTATTATTATTATTATTATTATTATTATTATTATTATTATTATTACTATTATTATTATTATTATTATTATTATTATTATTATTATTATTATTATTATTATTATTACTATTATTATTACTATTATTATTTTAATTATTATTATTATGATTATTATTAATAATAATTTCCGAAGCGTTGTAAATTAAACTTTTTTGAAACATTAATTTATTAGTAAAACAAATTTGAATATTATTGCATGCGAAAATTATTCAAAGAATGCTTTTTTGTTTTTCATTTATGAGAGAAAGTGCGCGTGCGCAATATTAATGAATATTGGCCAATAGAATAAAGCCAATTTCAAGGGAATCCCCGTATTATGGATTTTGACCGATATCGCAATGTTATTTTAATTTTAATTGATTTGTATCGATTATAATAATTTTTCATGGATGTAAAATATAATTTTTTTAATTATAAAATAATAAATAATAATAAAAAAAAAATTAATAATTATAAATTAATAAATAATTATTATTGCTTACTAATCAAAATATTTATATTATTGATTATAAACTACTACATTGATATTTGATTGTAACAACAATACATTCAATTTTCAAATATGGTTTGAAGTTGATTTTTTTTTCAATATTTCGAGAAAAAAAAAATAATGGAAGAAAATAAAATATCTGAAAGGAAAAGAAAAATTGAATTCGTGAATGTAATGGAATGGGATAAAAGTATTGAAAGATTACGAGAGCTTGTTCTGTTTTTTTTTTTTTTATCTCGATGAAGAGAGGAAAATTCTACATTTTATTCCTAAAAGAAATATGCCATATATAAAAGAAAACTCTTCTTAGTTTTTCAAAACTCTACTATAATAAAAAGTTTTTCATTATTGGAAAAATTGAAATTCTATTTTATTCTCCTTTTCTTTTTTGTTACTAATAAAAATTTATTTATTCACTGAATTAGGTATAAAATTTAATTATTTATAAAATTACCTTTAATACTAGGTGAGGAATTTGCAATATTTGCTGCCAATTCCATTAAATCATCAAGTTCCTTTTCATCTTCTCCACAATCCATCATTGTATCCTGAAACAAAAAAAAAAATTAGAAATTAGATTTTTATAATTATAAATTAAATATAAAATTTTTTTTTTGTCACTAAATTCAATGGATTTTTAATAAAAAAAAAAAAAAAAAAATTGCCACACATAGAGAAATTTTTGACATTTTTGCCAAAAGTATGAGAAATTATTTACGACCCAAATTTTCAGTGACCAATTTTCCCAGTGACCCACTGTTGAAGGTCATAAAGTTGATGTTGGTGGTTTTTCAAAATAGACAAACGTCCGCTACTACCTCTCTTTCTATATTATAAGGATGGGTCCCCGGAAGGCCCAATTTTACAACATTATTTATTGTATGCTTCCTCCCTTTTTTCTTCTTCTTCTTCTTCAGTGGCAATTTGTATTGAGAATCCTTCTTACTTTTCAATTTTTGACTTTTACTTTAAGAATCGCACTAGGGGTCTTTACGGTTTACGGTAGCGTAAAACTTGAAAAATATTTTCCCAAAATTTTACGAGTTAAGTCGATTTATCTTTGCTATATTCAATTTTACAGTTTCTACTTTTATTATATATATATATATATATATATATATATTTTCCAAATACCTTTGGAAGTAGTGGCAAAAAAATGGTACTATAGCCTTGTTGCCTACTGGATATAGGAGAAAGTGCGAAATTAATTACAAAAACAGGAAGTGATTTTTAATTCGATTTTCAAAAATATTCAAAAAAAAAAAAATCATTAATCGAATTTTTTTTGAAGTATTTTATTAAAAATACAAATTAGTATTTAGACGAATTTTCAATTTTCGAATTAGCATTTGACAATAATTTCGGATTTTTATATAAAATTTTTAGCCACCGAATTTTTGACAGAATTTTTATTTTACAGTCATTTAAATTTTTTTTTTACCGATTTGTATACGAATTTTCATTTGCGCCAAAATCTTTCTGTCGATTCATTGTTCGGACATTTATATAATTTTTGGAAAAAAATGAAAATTCGACGTTTTAAAAATTCGTACATTTAAAAATTCTGAAAAATTAAAATTCGGACAAATTAAAATTAGGACAAATAAAAGTTCGGACAAATTAAAATTCAATGAATAATTGGAATTTCTGTCATTAAAAAATTCGAATTGTATGAATTTTCCTTTTTTTTTTTCCGAAATTATAAATTGCCGAACAAATGAATCGACAGAAAGATTTTGGCGCAATTATTCCAAAAAATTGGACCAATTAGAAATTATCGCGAGATTATTATTGGTGAAATTTTGAAAAATTGTGCCGTAATCTTTCTGTCGTTTGTTTATTCGGTCATTTTTACTTTTGGACAAATGTAAATTCGGACAAATAAAAGTTCGGACAAATTAAAATTCAGACAAATAAAAGTTCGGACAAATAAAAGTTTGGACAAATTAAAATTTGATAAATTGGAATTTCTGTCATTACAAAATTCCAATTGTACGAATTTTCCTTCTTTTTTCCGAAATTATAAATTGCCGAACAATGAATCAAGAGAAAGATTTTAGCGCAATTTTTCCAAAAAATTGAACAATTAGAAATTATCGCGAGATTATTATTGGTGAAATTTTGGAAAATTGTGCCGTAATCTTTCTGTCGTTTGTTTATTCGGTCATTTTTAATTTTGGACAAATGTAAATTCGGACAAATAAAAGTTCGGACAAATTAAAATTCGATGAATTGGAATTTCTGTCATTAAAAAATTCGAATTGTACGAATTTTCCTTTTTTTCCCCCGAAATTATAAATTGCCGAACAAATGAATCGACAGAAAGATTTTGGCGCAATTTTTCCAAAAAATTGGACCAATTAGAAATTATCGCGAGATTATTATTGGTGAAATTTTGAAAAATTCTGCCTAAATCTTTCTGTCAATTGTTTATTCGGTCATTTGTAATTTTGGAAAAATGTAAATTTGGACTAATTAAAATTCGGACAAATTAAAATTCGGACAAATAAAAGTTCGGACAAATTAAAATTCAGACAAATAAAAGTTCGGACAAATTAAAATTCGGACAAATAAAAGTTCGGACAAATTAAAATTTGATGAATTGGAATTTCTGTCATAAAAAAAATTCGAATCACATATAAAGTCTAAAAAATAATTTTTTCTAATAAAATAATTTGAAATAAAAAAAATTCTAAATAATAATTTTTATGGGATAATCATTTTTTTTGTTTCTCTTTCGATAACAATAAAAATATTAATTGCAAACTACTTGACAAACGAGTTCGACAAGTACAAGTATGTTATATAGAATATTTCAATAAATACATTCTCTCCTTTATATATTTGAATTTATATCACTCATAAAGCTATATATTTCTTTAATTTCAATCATCTGCAAATAAAGCAATTGTTATCCATAATAATAATAATAGCCAATAATAATTCATTGTTTTATAAATAGGTCAAAAAGTTAAAATAATTTTTTTTTTATTAAAAAATTATATTTAAAACAAATTTAATTATCGCATTAATAAACAGATTTATTTTCTTTTCTATTATTAATTTAAATTTATTAGTCAGTCAATTTAATTATCAATTTTTTTTTTTTAAATGATTTAAACATTTTTTTTTATTGAAAAATTTGAATATTTAAAAAATTGATAATTCTATTACCTCAGATGTATTATCCTCCATTATGTCGCTGTTGTTTCTCATGATGAATCTTGGCACCAACAACGATCACTTATCGCCCACAACTCTCAATACACCTCACTTTTTTTTTTTTTTTTTTTTTTTATTTGTAATGAAGAAAGACAGCATTCAACGATATATATCACAGTCATAAATTCATATAAAATCAATTATATCATTTAAATGAATAGAAGTGGAAAATTTAAAAAGAAAAAAAAAAAAAAGTTTATTTTCTCGACAAAAAGGGAAAATCAAATTATGTAAAATGTCCTTGATGAGAGAAGAGAAAATCCCAGAAAATATGGTGGAAATATTTTAGTAAGGGAGGTGGAAATTTAAATATATATATGTTTACATAGTGAGAGAGAGAAAGAGAGAGAAAGAGGGTTGGGGGGGGGGGGTGAAGAGAATAATTGAAAATGGAAAAGTAAAAGAGAAGGAAAGAAATTGATAATGACACGTATTCGCCGATGTATTGTTTTTTAGTTATCGGCGAATTCGCGCACTTTCCTTTTTTTTTCTCTCTCTCTCTTTTTTTTAATTGAATTTTTTTTTTTTTTTTTTTTTATATATTTATGTTGATAAAGTCGCGAGCTTAGGCTCACGATATTGGGTGGCCGCTACGATCCATCGACCTACTACTACTGAAAAGGTTCTGGTACCACTGTACAGAAAGAGACGTGTAGAGCAGGTCGAAACACCAGTTTGCAGTTGCCGGTTCAGGGTCGTAGGTACTACTTATGAAAAACAGGGTATCTACAATTTTCACCCAAAAAAAAAAAAATAAACTACTCTCTAAATTTGAATTAGTGAAAAGTACTAATTCACATTAGTAAGAATGTTTACTAATTATTAGTAAAATATATTACTATTTTATTTAGTAGTTTAAAATTTTTTTTTTGACTAAAATTTTAGTAAAAAGTGCGACTAAAAATTAGTGAAAATTCTTACTAATTTAAAGTACTAACTCATTTTTTTATTCAGATTTTTCGTATCATTTTTTTTTTAATTTTTTTTTTATTTTTTGTTATGCATTTCTCACATTTATTTGTAAAGATTTTGAGTCCCTTTTCAAAAATTGTTGGATACAGTATATACATAAATAATTTGTTTAGTTGTCGCAAACACATTCGATTTACTGAGGCTCTCTCGATAGAAAAACTAGAAATTTTGCTTGAACTTAGAAAAATAATTCTTAGTTTAAAAAAAATTAGTTTTCATGTAACTAAATGAAAATTTAAGGAAGAAAAAAATTTTTTTTGAAGAGGGTTTTTATAATTTTTATCTCGGCACTGAATGGATCGCATTCACAGCTGCCTTCAGTCCCTTCCCCTTATACGAAGAAGCATTTTACTTTTAACCAATCCAGTTACAATCAACCCCCTCTTATAAAACCAATAATAAGCTCAAGATTCACAATATTTGATAACGATTATATATATATATATATACTTTCTCTAAAGGGTATATAGAGATAAATAAATTCTACTCTAGTTTTTTTTAGGCGCAAAATTTTTTTTGCAATAATTTTAAAGAAAAATAATTTAATATTATTATTAATTATTTCGAATTATTTATTCGTATATGATAATAAAAAAAAGAAATTTTAAAATTATTAACTTTCTTTAAAAAATCATTTTTACATGTTTTTTTTTTTTTTTTTTATTTTATTGAATAATTAATAATCAGTGCTTTATGTTATGAATTATTGTGAATATGAAAATAATTTATTAAAATACACATAAGACTGGAAAAGATCTCTATATAGGTATATAAAGTACTATATATACATGCAGAATCAGAAACACAGGTGCTATTTCACCTGTTCGGTGGTATTATTTAAATGCTTCACCTGCTTCGATTCGATGGTACTTTCAAACAAATATACAAAATTTTTTTTCCACTTTTTTTTTTTTTGTTATAAACAAAAGAGAAATTTGTATAAAAAAAAAAATATTCTACTCTCTATAAATCTGAATTAATCATTTTTGACAAATTCAACTGTGTTGATTTGTTCATTAAAATGAATTATTAACAGTTTTGACTAATAATGTCAAAAATTACTAAGAATTAGTTGGAAAATTATTAAATTATTTTAGTAATGCTTTCAATTAGTAAAATTTAATAAATGAATTAGTTTTCTTCTATTGATTAGTTTTGATTAAAAATTAGTTACTAATTTATATTTAATGAAATTCTAAATTTCAATTAGTAAATTTTTTTTACTAATTTCAATTAGTGAATCATTTTTTGCTTCTGAATTAGTAAATTTTTTCTAATTATTATTATTATTAGTAAAATTTTACAGTTGAATTAGTTAAAAATGTCTAAGAATTAGTTTAAATTACCAAAAATTAGTAGAAAATTACTAAATTTAGTAAGGTCATTATTTCAATTAGTAAACTTTAATAAACGAATTACTAGTTTTCTACTATCAATCAGAATTAGTGAAAAATGAGCTACTAATTCAAATTACTAAGAATTTTTACTAATTTTTAATTAAAAATATTACTATTTGATTTAGTAGTTTTTAAATGTTTTAACTAAAGTTTTAGTAAAAAATTATTAAAAATTAGTGAAAATTCTTTAATAATTTAAATTAGTAGCTCACTTTTCACTAATTCAGATTTAGAGAGATTATAGTCATTTTTAGTATAAACAAAGATGTAACAGGAATTTATTTTAATATTTCTAGTCAGAAAAAATAGTTTTTTTTTAACCGTTTTTACTAATAAAGTCAAAAATTGCTAAGAATTAGTGGAAAATTATTAAATTATTTTAGTAATGCTTTCAATTAGTAAAATTTAATAAATGAATTAATAGTTTTCTTCTATTTTGATTAGTTATTTTTGATTAAAAATTAGTTACTAATTTATATTTAATGAACTTTCTAAAGTGCAATTAGTAAAATTTTTTTACTAATTTGAATTAGTGAATCACTTTTTGCTTCTGAATTAGTAAATTTTTTTCTAATTATTAGTAAGTTTTACTAACAATTAGTAAAATTTCACTAATTCTAAAGCAAAAAGTGAGTCACTATAATTTTAAATTTGTAGAGATTTTTTATTCAGATTTAGAGAGAACGAATTGGCGCAGTTGAATTAGTCAAAAATGTCTAAGAATTAGTTTAAATTACCAAAAAATTAGTAGAAAATTACTAAATCATTTAGTAGGGTCATTATTTCAATTAGTAAACTTTAATAAACGAATTACTAGTTTTCTACTATATCAATCTCTCTAAAGAATTAGTGAAAAATGAGCTACTAATTCAAATTACTAAGAATTTTTACTAATTTTTAATTAAAAATATTACTATTTGATTTAGTAGTTTTTAAATGTTTTAACTAAAGTTTTAGTAAAAATTAATTAAAAATTAGTGAAAAATGAGTTTCTAATTCAAATTACTAAGAATTTTTACTAATTTTTAATTAAAAATATTACAATTTGATTTAGTAGTTTTTAAATGTTTTAACTAAAGTTTTAGTAAAAATTAATTAAAAATTAGTGAAAAATGAGCTACTAATTCAAATTACTAAGAATTTTTACTAATTTTTAATTAAAAATATTACTATTTGATTTAGTAGTTTTAAATTTTTTAACTAAAGTTTTAGTAAAAATTAATAAAAAATTAGTGAAAAATAAGCTACTAATTCAAATTACTAAGAATTTTTACTAATTTTTAATTAAAAATATTACTATTTGATTTAGTAGTTGTAAATTTTTTAACTAAAGTTTTAGTAAAAATTAATTAAAAATTAGTGAAAATTCTTTAATAATTTAAATTAGTAGCTAATTTAGATTTAGAGAGAGATTAGTCATTTTTAGTATAAACAAAGATGTAACAGGAATTTATTTTAATATTTCTAGTAAAAAAAAAATAGTTTTTATTTCCGTTAAAATCAAAATTTCTAGTTATTTCTAACCAGACATTTTTTTTTCCATAAAATAGTTACAGTCTTGTAAAATTTATATTTTTGAAATATTTTTCTTGATATAAATATTGTTTAGAATATTCGAAATGCAGGTAAGATATATTTTCTCAAAAGATATTTTTCTCTCTCTCTATATATATATGTGAGACATCTGGTTGACTTATTGTATAAAGAACTATATATCTGTATATGCCAGCATCCCCTATACATAAAGAATAATTCAGCTCTCAATTATGACGTATTGAAGGAAAAATGTTGTTTTTTTTATTTAATTCAAATAATTTACTTGACCATTAATAAATAAATATTTACTTGAACAAAATAAATTTTATAATTGTGATTCAATAAATTATATTTCTTTCAAATAGAGAAATTATTAATTCTTATATATATGTATAATTTATTTAATTCAAATAAAAATTATTTGGTTCAATTAAATATTTCTTTGGTTCAAATAATTATTTTTTTTGATTCAAATAAATATTTCTTTGATTTAAGTTAATATTTATTTGATTCAAGTAAATATCTATTTGATTCAAGTAAATATCTATTTGATTCATGTAAATATTTATTTGATAATAAAACCGATTATTTGATTCAAACAAATATTTCTTTGATTTAAGTTAATATTTATTTGATTCAAGAAAATATCTATTTGATTCAAGTAAATATTTATTTGATAATAAAACCGATTATTTGAATCAAATAAATTTTTTTTGGTCAATTTTGAAACATTAATCCGGAAGGATCTGAGTATTGGGGGGGGGGGTAATACCAATATATATATATTGTATATAGGCAAGGCAAATGAAAAAAGGCCAGTCGAAAGTATTCTTTGTCGTATAGAATCGGCCCCATATGGCCCCCACATGTGGGCTTCGGAGTCTGACAATTCTTGTAGAGGGGGCGTCGTCTCTACCCCAGCTGATACCAAAGCGTCATTTCGTTTTTCTTTCAGTCATCATTCAGTCACATTCAGTTAAACTATAATGCACAAAAATTTTCATTTTTATTTCTATTAATATATTTTATAATTTTACAAATATATATATAAAAGTGAGATAAAACCGAGAAAAAAAAAAAAAAAAAAAAAAATTTTACCGCATCATCAATTTTTAATAACAATAAAAAAAATGTAAGTAAAAAAAAAAAATGTTACAATAATATAAAAAGAAAAAATTAAATCATTTACGAAAGATAAAAAATATTTACTATTTTTGTAAAAAAAAAATAGTTTAAATAATTTATAGAAAATTTTTTATTAATAATTTTTGTAATAAAAAAATGTATTTTTTTTCTTGTATGAAATTTCAATTCTGATCATATAAATCTGTTGGTTATCGAGGAATCCTTAGCAATATTGTATAACGCTCTTCGTGTATTGATTTCAGGGGGTTCAAACTGAGAGTTACATGATTGTACTACACCCTGTGAAAACATTGTTTTTAATGAATTTAAAGTCTTGTTACATAATATAATAATAAAATTTTGTAAATCCCTGAAATATTTTCTCTTTTTTTTCGATAAAATTTTATTTCTTTCCTTCTTTTAAAATGCACCCCAATAGCATGGAATTTTTATAATAATTTTATTTTTTTAAATGGAAAAAAAAAATTTACCTGAAACAGCGAAACATTTTACTGTATACACTGAAAAAAAAATTTATTTGATTCAAATACTCGATTACTTGTGTATTATCAAATAAATATTTATTTGAACCAAATAATTTTTATTTGAATTAAATAAATTGTATTTGAACCAAATAATTTTTATTTGAATTAAATAAATTGTATTTGAACCAATAATTTCTGTACTTGAAACAAATACCATTTAATTGACTCAAATAATAATTATTTGATACAAATAAATATTTATTTGATAATATAGTCAAGTAATCGAGTATTTGAATCAAATAAATTTTTTTTTCAGTGTAGTAGGAAAAATTTTATTTGTTTCAGTTAAATATTTTTTGGCTATTCTAGTGAAACCTGTTTGCTGTTTCAAGTAAATTTTTGAAAATTATTATTAATTATTTTAAAAATAATATATTAATAATTTTATATTCATTTTTTAGTTTTTTTTTTTTTTTATTATTAATTATTATGATCTGCTTTATTAAAGATGATTCCGGATACAGAAAGTGCTTGTCAAACACCGGCAATGACATATCAGTGTCCGGAAGTGTACGATAAGTTCAAGAGTGAAACCAGTGGACCAGAAAATGAGGCTGCCTCTGTGACCGCATGGAAAAGATATCAACATTTCCTTGCTATTATGAAGTCAAGAGGTGAAAAGTTCAACCGGAAGTCAATGATCGAGTCAATGTTTCGAGGTGGTGATCTTGTTTATTTAAATCAATGACGATTAACAGAAAAAAAAAATCATTACATTTATATAGAATTATTTTTAAAATATAGAATTTAAAAAATAATACTCAATTAGAAAAAACGAGATTTAGCTATAGAAATTTCAATATTTTTTTTTTTTTAATTTTTTTTATTTAAAAAAAGCATCAATATTAATGCCAATGAAAACTAGTCAGTATGGTAAAATTCACATTTTTTTTTTTACTTTAATTGATATACTGAATTTTCATTATTCAGTAGCAATTACAAATATTAAGTGAATATTACTGTACAATAATAATTTCAAAATGTATTTTAAATAATTATACAATTTTATTCATTTTTATTACTAATTCAAGAGAAAATAAAACTGACAAATTTTTTAATTGTGCCATTGAAACTATATTTAATTTGCTCAAATTATTAATTAAAAAAAAAAATTAGAAAAAACATTTTTTTTCGAATTTGAAAACAATTCATGTATATACTATTAATTTTTTTTTTACTTAATATTTCTTTATTCAATCTCGCCAGTCAAAATACTCAATAAATGTTAAATTCGATTTTTTTTTATCTGCAATGAAATTTTACTTAGGGCAAATTTAACGTGCAATGAATATTAAAATAAAAAAATGCAATTTTTTTAAGCCCCTTGTATCGTTTGAAGAATATTCTAGTCTATTTATAAGTTTACTATATATTTGTATATTAAGTAATTTTGTGTACAGCAATTATCAATAAATATTCAACCAAAGATTGAAATTATGTTTTTATCATTTTCAATTTTCTTTCTTCGAGAAATAATAATAAAAATAATTATTTGTTAATTAAAAAGTTTTTTCGATGAAAAAAGGTTTTTTTTTTGTAATGAATATATATAGTCAATGAAAATTAAGAGTTGCGTTTATAAATATATTTTATTTGATAATCGCTACTCCTTCAATTTTTAAACATATTATTATTACGACGTCACGTGTGCAAGTACACATTAAATTTATTTTCTTGTACATTAAATTTATCTATAATTTCTTTACTGATTGAGCGTCAAGCTAGCAAATTGTAAAAGTTTGCCGACGTCTTTTCATATATAATGTATACTATAAAACACATAAATGTCACTATAATATATATATATATATAATGTTTCCTAAATGTTTTTCTTTGTCTATACAATTATAATTTTTCTCTTTTATCCAAGCGGAATAAGAAATAATAAATTTTCCTCAATTTTGAATAGAGAAAAAATTGTTTCTCTAAATTTCAAAAAGTAAATTAACGTTTACTATAAGTCTGATAAAAAAACGAAAAAAAATTTAATTGTTCTATAATATCGTTTATTAATATATATATATATATTTATTTTTTTTAATATTCAGACTTCGAAACGTTAAAATAATCTTTTCAAGGAAAATTTATTTCTTATTTTAATTCTCAAAAATTTTACTAAATATCTCATGCATACAATCATTCTAAAAAATTGATTTTTTTTTTCAAAATTTAAAAAATTGCAAATATGGAACTTATTTTATAGAAATGTGAAATGTTTATTTTCTTGAAATTAATTAAAACTGCTTAAAAAATATTCTGCAATTTAAAATCATTTGTCTATAATTGTTCGGCGATATTACAGAAAAAAAAAAACTGGACTCAAGTTCAAAATGAGCCAAACAATATTTGGTGGCGCCACCATTTTTGTTGCGTTACTCATTTTGAGCTCAGATTTTTTTTTTCTGTGATATTCTCGAAAAACAATGAAATAATTCTCGATAATGGCCAATCCTTCAAAAATTCATTGCTTATTAAAATTCAAGTCAATATTATATATAGTTATTTTTCAATAATAAGTACTGTACATAGAATTTTTTTTAAGGATTGATATGAAAAAGTATGTATCACAAAATGTTTAAGTATATATATATATTATCAATTTAAAATCATCGAAACAGTCAAATTATTATTATTTAAAAACAATTTTTGTTTTACTAAAAAGATTAAAAATTAAAATTTTTTTAAAAATTTCTTTTTAACTAATAAAGTTTAAAGAAAAATTTTCAAGAAATTTCCACTTTTTTTTGACTGTATTCGATTTACCTTAAACTCGATAAAATTAGGTCTAATAACAAATGTGCTTAATGAGAATGAAAAAAAAGGCCATATTCAATCATTAGATTAGATCAAAATCTAATCTAAATGAGATTACAGCTATAAGTAATAATAATCCAGCAATAAATGGATCTCCTTTTTTATACATAAAACAATAATAATAATACTTTTTTTTTGCATTAAGGTTTACAATACTAGAATATAAAATAGGATTTTAATTTTCAAAAAAAAATTCTAATATATATTTTTACGAACTTTTTGGCTCGTATTTCCGTTAAGAAAAGCATCAGAATCTGACTACAACAACAACAAGTACCCAGGCCCGATAAATGCAAAATTGATCGAACATTAATTTGCTCGTAATTAATGAGCAAGATATTATAGCACCATTGTTGAAATGTTCTTTTATCAGACGGAAATCTGAGCGAGGCCGTATCTCAGGATGGTAGAATATCAAGTTCAAGAACACTTTGTGTTTGTGGCCTGAGGTTTGTGTCCTCGCTTTTATGAATTGAAACATCATTAAATTGTCTAAATTTTTGTTGCTGATGATTGGCTACTAAATTCCTTGGAAGTGTTGCAATTGGATTTGTATTATGAATACGAGAAAGATTTTCATATTGATTAATACCATTCTCTGATTCTGAATTATGTCTTCTTTTAACTTCAAGCTCCAATTGTTGATGTTTTATTGATAAATCTTTATCCTCAAAACAAGGAACCGCTTGTAATGAAACAGTATTTCTTTTATCATTAAACAATGAACGAGGATTTAATGTAACTTCTCTCGCTGATCCAAATCGTTTAAATGTTGCATTCTCTGAATTATTGAGAAATCCAACATCAACTTTAACATATGGCTCTGGTAGACGTTTTTCAATTTTAATTTCAGTAACGCTCTGTCGTATAAGAATATCGGGTGCCGATTCTGGTAATGGTTCTTGTGATAAGGGCGGCCATTTTAAATCACGAGCCATATCTCTTTCGATAGCAAGATATTTTCTCTTTGTTTTATTCATATTGAACCAAAGATGTCTTAATTTACCAAAAAAGAGATATTCAACTAAAAAATATTCAACAAGAATTGAGAGGAAAAAATTTCCAATTCCATAGGCAACAACATAGAAACGAAAATTCATATCATCAGGTAGTATCAGCTCCATATTATCTTGAAGCCATTTAAATGGATAGAGAGCGAGATAAGTTGAAAATATTGTAAGAATTATAAAAGCCGATAATAGACCATAATTGGTAAAAAGTGATTTTCTATATGGAGGACCCTTGGAGAAAACAACAGCAAGCATAATATATTGAAATGAGCTAATAATGAAAATTGTATAATTTTCATGGCAGCCAACATCATCTTTATCATCAGCTACAACAAATGGCTTAAACCATTCCATTTGACGAAGATGCCAAAGACTTATATATTGAAAGAATGAAACAAGAAGAATTTGTATAAGAAGACTTATTATTGGCGTGATACTAAATAGACTGTTTAATGGTGGTGTTTTGACTAGAGGTCCAGCGTATGCTTTAGTTCTACCAAAAAAGAAGGCTAATATTGATATTATTAAAAGATCAATATAGAGAAATTCAATATCAGTTAAATTTGATTCAATTCCATAGAGTAGCATCACTGAAACGAATTGAATTAATGAATAGGCAGCCATGTACTTGAATATTCCAAACGATGTGACTAGTGCCGCTCGACCTTCTCGAATCACTGTTAATACACAAGAAATGTTTGTTTCACGGCTCGTGAATGGTGATGCCACCGATGATTCCGTATCTGATAATGAAATTCCCGTGTGAGCTGCTTTCAATGCTCCACAATCGTTTGCACCATCGCCAATCATTGCTGAAATATTTAAATATTAATAATTTTTGAACAATTTCTTACTTGAAAATTTTTGATTAAAATTTACTAACCAACATAGTAACCCAATGCTTGAAATTCTTGAACCAATTGTTGTTTTTGATCGGGAGACATCCTTGCAAATATAGCTCCTCTTGTTACTAACTTTGGTATCAATTCTGGATAATGTTGTTTGATCATGGCCCAAGTTTTTCCAGTTAGAGCAAAAACATATTTATTCTTTGCATGATAAATGCTGAAATAATCAAGTTATACTTATAATGTATTTGAAATAGAGACTGTCCACATCGAGAGCCAATCAGAAGGGTTAAATTTAATACTAAACTTTGCGTCTGCGCAGAATGTAAATCTGCGACCATAGTTGCGATAGTGACAGGTTAGAAAAGTTCGTTGGCTTTGGTGACCACGTGATCGCTTTTTCTAACCTGTCGCTAAGATAGTTCAAGTTGGGTGGGGGAATCCAATATGGCTGCTCTCAGCTGTTTTACTGGAAGACAAGCAAACCGCTGTCACTGTACATTTTTCACTGAATTTGAAATATTTTTCTTATTAATTTATTTTTTATGCAATACAGGAATAATAAAATGGTTTTATTTTGCTGTATGCGAGGAGACAGGGATGAAACTTCCTTTTTTAGAATTCCTGCAGTAATAAGCGTCAACAACAGAAAATATAAAACTACTTATTGCAATCCTTTGTCGCGGGTAGAAAGTGATTTAACAAAAAGTGGCGATGAATTCATTAAATTATCGAAAAGAAGACAGGAAAAGTGGGTAAATGCAATAAAGCGGGGAAAATTGACTGTTTCCCAATTAAAAATATTCCGAGTATGTTCTAAACATTTTATGACAGGTAAGTAGGTTTTTCCTTTTGTTTATGTGGATTATGCATAACAATATTGTGCACTTTTCTTATTATTAATTCATTCAATTAACCATTAATTAATATAATTTATTTATTATATTTTTAAAATATTAATATCTGAAACATATAAATGCATGCATAATAGAAATTACATTTTATATAGGACGCCCTGCTGACATAAACAATTATACTGATCCAGATTGGGCACCATGTCAAAATCTTGGGTATGAGAAGGGAGTTTCTATTAAAAATAGAACGGATCTTGATAAGTATCACCGTTCCGAAAAAATGGTATTTGTAGCAAAAATAATAATAATAATTTCAATTAAACTTATTATGAAGGGTACCCAGTAAGAAGAGGTTAATTGATACGATTAACCTCTTCTTATTGGGTACCCTTTATAATAATTAGATAATAAGTTTAATTGAAATTATTATTATTATTTTTGCTACAAATACCCTTTTTTCGGAACGGTGATACTTATCAAGATCCGTTCTATTTCTATTTCCTGTCTTCTTTTCGATAATTTAATGAATTCATCGCCACTTTTTGTTAAATCACTTTCTACCCGCGACAAAGGATTGAAAGGATTGCAATAAGTAGTTTTATATTTTCTGTTGTTGACGCTTATTACTGCAGGAATTCTAAGAAAGGAAGTTTCATCCCTGACTCCTCGCATTCCACATCCAACAATACAGCAAAATAAAACCATTTTATTATTCCTGTATTGCATAAAAAATAAATTAATAAGAAAATATTTCAAATTCAGTGAAAAATGTACAGTGACAGCGGTTTGCTTGTCCTCCAGTAAAACAGCTGGGAGCAGCCATATTGGATTCCCCCACCCAACTTGAACTATCTTTTCTGCGTAGACGCAAAATTTAGTTTAGGATTTTAAATTTAACCCTTCTGATTGGCTCTCGGTGTAGCCAGCCACATTTTTTGAATTAAATATTAAAAACAATTTACTTACTTGTCAGAAAGATAGTTTAAATTATTTTCCGTCTGATGATTGCTAAATGAGCCACTTTCAATGGTTTCTAAACTAATGACACTATTGAGGTCAGTCATTTCGCTAAAATCGCCTTGACCATTGGGAGACATTGGACTATGTTGACTATCACTTCTAGTGAAATAAACCTGAGGTTTAGTTTGATTTTGTTGTGAAATTGTGGCCACTGCTATAACAGGCATTCCTGGTTTGACAATATCACAATCACGTGCAACTGACAATGCAGTTAGCATATTATCACCAGTGACCATAACAATTTTGATAGATGCTGCGTTTAAAGCGGATATCACAGGCATTGTTTCCGGTTTCAGTCGATTTTCAAGTATCACAAAGCCCAAAAATGACAAATCCGTTTCAACTTTTTCACGTACAATTCGTTGTACTTTTGCATATGTTAAACGATTTAATGATTTGTGCGCTAAAGCTATTACTCGATATCCCTCTGATGTATATTCCTGAAGAATACTATTAAAATCCGATGGAATTGAATCTGGTTTTGATAGACTGTGAATCATTTCTGGACTTCCTTTGCAATAGAGATCATAATGATTTGCACCTAAAGTTCTTGTAATGACGCTCATACGCTGTAGGCTCGATGTAAATGGAAATTGTCTAACTATACCAATTTCTAAACCCTGATCAGCTAAATCAGCTGTTGATTCAGTTAAAGCACTCTCAACATTATTTAATGAAATATTTTCAGTCATTTCAGATGTTGTTGAATTTTGTCTCATTGGCGATGTTGTTATTTCACTGAGAGATTGATCGAGAAGTTTTGATCCTGATGGAGGACGAACGACTGTTGGAAATAACATTGAAAATTTAGATGTATCGGAGACATTTGGTTCCTCTAATGTCCAGCCGGTGGATTCAAACATTTTTAAATCTAACGGATCACCAACCAATTGATCATCAATTATTGTTATTCCATGGCATGTTACCATTCCAATAAGTACATTATTCAATGGTAGATGAGTAATATTTTTAACTGGAATTTGAAATTTTCTCGATGAAATAGGAACAACGCCCCACATATCAAGACCGTCTTCTGTTAAAGTACCGGTCTTATCAAAACAAACACAATCGAGTGAACCGGAAACATTAATTGTTCGTGGACTAGTACAATATATTCTATTTTTTACCAATCGATTTTGAGCTAACAATCTTCCAACTGTCATGGCTGCAGGTAGCGCTGGCGGTACTACAATTGTTATGAGATCCAATGCTTCTAACACTATATGACTACTTGGAACGCCTCTCAATGCTTTGGTTACAATGGTAAATATCACACCAATGCCTGCAATGCAAGCGAGCATTATTACAAATTTATATGAATCTTGTTCAAATTTATAATCAACTGGCGGTGGATAAAGAATTGATCTCACTAAACCTCCTTTGCTGGTATTAAATCCCGTTCTTATAACAACTGCTAATACCTTTTCAGTTCCAAAATATCGTGTTTGAATTATTCTCGTACCAGAATAAAGTGTATGCCTAGCGTGTTCTTTTGTATCGTACATAATTTCCTTCGATGATGGAATTGGAGTTTTAGTAACAGGAACAGATTCCCCAGTTAACATTGATTCATTTAAAATACAATTTCCAGTTAGGAGTACTGCATCGCATGGCATTAGACAACCATGAGGTGGTATGACTATTATATCTCCAGGAACAAGACGTTCTGCAGGTACTTCACAAGTGTGACCCAGTGTACGATCACGTATTACTGTGGCTACATCGGAAGACGCAACAGTTGTTCGTAAATTTTGTTGATTCTGCAAACAAAAAAATCAAAATTTTCTTTAATCCACATTTTCTTTTTAATAACAAAAAAAAAGAACTTACCCGTCGAGTTTGTAAAACAGCCATTCCAACACTAACACCCGACATAGTGAGAATAACCATAGCATAATAAACATAATTGTCAGCAATCCATAAACTAAAACTGAAGATTTGGAAGACGTAAAATGGATTTAGAACTTCGAGGCACAACAATGTCAATATTGTTTTCACAGAAATTACTATTTCATTGTTACCATAAATACTGCGTCTAAGAAAAAAAAGAAAAATTGTTACTTCATTAAAATTACCGTTAGGAAAATAATCTAATTACCTCATATACTGTTCAAATGAACTCAGTCCAGTCATTTGATGAAGTGTGGAAGTAAGTACACCATTATCAAGTCCTCTAAGTTTAAGAAATTCACATCTATCTTTATCCCAGACATAAATAACTTTCTTGCAACTAAATGTAATGATTGATGGAACAGCTGAAAAAAAAACAAAAATTTTATTAATTTTAAACTGTATTTTCTTTCTAGTTTTTGAAAAATATTAATTTCATTACATTTAAAATGACCTCCTGACAAATGAATTGATAACATTGGAAATTCTTTGCCTTCTGATACTGTGATAATACTATCATTTTCCGACCATGGCTCATTGTCAATTAGATAGTCACCATCAGAAGATGCTTTTCTGAAAAAAAAAAGAAATTTTTTTTTCAAAAAGTTTTCAAAATTTTTTCAAATTCACAATATACTTACGATACTTCCTGAGCAGTTAGAGTCTTTATTTTTTTCACATAATAACTTGTATGTTTGTCCTGAAATTTCTCTATAAGCAAAACGGTGTCAGCCTCTTCCAAAAGACACTTTGAATGGGTTGCTTGCAACATTAAATGTGGAACCCAATGGAAAATCAGTCTAAGTAGCCCTCCTGTGATGACAATCAGACACCAAGTTGTGGCAGTTTGTATTGCATTTCGTTTATACCTAAAAATTAAAAATAAAATCTATTAAAGTAAAACCAATTCCCACTTGGAAAGATTCCCCGGAAAATGCCCACTGGAGGTTCTATCAGAATTCCGCCGGAACTTACAACGTAATTCCGTCAAAAATTCCATTGGAGTTCCAAAGAATTAACCGATGGGATTCCGACGGAATTAGGACTCAAAAAAATTTAAAAAAAAATTAATCGGAATCCCATCGGAAATTCTTTGGAACTCCGATGGAATTTCGACGGAATTACGTTGGAAGTTCCGGCGGAATTCTAATAGAACCTCCAGGTGGCACTTTTCGGGGAATCTTTATTTCTCTTATACACAGAAATAATCTAGTTTTCATTTTTGTTTCAACTCAAAATCAGCCAATGCTAAAGGAAATAGACAGTGGCGCCACCAACCTGACTCACTTTTGTTGCACTTCAAAAAATAAATAGCGTACTTTTGAGACCGAAGTTTTTTCTGTATATATAGTCAAAGTATAAATATATGGCAAAAAATCTTGTCAGTAGTTGTATTGATTACACCGTTCGATACGATTTGTGATCCACAAAAAAATCCAACATTTTCGGAAACTAGGACCAAAAAAAAAAACTACCCGTCTCTGCACGGAAAAAAAGAAAAAGTAATTTTTATTACTTTCATAGTAAAACGGGAATTGTCCGAAGTTTCTGCGCATCTCTGGTAACTTTTACTACAAAAAAAAGTAAAATTTACTATTTTTGTAGTAAATTTTACTATTCCGTAGTAAATTTTACTATTCTGTAGTAAATTTTACTATTCCGTAGTAATTTTTACTATTTCTGGAGTAGATTTTTACTATTTTTGGAATAAAAGTTGCCAGAGATGCGCAAAAATTTCGAATAGTTTCCGTTTTACTATGAAAGTATAGTAAAAAATTACTTTTTCCTTTTTTTCCGTGTGACAGTTTTGCAAGATGATCAAGTTGTTTGTGATTTTTAGGTGTGAAAATAAACCCCTAAATGAAAATTGACAAGATATCTTTCAAAAATTATTAATATTTTATAAAACTTGTTATCTCGGCGTTTTCGGGGTCGCTGATTATTTAATCTGGTGTCATATTTTCAAAATTCAAAATGGCGGATCAAATTTTTAAAAAGTTATTAATTTTTTTATAAAACTTGGTATTTAGGAGTTTTTGGGGTCGCTGATGACGAATCTGATGTCAAATTTTCAAAATTCAAAATGGATATAAAATAAAAAATTAATAACTTTTTAAATCAGCCAACTCGAAAACCCCCAGATAGCAAGTTTTATAAAATATTAATAATTTTTTAAAAAATATCTTGTCAATTTTCATTTAGGGGTTGTTTTCACCCCTAAAAACCACAAACGACTTGATCTAGCAAAACGGCCAGACACGGATATTTTTTTTTTTTTTTTGGTTCTAGTTTCCGAAAATGTTGGATTTTTTTGTGGGTCAAAAAAAAAGTTGAATTTTGTCGGATGGTGTTATCATAATGAAAGAATGATATTTAATATTATGTTTACATTCTTATAATTAAATTATTAGGAAATTTGTATTCACATTCAAAGTACAAAGTTTTTTTTTTGTTACAAGAATTTTGCAAAATATATATCTTTTCAAGTATTTCTTTTTGTAAACATATTTTAAAAGTTGTTTATAAAACCAATTTCTTTGTAATCATTTTTGTGCGGTTAATTGTAATAATTATTATTTATTTAATTCAATGGAAAATTGAAAAAAAATACATATTTTAAGCCTGACGTAATGTATAATATTTATATTTCAATGAAAAAAAAAAAAAATGTTTTTCACTTTTTTTGTGTATATAACATACCCGTAAATTTCCATTTGATCTTCTTCGCCTGGATTGATGTAATCCACACCATTCTTGAGTTGAAGGAGGCCATTGCCTCTTGTTTCTGAAATTGAAAAAATTTTATCAACACTCATTGATTTGTATATATGATCGCGAAACATTGTGTAGAGACTATATAACTAAACCACGTGATTGGTTTATAGTTATAACGTAGGTATATACTTTCTCTGACCGAGTAATACAAACTATATATATATATATATATACAAACAAGAATGACGTTATTTAATAGGTTCAAGACTATTTATAATTTGATTAATTTGTTTTTTCGACTATAATGATAAAATAATAAAATTGTTAATGAAATAATGATTTAATTCTTTTTGTTAAATCACTACAGTGTAAAAAAAAGGAGTTGAATTTCAACTCCCTAGGGGATGCAATAAAAGTCCCCCACCCTTTTGGAATTGAAGCGAAGGGAGTTAATGCTTTTCGAATTAATTTTATGCCTAGGGAGTTGGTTTTAAGGAGTTAATTTCATTATTAACTCCTTTTTTGAGTTGATTTTTAACTCGAAAAATTTAACTCCCAGTAACGTTAACTCCCTAATTTTTTTTTTACAGTGAATTAGTGTCTATTGAAATAGAAACGATACTTTAAACTTGAAGAAATAACAAATATATTATTAAAAATATTAACTTTTTTAAAAATAGCATATGCTGGTATTACTGCAAGTTTGCATGAATTACTGCGAATGGTGTGCACCAACGCTAAAAGTGTTGATTTAGAGGTTAGGTTGACTGGATAGACCACAGTAAAAGCAGAATACGAAAAATATATACGCATGCTCTAATTACTGTGATAGGTTCGATTGTAACTTGAATAAATAATTTGATAATAGTCGAAATATGCATAATTAGTGGATATAATATCAAATATCATTACACAGTTTTCTGAGGCTCTCAAATTGAGACCATAAATAGTATCAAAACGTTGCATTATCAACAATTTGATACACTTTCTGGTCAATTTGATATTCTCAGAAAAACTGTGTTTGGAATAAATTTTAAAGTAATTTTGAAACAGTTTTATGTTCTCAATTATACTAAGTTTTACTAATCGCAGTAATTGGCGCATCAGCAGTAATTGATACACTTATACCCTAGTCAAAAATAATAGCGAAACAAAAATAATTCAACAATTTAATATAGTCAAAATCGACAGAGATCTAGACACTAATACTGCCGTGCGAAATAAAAACTTAAGTCATATTTTGTTCAAACGGAGAAAATGACGAAAAACTGTTTGTATTTAAAAACCTAATGTAATATATAAATAATTCTTTAATCTAACTTCACTTCCTAGATAATTTGATAGAGTTCTTTTTAATTCTGAAGTCAAAAAGTTAATTATTTAAACAAATTATATTAAATAATTGACTTACGTTTTATTTTTTAAAAGCAAAACTTGGTTAACTCGAGTTACGTATAGTGCTTTTCGAAAAGGTATAGGCGAGCGCGAGCCTTCGTTCAGAAGTAAGAACTTAGTTAACTCAAGCTAAATGCATGGGATTTCGAATTCACCCGACGAAAATCCGAACTTTAACGAAATTGACTTACGCTTCCTCCCATCGAAATGCAGTGTCCGGCTCATGCCACTTTTCGAAAGAGAAAAAACACTCAAGTCGAGTTAACTAAGTTTTTATTTCGTATTTTATTCTCGATCTCAACGCATCCTACGATTTTTGGACTACTCAACTCGAGTTACCTTTTATCAATAGTATTCTTTCATTTTCTGGGTTTTTGTAGATGTTTAATAACTATTTTTTGCAATAAATAATTAAAATAATTTTTAATAACGTAATCAGACGCAGTTTTTTCTTACGAATCCATTGATACCAATCACAGTTTTCCTAAAAGTATCAAATTGAGACCAAAAATTGCATCAAAACTTTGCAACGTTTTGATGCATATAAGTTATATCCAAAAGAGATCGTTTTGTGTATCATTTTTAGAAATGGGTCTCATTTTTTGATGCAAAAAATTTAATCAATTTATATCAATCATGGCCGCGAATTGAATCGACTCAAAATTAAACGAATTTTTTTCAGATATTTTGGTAATAGTACAATTGCGGAGACCATTTCACTATATTTAATTTGAAAATGAAAATAACAGAAAATCAAAGACAATGTGCAATTCAATAATTAAAAAGTGACAGCTTATAAACATAACCTAAAATGCATGAGAAAAAATTTGTCGATAAAATCAATATAGCCGAGCTTTTTAGAAGGTAGATGGCAGTTTTGTTTTTTATAAAAACGATTCAGAAAAAATTTAAAGAAAGAAAATAGATGAGTGCTGCCATCTACCTTCTAAAAAGCTCGGCTATATTGATTTTATCGACAAATTTTTTCTCATGCATTTTAGGTTATGTTTATAAGCTGTCACTTTTTAATTATCGAATTGCACATTGTCTTTGATTTTCTGTTATTTTCATTTTTAAATTAAATATAGTGAAATGGTCGCCGCAATTGTACTATTACCAAAATATCTGAAAAAAATTCGTTTAATTTTGAGTCGATTCAATTCGGCCATGATTGATATAAATTGATTAAATTTTTTTTGCATCAAAAAATGAGACCGTTTCGTGTATCATTTCTAAAAATGATACACAAAACGATCTCTTTTTGATATAACTTATGTGCATCAAAACGTAGCAATAGAAAAAGATACAACCAAGTTTACTGTGTATAAAAACTCATTTTTGTCAAAAAATATGACTTAACTAAGTTTTTACATTGTACGGCAGAATAGTATCCGGATATTCAAGCTATCCTATACGGATGTTCTGATATGGGGATATCTAAATCAGTGCGACGAGTTTTCTTTAATTCATCAGTGGAATTACAACGGACAATCAATGATTTTTACTGATTCTCAATGAAATGATGAATTAAAGAAAACTCGTTCACTGATTTAGATTCATTGATATCCAAAAATTTCCGGATACGGATGAAAATATTCTGAAATGTCCGTTGCTGTTTAAGATTATTTTCTGTAAACTTTGTGCTTATCATAAAAATTTTATCATTCATTTTAAAGAATCTGTGTATAATAATAAATTAGTGTTTACTATTTCTGATAACAATTTTTAAAATTAATGACATAATTATTAAGTCTAGTGACTCATAGATCCATAACAGAGAACTGGGTCATATGATGAATTATCCAGTCATTGACTCGACGCATGTTTATATATGTATACATTGATAATCATCAGAGAGAGAGAGATACTTCAATCCCTTACCCTCTAACAATTCCGTTTTTTGCTCTTGCTGTTGTTCTGCATTGCCTCCAGTGCCTCTATTATTTCCAAAAACGCTATAAGAATTTCTTCCAAAGCTGATGTTGAGTTTACTCGGTGTTGTTGGCATTTTAATTTCTCTTCCTTTTTTTTAAATTACAATCACAAAAAAAAAACTTTGGCACACAACCCCCCTTCTTTTTTTATAAACACTAATTCTAGATATATATATATATTATCTGTTTTCTAAATTTATTGTCCTTGTGTTAAAAAGTCTGAAAAAATTTTTTCAGGAAGAACTCGCGATCCGGAAGTTTGGAATTATCAGCCAATTCTTTCCGGTTGAGCCGTCTGCTACCGATATTGGTTGCAATTCATTTTCATGACTTTTTGGAGAATTATTAATGATGTCATTATAAGGCCCTTATTTTGCATTTGGTCTTTTTCACCTTGGGAATATGAAAATTCCCGTTTGCAAACGTTGGGTCAGGAAACTTTTTCTGAAAATTTGATGATGATAATGATGATTTGCAGCTGGTGCTATCGTTTTGGGCTGCCTTTAATTATTGGAATATTGTGTCAGTCACCAGGATCAGTGAGTTTTCGCCAACCAATATGAGGCGTTGTGACAGCACGTTCACCCTCGCTCATACCGCGTTTCAATATTGGCTCTTGAAACAAGTCTTGACACTGAAAAAAGGCAGCCACAATTTTTATTCTTTTAATGAAATCATTCACTAACAATGAATCAAAATTATTTCTCTTTGGCGCCTCGCTATTGTTCACGTGCCTCCCTGTTGCTCCAAAGTACGATCTCAAATACATTACGGGCAAGGGATAAATTTTTTTTATGCCGTCCAATTGACAGCGAAATTAAAAAAAAAAAAAAAAGTGAAAAAAAGAAACCCAAACTTTTTCTTCTTTTTTTTAAGTCACTTTTTTAAAATAGAAAAACACTTTTGAGAGCTGAGCTCTCTCACTTTTTGAAATTATTAATTTTAGCACAATTGCACAAAAATTGCAGAAATTTCTATTAAAAATTTAAACGATTCTTTTAAAAATGTTACTCTCCTTAGGACTTCTAAGTGCACAAAAAACACCAGAATTGTTATTAATATTAAACATTTTGCTCATTATTTTTACTTTAACTATATTTTAAATAAAGAAACGAAAAAGAAAAAAGTTCTCTTCTTACTGAGAGTCTGATTGGGAAAATTTTAGTATTTTTTTTTTTGCCACACACACACACACTATACACTTATCGAAAATGATTCATTCGATTAAAAGAATAATTTTTTCAAACACTTTTTATTGGGAACATTGAATGTGTTAGAAAGAAGACTGATGACTAATTAAGTAAGAACACTGCACTAAATACTAAACTTGACTTCCACTTAAATGCTGAGTTGACTATATTCCAAATAAATGTGTACGAATACAAGGAAATTGCATTCTATTGTGTAAAGATGGCGTGTACGACCTCATTCGTTGAAGGTCTCTTCTTTAAATCAAAAAAAAAAAAAAACCCGGTGTTTTACATCTATTTTTGAATATTATTTAAAATGAACAGAGAATTTTTGTTTCTCATTCCTATTTTTATTTTTCACGTAAAATTTAAAAGTCGAAAATTGAGTCAAGCTCTAATTATCGTATCCCAGAATCACGACGCTCTGTATATACGAATTAGGAGAATCGTTTCGGCTTTAGCAGAAGACTTGCGCGTTGGGTATATATTCTGTGATGTCGTCTGTTTGTTCGGTTTTGTATTCTCATCAGGGCTGTATGTATTTATCAATTGAGCCCAAAAAATGAAAAAAAATTTTCTATATTTTTTGAGTGGGGGGAAAGAGGAATTTATTTACACATTTTTAAATATTAGACACAAAATGCAACAAATTTTGTTTATGTAAAAAAAAAAAAAAAATTCTAATTCCAAATACCCAAACGGACAGTTTGATGATAGTCAAAGAGGAATGAGCATCAATGTGCCAATTACTGCTACTTGACTACCATCAAAATGTCCATTTGAGCGCTTAGGGTAATTGAATTAGAATTTTTTTGAATATTTCTTAATTTTTTATCATCAAATCATCAAAAACAGAAGAATTTTGCAGATTCTCATTTTTATGAAATATTCTAAATGAACTTTCACATTGTTTCCTATGTAGCTTATCTAATTATCTTTAACTTAATTAGATCATTAAAAAAATACATTAAAAATCAATAGACCAAAAATATTTTTATTTAAAAATGTAATGTTGAAAATTGTATATTTATATATATATTTTTTTTAAATAATTTTGTACATCAGTTCAAGGCTTAAATTAGAAGCACACGTGCCAATAATTTATACTTAATCCGAGATATATAATCTATTTTATTTTATTATCTAATAAAATTTTGACTTTACGTATACATACCTTTATGATTTCCTCAGAGGAAAAAAAATTTCTTTCAATTAATTTTAAAACTTCTCGAATTATAAATAGTATATTATTTAAATTATTATAAATATCACATTTTTGTTAAACTCATTGAATAAATTTTGTTCTTTAAATAAATTTCTATTAAAATTATTTTAAACTTAAATAATTTGGAATTTTTTTTTTTTTGCAGCCGCTACGAAGAAAGGAGTTCTTTTTTTTTATTTTCCATTTAATATTTTATTATCTGTATATCATAAAAAAGTATTTTTGAAATATTAAGAGGAACACAATAATATATTGGTTTATTTTGTCATATTATCAAAGCTTAACATCAATTGTATCAATATACATATATATCTCAGGGAAAAAATTTAAAAAAAAATTTAATTTTTCAATCGCAAAGGAAAAATATTTAATACATTTTTTTTTTTTAAAGAAATAGTGATTAAAAAAGTCAGTTAACACTGAAAAAAAAGGTTTGGTACAAACATTTGGTTGGTATTTAAGCAACCAAAATTTTTTTTTATTGAATCAACAAAATTTTGGTTGTGCCATAATCAAACTTTAGTTAGGACAACAAAAAATCCTTTTTTTCTAATTTTGGTTGTGTCAAATAAATTTTGATTGAGACAATTAAAATTTTGTTGTTTCAACAAAAATATTTTTTGGTTCCTTAAATACCAACCAAACGTTTGGTTGTCAATACCAAATCCTTTTTTCAGTGAAACATTAGAACTTAACAATAAAATAAATTATTTCAAAATATAATACTTTTCAACAAATTATAGATTTATTAAAAATGACATTACTTTAATTGATTATTAATTAAATTATTAATTAATGCACACTGTAAGAAGAGATTGCTTCAAAGTGAAATAATTCTTTTTTACAGTGATCTTAATATTTATTAAAAAATTCACTATTCTATTATACAATATACTAATTATTAATATATACATATTTATATATATATATATAGATATACATATTAAGATTATATAATATATTTATATTTTATTGAAATAAAAACATTCCTACCGCTTATATCATTCATCGTTGTATTTATGTTATAAAATTATAGATGAAAAATGCTTTTTTTTTTTGGAGTAATAACATAAACCGTAATCCATGAATTGGTGCCAAAAATAAAAAAAAAAAAAAAAAAAAAATTTTTGAACGAAAATATTCACATATTGATAATAAGAATTTTTAGCCAAAAATCCAATAGAACTCTCTATACATAATAATTATCTTTTCTCGCGATTCGCGTGTCACACGCGCATGCTTTTCAGTCAATACGCAACTCACTGAAATCCAAACAAAATAGGAGCCTGTATATTGAAAAAGATATTTGGTAAGATTAGTTATTAGTACTTATATCTGATTGGTTGATGTTTGCCCCATTTCAAATCTTTCTTATCATAAAATTAATGATTATATATATATGTACAGTCCTGTAAAGTCTAATATATATATATATTCAGGGCCGCCGTGTACATTATATAAATTTAATGTTATTTTAATTATAAAGCAATTTGTTTCTCAAACATTTTTTTTTTTTTTTTTTAATTATTTCTTAATGAATAAAAATTTAAATAAAATTAATTTAAATTTTAAATAGGATTGAATTTTAAATATATAAATAAATTTTGAATATAAATAAATTTTAAATATAAATAAATTTTAAATAGAATGAAAAATTTTTTTTTTTAGTAAAAAAAATCATTAAGAAAGCAGAGAAAAGAAGAATGTAGGTAACGATGTCAGTCGTTTGAAAAAATAGTATGTCAATATGGTTTTAAAAGAAACCGATAGAGGTCAGCAAAAGGTCATATATGATGATTTGCAATATATATATAATTTTTTTTTTTAAATATTTTATAAAAAAATAAATATTAGTTTTGAAAAAAAAATTTAATTATTTTTTGATTTGACAAAAATAAATAAAAATAAAAAAAAATGAATAATTATATTTAATAAAAAAAAATTAGGGAAATAGTTAACTAATAAATTTTAAGATTAAATAATATAAGGACAATTTTCTTTTATTGAATATAAAGGAAAAAAAATAAAAAAAAAATAATAAAAAATATAAAAAACAATGTTTCTATAAATTGGGAATTTTGAAATTCAGGTCAAGGGTTCTTTTTTTAAAAAAAATAACCAGTTCTGATTTATTTGACCCCCCCCCCTTCCCCCCAAAAAAAATATAATTCATTTGGGTCGTATTCAATATGTATCTTATCTGGAGAATTATATATATATACCCACCTATCCGGTCCTATCAGTCATTCTATTTGGCCCTGATTTCGTCTCTTCATTTCAAGGTTTTTTTTGGATAACTTTCATGAATCTTTAAGTAGATTAAATTTGCCAATTTTAATAATTAAATTTCAATATTAAAAAAAGAAAAACTTACCAATATACCAGTCAAATATTAGTTAAAAAATTAATATTATAAATATTAAATTAAAAATTACTAAAATGAAAAAAAAATTTATTTGATTCAAATAATCGATTACTTGACTATTATTATCAAATAAATAACTTACTTGAACCAAATAAATAACTTACTTGAACCAAATAAATATTTACTTAAACCAAATAAATAACTTACTTGAACTAAATAAATATTTACTTGAACCAAATAAATAACTTACTTGAACTAAATAAATATTTACTTGAACCAAATAAATATTTACTTGAACCAAATAAATAACTTACTTGAACCAAATAAATATTTACTTGAACCAAAATAATTTTTATTTAAACCAATAATTTCTGTATTTAAAACAAATATCATTTAATTGACTCAAAAATTATTTGATTCAAGTAAATATTTATTTGGTTCAAGTAAAAAGTAACCGATATTATTTGAATCAAATAATTTTTATTTTTTTTCTCAATAATTCTAATATTTTAAATCTTTTTTTTAAAATAACAAATTTTATTACTCCAAAAGAAGACAAATTCAAAACTAGTAATTTTTTTTTTTATATTGATCATCGGGATAAATCGAAAATAAAGACTTAAATGTTGTTAAAAATTGAGTTCGATGATTTTATTCTCGTTCGAGAATATACAGTAAAATATAATTCAGATATAGATGTAATAATTATATCAAATTATTATGTAACTTACGTATGCTGTACGATTCCTTATTGTCTGATAGTTAAATAACAATTAATAATAATAATAATAATAATAATAATAATAATAATAATAAAAATAATAATAATAATAATTAAATATATTAAGATTTCTTTTTTTCACGATTAAATTCCATTAGAAGTAAAACTCCAGGAACACTGGTATATATTTAACTGAGCGCATAGTTCGCATATAGTTATATATATTCACAGATTTATACACCATACCACTTCACTTATATAATTGTCGAAATATCTCTTCAAATTAACATCTGATGTTATATTTGAAAAGAAATATATATATCCATGTTTTTAGTTTTTTTTTTTTCTTTTTTTAAATAAATAATATATTTCTTTTCTTCATTATCAAAAACATTATTATTTTCATTGGTACGCGCGAAATATTTGCAATTTCACACATCATTGGCAAAAAATAATAATAATATTTAAAAAAAAAAAAAAACTAAAATATCGTAATTCTTTCATTAAAAAAAAAAAAAAAAAAGAATCACATTATAGTTTTGGGAGGTACAATACTGAACATTTTCAGAATCATCATCATTTTTTTTTTTTTTTTGCACTCATTTCCCCAGCCAGAATTAGCTATATTATCGAGAATCAAGATCATCAAGATTTTATATTATGCAAAAAATTTTTTTTTTAAATAAGTTATCAGTACGTTTTGTGATAATAATAATGTTTATTTTTCACTCGAGTATTTCTCAGATTAAACTATATATTTGATATTTTTCTTTTTTCATTATTTTGCAAAAATTGAGATTTTTGTTTTTTTTGATAAAAAATTATTCTAAAAAAAAATTTTATTTATACCACAGAAAAAATCTGAACTCAAAATGAGTAATGCTACTCAACACTGAAAAAAGGGTTTAGTATTAACAACCAAACGTTTGGTTGGTATGTAAGAAACCAAAATTTTTTTCTTGAATCAACAAAATTTTAATTGTCTCAACCAAAATTTGTTTGACACAACCAAAATTAGAAAAAAAGGATTTTTATTGTCCTAACTAAAGTTTTATTGAGACAACCAAAATTTTTTTGATTCAGCAAAAAAAAATTGGTTGCTTAAATACCAACCAAACGTTTGGTTGTGAATACCAAACCCTTTTTTCAGTGAATTTTTAAAGTATAACAAAAATATGCCTCGTAGATGGCGCCACTTTCTATGTCGTTTGGTTCAATTTTGAACTGAGTAACAGGTTTTTTTTTCTCTGTGTAAATAAAATATCTCGAGTGAGATATTAAAATTTATTAAAGATTAAATTAATCCCATAGAAGATTAAAATAATTCAATTTTTTGCGGATAAAATTTTTCTTTACAAAATTTCATTTTGGAATTATTTTGATCTTGAATGGATTAATTTTGTGTTTAAATCAATATTTTGATATTAAAAATCAATAGAATAGAATGATCTTAATTGAAAAATTGGGATTTAGTACAGTATAGAAACCTGTGGTTGTGTATACCTTCATTATCATTGTTCTATCTACACAGGGTCCAATTTATCCACAAATTATTTCGAATTACAAATTCAAAAGCCCATTTTTTTTTTTTTTTTTTTCTTCTTCTTCTTTTGCCATACAAAAACATGGCGTCCAGCGTCACTTCGAAAAAATTAGTTAAATTTCCAGTTTAAAACTCTTTTTTCTTTGCTTTATCAACTAGAACATTGTCATGATAACTGATTTCTTGACCAGCAACAGCGGGATGAAGATAATGTGGTTCAACGTCAATTTTCTCCTTAACATCAGGTTCCAATACCAATGAATGATGTGGTCCCCTATGCATATGTGTTATTGGTGCATTATGATGTGGTATTTGAGGAAGTTCAACGTCATCATCATCATTATTATCATCATCATCAACAGTTGGCAATTGTGGTTGATTCGATTGATTTGTGTCAATTTCTTCTTTAATATCACCATTATTATTGTGAATAATTTGTTGTTTATTTTCTTTTAATTTATCATCATTAACATTACCACCGCCAAGATTTGCATATTTACGTAATAATTCCTGTAATTTTTCCATATCAAATTCTTCGTCTTCAAATTTTGAAAATAATTCTTTTGCCTTAAATTCATCAATTTTTGCCGATTCTTTAAGTTGTTTAAATAATTGACGAAATTTTTCATTAGCCTGAATATCTCTTGATGTATTTTTCGATGAATTAAGATTTGGATTTAGAAGTAAATCAGGTGTTTCATGAATAATATTCACATTATCGAGATTATCATCGGATAATGTTTGTAGTAGTGTATTATAATCGGGTTTAATTTTTGATGTTTCTAAACAAGAACTGCATGAACAATTTGTGATAATTTGTACCTTCTTTTGCATTGTTATTGGCTTATTGTCCTCATCTTTACAATCGAGTGTTACCTGAAGAAAATAATTTTTATTAAAAAACAAATTTTACTTTTTAGAATTTTGTGCGGCCTTAATCCGGTAACAGATATATAGAAACCGTTATACTAAGGACTTTTTTTCGATTTTTTTTTTTTTTTTTTAAACTAACCGTATGCCAGACACTGTCCAATGGTTGACATGAATCACAATAGGGTCGAATCAAATCACCAGGTGCTGATGGTTCACTGTGTGGTACCATATAGGAAAAACAAGCACCAACACAAACATTGTTGTCCAATTCTTGTGATGAACATTGTGGCCAAGTGACTACCTGCTTAATTTGTGTTGTTTTGCACCAACTCTGTTTATCAGGATACAAAACAATATTGTGCACCTAAAATTCAACAAAATATATATAATTAAAATTTTACCATAATTTTATATTCTTTTTTTTTTTTTTTTTTATCAAATATACCTTATGTTCTCGATGAGCATAAAGCGGTAATGAATTCATCAATAGAATAATTAATAACGTTAAATTCCATAGTGATGTCATTTTTATCTGCAACAAGAAAAAAAAATTTTTTTTAAACTAAATACAATTTTTAGTATTAATTTAGTATTGAGGGGGTTTTTTTTATAACTTTTATACAATATTGCAAAATAATTAATATATTTTAACGAACACTCTTTTACTACTATAATCCTATCGATTTATTCTGATATGCGAATGAATCAATTTCTATTGGAATTGGTACATAATTTTTCGGATCGACAACCGTTTACGTCATCAAGTCGACGAAAAAAATCTTTTTACTATTTAAATTTAACAATCTTCACACGCAACATTGATTTTCGGGCCCGGTCAAAATGGCTGGAATTGAAGTACTATTTTGTAGCTATGAAGTCCTCCCGAATAAAAAATGTTAATGAAAAAATCCGCCAAAATTAATATAGTTTTTGAGATAAAAAATAAAAAAAGGTTAACGAAAACGAAAAATTGAGATTCTAAATAAAGTTCCTGAATGTTTCTAAAAAGTTTTAAGCATTCATAATGTAACAACTTTAAGGATTCCCAACCAAAAATTTCAGTATTATACCATAGTTAACTACTGGCGCAGTACTGGTTCAGTATTGGCTGCCGAGGCTGGGCAGTCAATTTCATTGAAGCTAATGGAAATTTTTGAAAAATATTTCAATTGTAATAAAAATTGTAATTGTAACAAAAAAATATTAAAATAATTTTTTTTCAATTATTTCGCAACGCAGTTACTCTCTAAATCTGAATTAGTAAAAATGTTTACTAATTTAAATTAGTGACATTGTGCTTCTAAATTAGTAAAATTTTACTAATTTTTAGTAACTTTTACTAATAATTAGTCCGAAATTTCAATTCACCGAATTTTTAAAATTTTTTCCAAATATTATAATTTGTCCCAATTTTTAAAACGACAAATTTTCATTTGTCCGAAATTTAAGAAAAAGTTTCCAAACAAACAATAATCGACAAAAAGAATTTGGCGAAAAATTTTCAAAAATATTTCATCAATTAGAAATTATCAAGAAAATTTGTGATTGGTGAATTTTTGAAAATTGCACCGAAATTTTTATGTCAATTTTTTTGTTCGGCCATTTTTGTAATTTCGGACAAATTAAAATTCGGCGTCATTAAAAATTCGTATAAATAAAAAATAGGACAAATTGAAATTCGTATAAATTGAAATTCGGAAAAATTTAAATTCGGCGTCATTAAAAATTCGTGTAAATAAAAAATCGGACAAATTTACTTTCTACAAAGTTACTCTCTAAATCTGAATTAGTAAAAATGTTTACTAATTTAAATTAGTTTTTTGCTTTAGAATTAGTTAAATTTTACTAATTGTTAGTAAAAGTAAAATTAGTAAAATTTTACAAATTCAGAAGCAAAAAGTGACTGACTAATTTAAATTAGTAAACATTTTTACTAATTGAGATTTAGAGAGTACAATAAATTACAAAACTACCAGTACTCAGCCAGTACTCAACCAGTAGTGGTTACCAGTACTGGTGCCAACTCTGGCAGCCAATACTGGTAAAATGTTATTATCCCAAAGTTACGCCAACTCTGGTGCCAATACTGGGTGCCAATACTGCGCCAACACTTGTCAGTACTGCGCCAGTACTGCGCCATTGGTAATTTTTTTGATTTTATTCTTGAATTAAAGTCAACAGTTTAAGGGACGTAAAACTGTCCCACAATTGTCCCAAACGTGTTTAAACAATTAAAAAAATATATATAAAGTTATTTTTAGGCAAACTGTAATATTGTCATTCGGTTAGAAAATCTAAGGGACAAGTAGAGTTTCTTATACATGTCCCAGAAATGTCCCAAAATATTTTCAGAGTATTTAGAAACTATTACAAAAGAGATTTTCAAGTAATCCAATGATAATATATATTGTCTAGCAAGCCAAAGGTATAGGGACCAGTCTTGTCCCATACATGTCCCATAAGTGTCCCAAAAATATTTTCAAAGTATTTAGAAACGATCAAAAACAGAGTTTTAGTGAATCCAACTATACAATATAAACTGACTACCAAGTCAAAAGGATTAGGGACAAGTCTTTTTTCATGTATGTCCTATAAGTGCGACCAAAATATTTTATCAGAGTATTTAGAAACTATATTACAAAAGAGATTTTCCCTAAACCTTTAACTCGATAGACGATATATATTATAGTAGGATTACCGAAAAATCACTTTTAATAGTTATTTATTGAAAATATTTTGTGACACTTATGGGACATGTATGGGACAGTACTGATCCCTATACCTTACGCTTGGCTATACAATATATTATAATTGGATTACTTGAAAATCTCTTTTTGTAATAGTTTCTAAATACTCTAAAAATATTTTGGGACATTTCTGGGACATGTAAGGAACTGTACTTGTCCCTTAGATTTTATAGACGAATAACAATATTATAGTTTGATTGCCTACACAGAAAATTAAAAGGCATTAAAATAAGAAGCGTTGCAGCTTATTTTAATGCCTTTTAATTTTCTGTGTAAAAATAACTTTATATATTATATTTTTTTAATTGTTTAAACACGTTTGGGGACAATTGTGGGACAGTTTTATGTCCCTTAAACTGTTGACTTTAATTTAAGAATAAAATCAAAAATTTACCAATGGTGCAGTACTGGCGCAGTACTGACAAGTGTTGGCGCAATATTGGCGCAATATTTTGGGACATTTCTGGGACATATAAGGAACTGTACTTGTCCCTTAGATTTTCTATATAACCTAATGACAATTTATATAGTTTGATTTCCTAAATATAACTTTATATATTATATTTTTTTTTAATTGTTTAAACACGTTTGGGACAATTGTGGGACAGTTTTATGTCCCTTAAACTGTTGAGTTGCGTTTGCGGGGTCCTTTTGAATTAGACTCTTTTTTTATTGAATTTTAAACAAAATAATTTTCTCATTAAAATTATTTTTCACGGCCATATATATTATTTAATTATTCTTTTTGTTGCAAAACAAAAAATGCTTAGCAACACCGTTGCTATGGGAAAATAAGTTCGAAATAGAAAAAATGACACGAAAAAGGGAAATTTTTTTTACTATTATATATATATATATATATATATGAGGATAAACATTCGCCCTAGAAGAATAATATATATTTTTTTATATATTGCAAATTTTTGTAAAAGAGAATTTTTTAAGTCACGTTTCTTTTGTTCAAGATAGAAAGGAACAAGTAGAGAGGGTTATAAAGATTAAACGATCCTTTTTTGGAAGTCAATCGGGGAATTCAATCGGTGTCCCGAGAGTCCCTTAAAAGGGAGACCGTCATTCCTCGTTTGAAATTCTTGTTTCTTCTCACTAAAAGTCTGTCGTCTCATCATCCATGATATTTGGCCACTGGTCAATTCCCATCACAAGGAATTTGACATTTTTTCCTCTCTCTCTCTCTCTTTAGTATTTTTAAAAGACGAACCCTTTTTTTCCCCCTAATTTTATATTTGCGGAAAATATATCCAATTTTTCTTTATAGATTTTTTTTTTCATTCCTTTTTTTTTCTAAATAAATCCTTTTATTTTTTTTTTGTCCACCTCTACTTTCTTCATTTTAAAACTACTCTTTATTCTCGCGCGCGAGAGATCTCTGATCTCTTCCATTTCTTATTTCGAGTTCCAAGAATCGAAGACGGGGCAAGAAGGGGTTTGTATCTCGGGTAACGAAGGTGGTAACAGACGTGTACAAAACGTGTATTGTGGGAGGAGTATCGGGGGAATAAAAAAAAAGAGAAAAAAAAAAAAAAAAAGGCAAAACAGCAGAAAGAGCATCCAAGAGACATTTCTCGTGTATATACAGTGAATACGGACTAGCAAGAAGGCGCCTCTCAGTGATGTGTGCTACCAATTTTTTCTCACCTCATTTCACTGCACACCTTTTACTTTTTTTTTTTCCCACTCTATTTTTTTACATTACCAATTTTTTCCAAGCGCTCATGTTTTTATATAAAAAAAATTTATAATTATATTAAAAAAAAAAACCGTTTCTTATTTAATCGTTATAGAAAAAAAAAAAAAACAAGAATTGTTTTCTCATAAAACATATTGACTATAAACTTTTCTGACAACCGCGCTCATAAGATACAAACGGTTATATATATATATATATACAAAAAAAAGGTGCAGCCCACGAGAAGCATTTGAGGAGGAGTGTGAAAGTGAGCGATGAGGCTTCTTTATCATGTTTCGTCTGGGCTTTTGCGGACTGTCAGAATCACCTTGTTTCAAGAGCCCCCCTTTTCAATGCACTTCCGCCAATTTTTTTTTTTTTTTTTTGGTACTCTGGCTAATTTTTTGAAAATTATTTCGAAAAATTATATTGCTAATTAAATTTTTTTAAATTAATACCTTATATTAAATTTCTTTTTCCTACAAATATAGAAAACGATATCAAAAATTAAAAAAAAAAAAATTGCTAATAAAATGAGAAAAAAAAAAAGTTCATGGTAGCAGAGAGGCGAGCAGAAGTTAAACCTCTCTTTGTTGCTGCGCCACCTTCTCTTCTCGCCTTTTAAGTTGAGGGTTCCAAACAGGCGGACCTCCGGCAAGTCCCGCGTGTGTCTTTGGGACCGAAATGACTATACGTCCAGCCGCGAGATTAATTTGATTTTCAACCAAATTTGACGCGCCCTCAAGCCTCAGGGCACCACAAAGGGCGCCCGCCCAAATGCACTCCAATCTCAATTTCTTCTCTCGTATAAGAACTTTTTTAAAAAAAAGGGATGAGATTTTTTTTTTTAAAGGTCATTTTCATGAAATTTAATAATGTTTTAATTTTCCTCCTTTAGTGAAAGCCACAAAGAAATATTTATTCAATTGTTATATTAATTTTTTTTTATTTTTAGTATGTAGATAAAAGAAATAATTTTTTTCTCTATATATATATATATATATATATATATATATATATATATATCTACATCAAAAAGTTTATCACTTCATTTGCATAAAGATTCGTTCCATTCCATATATATTAGATAAATTACAA